CCCCCCGGAAGTAAAGAATACTCTCTAAAGAGCAGAAAAATGGACTTAACATGGCTTATATGAAAGAGATAGTATAATGTACAAACAGCAGTTGCTGTACTTTTCTGGTAGCATGTCTCAGAATGTGATTACACTTTTAAAAATGAACTTCCTGTGAAAGTGATACTGAATCATATCCATATGTGAATATTTGTTTGTTCTTATACAGGCAATGAGGCTTTTACCATTCGCCATGACACACTGAGCAAGTGTATACAAGTTAAAAACTCACGGATAGTGATAGATGACTGCAAGGACACAAGTGAAGCTTTATGGAAATGGGTATCCCAGAATCGCCTCTTTCATTTGGGGTCCAAGCAGTGCCTGGGACTTGATATATTCACCAAATCACTGTCTCGCCTGAAAATGGTTGATTGTAACTCAGAACTAATGCTGTGGTGGCGATGTGCTGATGCTTCTATCCTTGGTGCATCTCAGTACAAAGTGACTACCAAGAGTACCTATGTAACTGCAAGCATAAATGCAACAGACCAGTGGAGAAGCAACAGTTCCTCCAATGATATATGTCAGTATCCTTACCATGGTAAGTTTGCACAGGGGACTGGAGGATTTTTTTGTTGTTGTTGTGTTAAGGGCTTTTTGCTGTATATCTGTGCCAGTAAATTCTTAAAATTAATCATATGAAAAGACTGATTAGTAAAGTAATAGAATGTTTTGCTGTAGAGAGATATTGATATTCAATTACGAAACTTTAACTGTTTTTAATAAAAAAATAAATAAGCACAACTGCAGAAGTTGTGTTATCCAGTGGCTTTCTTATCATGTTTAAATCCCTCCCCCCATCTTTTAGTAAGAGCTTATTTAATTATGAAATATCAACCACCTTGCCAGAACTGACACGGTCTCTCTTCACAGTGATGGGAATTTTGCTGTTAGCAGGGTTTGAGGATATTTTCTTTGCTGGTAGGCTGTAAAATCAAATTCAGTGCATGCTGCTAGCTTGCTGTCTGTTGGACTGTCAGGAACCATCCGTTTGCTTTGGTCTGGTAGTCTGTCCACTTGTCATGGAAGCCAGTCTCATCTGAAGTCTCATGCTTGCTGGAAGAAGTGGTGAAAACTTGCTTTACCATATCTAAGAGCAGAATTTTCTTGGTATTTGAATGGTTCAGAGTGGCTAGTATGAAGACCCCAGTAGGCTCGAGTTTGAAATGTTTTGCCTCTCCTGTATGCGTTGATTCCTAGAGCCTTGTTATGTAGTACTCTGTGCAAACCACCTGGATTTCAACAGGACAATGTATTTATCCCTAGCTTACCAAGAAGGGGGGAAACGAGTTTATGCTCTGTTATGCCCCACTCAGAAGAAAAAGTACAGAAAAATATTTTCCTCTTGTTTTTTCCAGTTCTGGCTTTGCTGTATATTATCTGTAACAACAAGAGACCGTGTTTTAAGACAAGTGTGATTTGCATGCTTTTAAGTTAACTATGTCTGTATAAGCCGTAACATTGATTTGTTGTTCTTTCCTCCCCTAGACACCTTGTATATTCTTCTTTGATTATTTTTTTTTTTTTTTTCCCCCCTCTGCAGAGGTTTATACCAAAGATGGGAACTCATATGGAAAACCCTGTGAGTTCCCCTTTCTGTATAATAAGACGTGGCATCATGACTGCATTCAGGATGAAACGCATACGGGTGGGAAATGGTGTGCCACATCTGAAGATTATACTCATGATGGAAAATGGGGAATCTGCTTACAACCAGGCACGTTGGGTTTCTAAATAGCTGTCCTAAAAGTGTTCTGTCACTTTACGTATGTACAGCTCCACCTTGGTGTAGCACATTGCTGTTAAGCCGAGTAAAAGCAGGTCCCTTTTCTGTTGCAGCATTGACAGGACAATCAGTACATGCTCTGCAGTATATGTGATTACCAATATAAAAATTGCTAGACCTTCAGTATTACAACTTTTCTTTTGAAACTTTCATGATGTTTCAGTATAGTTGTAGTTACAAGTACTTTCTGCTTCCTTTAAACAGAGGATGGTTGTCATGATATCTGGGAACGTGATCCGGGGTCTGAAAGCTGCTACCAGTTTAGTACACAGTCTGCTCTTTCTTGGAAGGAAGCTTATATTTCATGTCAAAGGCAAGGGGGAGATTTACTTAGCATCCAAGATGCATCTGAATTAAGTTACATACAAGGTAGGTGTAATTATTCACATAAGAATATCAGGATATCTTGACAAATTAAGATAAAGTGAAGACAGCATTTTAGTTTCTGTCTTAAAATTCTGCGTTAAAACTTGATTGTATTTAAAATACATTGGTGCTTTCATTTGTGTAGCAAAAATGCTAATCTCACTTCAGAGATTTTTTTTTAAGTTTATCTGTGTGATTTCATTGTAGTGATTAGCTGTTGCTCATATTTATAATGAGAAACGTCCCCAAAATCTCAAATACAGGGCAGAGTGGATGTTGGTGTTTCAACAGCCTGTTACCCACTTGTTATGAAATTGTCCTCACTGATGTTCAGGCTTGGCCTGGGGGAATTACTAGTGTGCCTTTGGGAATATAAAACCAAAGGACAGACATCTGAAGGTATTGGGAGGGAAGACGTGTGTGAGTGAATTCCTCCTCAGTTCAAGAAAGTTTGCGTGTCTGATGATAGTAGCAATCTTTCTCTCCTCAAATGCATGCCCTTTCAGATCACATTTTTAACTTAAAGGAGACCAATAGAAGATGAGCATTTTGTACTAATTGTTTTCTTAAAAATAAAGCTAAGGATGGCGTTGCTGAGATCTTTTGGATTGGTTTAAATCAACTGGACGTTTCTGGAGGTTGGCAGTGGTCAGATCACAAACCTTTGAATTTTCTCAACTGGCATCCAGGTAATGATGTTTCTGGTGGTATTAATGATATTCACAACACTAACTAGTATTTTTTTTTTTTTTTTTTTTTTTTTACTACCCTTCTCTATCAGACTTCATCAAAACAATTATTGTTGTTCCATTTCTGTTAAAAGTTTGAAAACATCTTTTCCTCCTAGCCAGTGAATCTTTCTGCACTTGTTCTATATTTATGGATGATTAAGTTAATAAATCTCTAAAAAGGTAAAACTTAAATAGTATCTTTGAGGTCCATTTTAGTAAAGAATCTACAGCTTCTCTAGCTGCTAAATTTTTCTTCCCACTGACAAAATGGCATTGACTTCCCTCAAATATTACAGTTATTGATGTACGTGCAAGGACTGACATTACTTAGAAGCCTAACTCGTGTTTTTAAACTTCAGGGTTGCTTAAACTTATTTTGAGGTGAAGACGAAAGAAGTATAAAACCTTTGAAAAACCTTTTTTAATTACTCTCAAGTTCCTAGTAGAATTGGTGCGAGTCTTGTTTGTTTAGAATTTTCAGCATGTATTTGTAATATTCTCACAAATATGCCACAGATGTGTATATATGAGAATCCTGGAGGAATAATAATCAGCAATACTGAAGCTAATAATGTTCTGTCATTCAAGCTGAATTTCACCTTTTTAAAGTGGAATTCTCTTTTTCCTTCAGTTTCTAGAATAGCGCTGCAACATGAATTCTGTGAAAAGATAAGTGGTTTCTGTTAGTTCTTTGAAAGCTTTACTAAGAAATTTCTGTGAGATTTTCCAAATGTAGTCTGTCGTTTGGAAAGGTTAAGGGCCTTTCTGCTGCTTGTACTACTGGCTGCACCTTCTTCTGGAACTGTGATGATGCTGTGGCACTGTAATGCAGAGCTGGAGACTAGACTATCCTGAGTTAGTGGCATAATTTAGTCTGCAGTCATGGAAGACTTACTAATGTCTACCTCTCTTATGAAGAATACTTACTGGTATCTAACAGGAATTTTGCTAGCTGCAAGTTGATACCAGAAAACTTGATACCCATTACTTCTTGTCCTTTCACTGTACACCTCTGAAAAGAGCCTGGCACTGTCTCCGTTGTACTCTCCCATGAAGAACTAAGATCCACCCTGAGCCTTTTCTATGTGAGACTGAACAAACCCAGTGCAGGGGGGGCTGGGGTGCTCTGTGTAGGACACAGCTCAGGTTTGCATTGGGGCTCAAAGAAAGAGAAAGCCAGAAAGTGTTAGTGGAAAGGAGCTCAAAGGGAAGCTGGGAACTGCAAAAAAGAGTTCTCCTCTGTGACATTTTTAACTGGGGCTTTGTCTCAGGTTTCTGTTAAGGTAAGGGTTATGGTTAGCATTGAGAGAAGGAATGCAAAGCTGTGTTTGGAGTGGGGCTGGAAAGGGGCTGCCAAAGGAAACTGAGGGCTGCAGAAAGGGTTCTCCCCTGAGATGTTTCTAGTCTGGGAAAGTGCTCAGCCAAGGGTTTGTTGTATTGTAAATAGAACATTCCTCCTGGTTCTATGATTAAACATTGGAAGAGAAGTCCAGATTCCTTGATTCTGAAACTTTCTCTCTTACAAAAAACTTTCTGTGGGTCCTATGGTAGGACGGGTGCCTTCATTCAAAGCAAGTTATGTTCTTCAAATACAAAGTGCTGTACTATGCAAAGTATATTATTCTTGTATTGAAAACAAATAGGAAAAAGAAGAGTCACTACCTTACTGTTTGATAACTTGTGCTCTTCTGTTTTTTATTTGTTCCTGTCTATAGATATGCAGAGTTTGTCCCCACTGGATGGGACTAGCTGTGTGGTGATGAATGCTGCCTCAGGTCAGTGGCAGAGTTACCATTGTGGGACTCCACTTCCATACGTTTGCAAAAAGTCACTCAATGAAGTTTCAAGCCTTCCAGGTAGGACAGCTTGCAATTTTTTTTATATGTTAATATGAGTGTGATGTTCACTTTGGAGTCTTTTTTTCCCTCCCGAAGCCATCTTAGGCATCTCTGCCAAAACACTTTTGCAACAGCTTTGGATTTTTTTAGCAGAGCAGAAGCAAACTCTGTATCTTCAGTGTTAAGCTGATGCATCACAAACAGCTTCCATTTTTTGCAGCTTTCTCATTCACATGTAAAGCATTTCCCAGCACAGTCCTGCCCTTTTCATCATGTTTTCCTCCATGGCTTGTATCTTCTTTCATGTGTTACTGAAAGTCTGGAACTGGCAGTTGCACCTCGAACCTTTCCATCTCTGTTTTAAGCCCATTTCTCTCACTCTTGGTGTATATTGCCATAAAATGTGACCTATCTGGGGCTTGGATCACACACTGTTGAATTCAAATAGAAGTAGTTAAATGACCTTACTATCCTTTGAAACCAGGCCCAGTGCTGGAAATCAGGGTGCAAGAATTGGTAGCTTGCTCAGTGTGTAATCTTTACTGGATCCATAACAGCTCTTATGAGATATTTATTATCTCCTTCCTACACACACACCAGCTCTTATGAGATATTTATTATCTCCTCCCTAAACGTGCGCGCACACGCACACACACACAGTCCTTCAGTTTTTACAATGTCCAGCTGTGACATACAACTGCTTCCATGCTTTTGGCCATTTACCTACACCTGGATGTCCCACCCTTCCCATATCCATGGCCTGTTCTTCCATGTTCTTCTTCTTTGGCCTTACCCACTTTCCAGGGCTCATGCTTGTGGGGCTCTCATGGGAAAATTTTTACTGGAAGGTGATTGTCCTTGGATGAGGGGGAGGACTAGGGGATAAGAGGGATGAAGCAGTGTTGTGGAGGTGGAAAGTGTCATGGTGTGTCTCTGGCTAAGGTCTGTTCTCTCCAGCTCTCCCAGGAGGGGTGTGTGCCTTTCAGGGAAAAAAAAGTAATAAGCCATTTAAATTTAACTAAACTGGTTCAAATTTTTCAATGATTCCTTGAAAACTAGTTGTCAATTAACCATTCTTATCTGTTCTCTGGCTCCTCAGTGGGGTATGTGGAGTTGTTACCAGTATTTATACAGTGTTTTATTAATTAAAAAACAAAATTCTTGTGATTGAAGTATTTTATAGTGTGTTTCGAACCAGAAAGGCTATTAGTATACACCTTTTTCAGCATGCATTAAAAACAGTTGGAATTCTTGAATATCTTCGTTTTCAGAAGAAAAAAATATTTAAAACTAAGCATTTGTTTCGTTGCAAGTTATTCAAAATTGGTCTTATGTGTGATACTGCATATAGATAATAATGCCCTATAAAAGTGCAGACCCTTGCTAGAACAAAACAAGCAACTTTTTTTGAAGCTGCTGTCCTGTAATGAAGTAACTTGATTTGCCTTTAATTGCTTTTGAAATCTTGCTTACAATTACTTCTGAACCTTTCACTTACACTAAGACCAGCTTAATGCAATGCATTCCAGCTTTTTACTTTCATTCCTGCTAACTCCTCTCTCCTTCTGCCAGCTTCACGGCCCCAAAATATTACGAATCCCCATAACACTGCTCAGTCAAGTCTATTTGCTTGACTAAACTGTGACCCTTTCTTAAAACATTAACCCTGAAGAGATGTGAACACATTCTGATTGCTGCTTTCTGGCTGGTTTTCAAGGTGCTGCCAGATTTAAAACATGAAGAAAATGCCAACCCATCACACTAGCCAGTGTAAAACAAAACCCTCTAATTCCATTTCTCTTCACTATTAGAGTTTTGGAGACACTTGGATACTCGCTGTGATTCAGGCTGGGTTCCCCACAATGGTTTTTGCTACATGCTGATAAACAACCAGGCACCTTGGAGTACAGCAGATGAGTTGTGCAAAGCAAATAAGAGTAACCTCATCAGCATACACTCATTAGCAGATGTCGAACTGGTTGTTACAAAGCTTCATAATGGTGAGTTGAGATACTTGTGAAGGTCAAGCACCAAGTGCTGCACACCAAAAATTACAAACTGCTTTCCATGTTCTAGCATATGATTGTCGTAACTTCTAGCTTTTAAATGAAGGTGTTAATGCTGAGCTTGTACACAGGCTGGTGCTGAGTGTTGCTGTTCAGGTCCAGGCTCACTGTGTTAGCTCTTGTTTTGGTTTGATCTATTTTACTTATTTATTTATTTATTTACTGGGCTAACCTACTTCTGGTTGCCTAGTACCTTGTGTTTAATTTTCTCATTCAAAGAGAGTAGTAGATAGTTGGGTGAGTATTTTGACTACTGGGTCACTGAACTAATGAATGTTATCTGTACCTTTTGGTCTTATGTTTTTGTCTGCACTCCAAAAATTACACTTTGTTTTTTTGCTTGTGTGTTCATTATTTCTGGGTTGGGTTTTTTTTCTGTTTGTTACCCTCTCTGTGAAACTTACTCATATTCATAAACATAAGTTAAGAAACAAGATAATGAAAATACGTTGCACTTGTCTCAAATCCCCTTTCTCGCTGTAAGAAAAGAAATTGTGGCATTTATGCTGTGCAGTATAGCAATAAAAAAACCTAATTTTGCTGATTTCACATTCCTTTCCAATTAGTTTGAATATTATTTTGAAACTACAGTGTTCTCCTAATTTTAAATTACAGATGCTATGGAAGAAATGTGGATGGGTCTCAGGAATGAAGATGTACCAACCTTGTTCAAATGGTCAGATCACTCAGCTGTGGTTTTTACATATTGGGATCAGAATGAACCAAAAGTTCCTTTTAACAGCACTCCTAACTGTGTGTCATATTCAGGCGAGGTAGGAATACAGTGTTGGGTTTTTTAGGTTTTTTTTTCCATCATAGTAGAGGCAACATTGATGTGTGTGAAAGTCAAGGAGGGGGTTCAAGCAGATAACTGATTTTATTTCTGGAATAATCTTTAAAATACAGTTAATCATTTTTCTACAAGCAAATTTCTTAAAATTGTGTAGCCAACACTTGGTAGCTATGCACTGCAAAGAATGGAAGAAATTGCTCACAGCTCTGAGACTGCCACTGCTGTTGACCAGCCAGTTGTCCTTGTCACTCTGCATTTTGGGTTACCGTATTCTTGCGTGTCTGGGGCAGGGAGCTAGGAAGGAGGTGGGCCGAACTATTGAAAGGAAAAGCTGGGTTCAGTCATCTCCAGGACCAGTTTGGGCCACCCTCTCTGAGGATGGGTAGTGAGATACCTCGGTAAGAGAAGAGAGGGTAGACACTGGGGGGATACAGTACAGAAGAAGCAAGGGGTGGGTGGGGGAAGGAGATCACAAAGGTGCGTGGAGAGGAAAGCAGGTTATATCCCATCTCCCAGACTGAGTAGAAAACTGGGGCAAGTGTCTGCTTGCTGTGCTCTCAGGCTGGCAGTGGAGCTCATGTGCCCAGCTCCTCTGAGCTGTCTCATCCCCATCTCCGCAGTAAGCTGAGCACACCCCCTGCACCCATTCCCTCCCTAATCTGGGAGAGTTGGCACCACCCTGGCCTTTTCTTCCCTTTTCAGATATGATCCAGAATCCTTCCGTCTCCGCATTTGTCAGCTTTCTCTCTCCCTTCCAAACGTGCACCTGTGCATATAATCCAGGGCATCCCACCCACAGTATTTTTGCTAGAGGCATTTTGGCTTTTCCCCTTATGACAGCTCAGCCCCCACGTTATGAAAATTGAGATTTTTAGATTTTAAATACTTTTTTTCCCCCTTCCTTCTCACAGCTGGGACAGTGGAGAGTCAAATCCTGTGAAGAAAAATTGAAATATGTGTGCAAGAAAAAAGGAGAGATTTTGAATGAAACAAAATCAGATAGAAGTTGTTCATTGAAAGAGGTAATAGGAAGTCTATTTCTTATACTTTCACTTGGTTCAGAAACCTGCATAAAATCACTTACTTCCTCTACTTCCCATTTCCTTCTTGCCCGTACAATAAAATCTATGGAACGTTTTAGCTGAAAAAGGGTATTTATATAGCATGAGCCAAATTTCAGATTCTCCTAAGCAGGCTTTGGATGTACTGCCACTCTATTGATGAAGGTATTATGAGCTTGGACCCAGGAGATGATGTGTTTTATTTATTTGTTTGTTTGGAAAAAAAAATATTTTACTAGATATGTAATTGCTAATGCCATTTGTTCTGTGGTTTTTGATTTAAGTATGTTTTAAAATTTAGGATAAGCACTTTGCAACATAAAGATATGCAGAAATTGATAATCAAAATTAGGTTTCTGTTACAGTTCATTTGGCTCTCATTTTTGTTCTTTGACTTGAATAAAGGTGGGGGGTTTTTTTGGTTTTTTCAGCTTTTTGTTGTGTTGTGGGGGTTTTTGGGGGTGTGGTTTTTTTTTTTTTTTTACAATATAACATGTTACAGCATAAATAAGGCTTGAAAAGAAGTCTTTTCTGTTTTGAACAATCTTGGGATGGTATTACTAGCTACTTTGGAGTCCTTTGGTTCAGTTTTGTGTGGCATACTGCCTGCAACAGGAAACATGTTTACCTCCTGTCTGTCTTTCTGCACAACCTGGGGGTATTTTTACTCTGTCTCTTCAGAGTCGGGCAGCATGTAGAGTTACAGCTTGCTGTGCTGTTCGGACACTGGTGGCATTGGTAGGCTAGCAAAGAGGTAACACATTAGCGTTCTTTGAAATTTCAGTGTAAATATAGGGGAAAAGATTTGAATAATGTGTGAACTTAAAAAAATTCTCTATTTTCTGTATGAAATATTTTTTTCAGAAGTAAGGAAACACTAGTAATACCCTCTTATTATTCCTCTGTTTGAATCCTGGCATTGGTGGAACAGCATGAAAACTCCTATTGTTTTGAATAGGACTAAGCTGTTGCCCTTGTGTTTCTCTCTTTAAATGCACATAGCCGTCAGAAGACCCTGCACAGTTGAGCTAAACCAGTGGTTTATTTTATTCCCGTGCTTGCTTTATTTCTTAGAGCTGTGAATCTGAGAGTTGATGATACTGCACCTTGTATGTGATGCACTGCATTTCTTTCTTGTACATGCTGTGCCAGCTTGTGGGCACTAACCAATGTTAGCAATGATTTCTTTTGTCCTGTAGATAATGCCTAAATTAGGTGGTTATGTATAAACATGTTTTTCGTTCTTTAACCAGGGATGGGAGAGACATGGAAACTACTGTTACAAGATTTATAAAACAGAAGTTTCATTTGGAGCACAGTGCAATCTTACAGTGATGAACAGGTAAAGCACATCTCTGTAATTTATGGGCATGTGTTACAGTACGATCCTGGAGATATAGTCAGAGATTAAGACCTCTGTATGCTAATTAGTGGTTTATAAAGAAAAAATAGAGCTAGAATTGCTTTTGCAGAGAACTAGCAAACCATGTTTTCCATGGTGTGACAATGGTAAACCTACAGGGTACAACCTTCTTGGAAGTATGTGTATTCACAGCCTGCTGACCGCACATTGAATACGGGACTGCCTGGACAACCGCTTGAACTAACTCATGTAATAATATGTCTGGTTTTCAAATATTGACTCAAATTAATCTGTTAATTTTCAGATTTGAGCAAGAATTTATAAACAGTCTAATTAGAAAACACACCAAAGTTGCAGAAAAATACTTCTGGACTGGTTTGCAGGATATTAGCCAGTCAGGAATATATTCCTGGGGTACAGTGGATGGGGAAAAAACTGAAGCTGTGACATACACTAACTGGAATTCCTTGCAACCAGGTAAATTTAACAACAAAGTATGTAAAAATATTATCATTTTACATTTAGCGAGCATTGGAGTACCATGTTACAGAACTCCAAGCATGAAATAAAATAGTCATTCAGAATTCTATGGACTTTTTGGAAAACTAGCCAATAGTTTTAAATATGTCTTTGGTGGCTTAAATCTTAGCATTTTCAGGAGGATGTGTGGCCATGCCCAGTGGAAGTTCTCTTGGAAAGTGGGAAACTAAGGACTGTAAAACCACTAAAGCATTTTCTGTCTGCAAAAAATACATTGGGCTGCCCAAGGAGCCAGAAGTGCTCCCAAAGCCAACTGATCCCTGTCCGCCTGGATGGCACAATGGATCTGGCCTTGCCTGCTACAAGGTAAAATATTATTCCTGTTAGATGTTGTTCATTGCTTTCTTGCAGCAAGTGTGTGATAAGCTGTTTTGTGGCTTAGAGCTGCTCTGAAGGGTATTTCAAAGATGTTTTACACTGGGAGGAGGAATTCGTGTTGATTCAGGCTGACTGCCTCCAAATGTTCTCATGCATCATCCTCTGCCGATTCCTGAAAGATGCAGTGTGCCTCTCCCTGCTTTTTCTGCACATCAGAGCTGAGTGGGGCAATAGCATTTGCCCTGTGCTGCCATCTTGGGAGCCTGATGCTGATGGAGAGTGCCATGTCTGTATCCTAGCCTGCCTGCCATCATCTGGCACGCAGAGACACCTGAATAGGGAAGGAAAGTGCTTTGCATTGCCTTCCCTTTGTCCTTTTTCTTTCCATATTCTAAGAGTGTAGATAGCAGAGGTGGGATTTTCTCTGGTTTAAATATGGATATTAAACTTCATCAAAAAAGTGCAGCCTCAATTGTGTTTTACTGGTTTTGAAGTAAATAGTGGAAGTGAGCAGCCATGGTGTTAGCTGGAATGGCTTAAACAAGTTTGTACTTAGGAGGAGAAAAACCTGCATTTCTATTAACAATCAAATCAAGTTAAAACTGAGGCTGTGTATTGGATTGTTTATTCATTATTTCTAGACTTCTGCAATGAACTGTCTTGTAAACAGCTCATGTAGCAAAGTGGGGAAACCCAGCTTGAATAACAACGCAGTGGGCAAGGATCCTGAAGGGATGGGTCTAGCTGATGTGCAGCACAGCTGTCCCGTAGCTGATGGGATGTGACAGCTGGCCCTGGCAGTTTCTCCAAAACTCTTGTTGACCAAGTACAGCATGTCTGTGCAGAAAGATCCAGCTGATGGGAGTTGGCTTGGACTGAAGTCAAGGGGATCAAGTGGACATGTTAGCTGAGGTGTATGAGCCAAGTATGCAACTCTTGATACATACAGGTAGCAAAGGGAGTGCCAAAGAACTTTCTTCCCCTGGAGCACCCAAATGGGCCTGGTTTCAGTGAACATTGGGCTTTGGATTTCACCATAAATTTGAAAGAACAACATCCCCTAAAACATATAATTTGGCTTGCAGTTTTGGAATGAGTTGGGTGTTGTTTTCTAAAATCTTTCTGGTAAAGAAAAACAGAGAAAGTCTGCCATATGGAGTACGTTGCATTTGAAATAAATTTTGTCAGCTAAACTTCAGAGTCTGGCTGTTGTCAAACAAACTGAAAAAAAATTAAATAATTGTCAAGAAGTCAAGCTCTCTCCCTGTGGAAATACCAGTTATTCATTCCTACCTAGGGTGGCCATATTTGAGTAGTACAGGAGTGTTTCAAAAATGCAGTCACTTGTGTCATTTTCTACTCTGATGTTTGGCTGTTGTAAAGTTCTTCCACAGTGAAAGAGTGCTGCGAACCAGGACCTGGGAAGAGGCAGAAAGGTTCTGTGAAGCACTTGGAGGCCATCTGCCTAGTTTTAGTCACTCAGAAGAAATCAAGGCACTTCATTCTATCCTGAGAAAAATAATCAGGTAACAAACTAGCCATGCGCTAGAAGTTTGATTTTTGGTTGCATTCTGCAGTAGATAGCAAATGCTGCTGCTGACCCCAAATGGCAAGCATGAGATAGTGTGCAGTGACTGTGTTTCCCACAGTAAAAAGGGCTAGATGTGGCATTTGAACTGCTGGTCATGTCACTGCCTTCCTGGAAAATGTCAAGGGAGTACAGCGTGGGCAAATGTTTCACATTGCTAGAGAGAGCACAGGAAAAGAGAGATTTGCTTTGAGCGTCTTCCATTACATGAATTTAAGCCTGTGTTGTTACAATAAGTGTTTCCTTCTTTATGTTGAATTTTGGACAACAGGATGATAGTTGTTCCTATTCTTTACCGATACATTCTGTAGAGATTAGTTATTTCTGTTTTTCAGATAGGTCTCATCTTTATTCATGAAATGCTTCCTGACTAAACTGGGTTCTGTCTTTTGAAAATGTGAATAATGTAGTGTCCAGCAATCTGGTTGGCATGGATCCCATTTGGCATAACTGCAATAACACTATATGGGCATTAGATGGGTGTGTTGAGTTTTCTGGTATCAACAAATTAAATGCTACATAATTTATGAGTCTAAGGCTCTATTTTTAATGAAAGGAACTGTCACTGCAAAGCTTTATTAGGCATTGGTGTGATGTCAGATCCTTGTGTAATATGGTTTTTTTGATTGGCAGCCTGGTTTTTCAGAACTTTTGCCAGCTTAAACTCAAATGCTGCCAGTTAAATGTTCTAATTTTTTTTTGATCAACAAACTAAATCGGGATTATTTCAGAGGCTGCCAATGTACAACACTGTGATTAAATTTTAAAACTTGATGACTGAAGAGATGCCTTCTTGAAAACCCAGTGAACTTTTTTTAGAAGTGCACAAGTCATGAAAATTACTCAATGTTTATATAGTAAGAGACAAAAACAAACTTGTATGCTCTATATATAGATGGTTTAGCTTGTATAAAAGCCACTTGTGATTCCTTTCCTAAAGTGACTAAAGTCGATGAGATAAAAATTAGTGCACAAATTATTTTTAGCTATACATCTTATTATACTGTTTTGCAATTACAAATTTTGTTTTAGTATACCTAATCTCCTATGAAACATGAATAGAGAAGTAACTTTATTTTCCTCCTACAAGTACTTGAAACTGCTTTTCAGCTTGCAGACTATCTGAGGTATTAATTATAGTTAATGGCCATTTTTTGTTAGGAGTTTAAAGGTGGAGACTTTTTATGTCTTTCCAGAAAGTCAGCTAACACATGATGCTACTGCAGTTCCCATATTTCAGAAAACTTGAACTTAGCCTGGAAGAAGGAAAGTCCCAGTACTTCAGTATTATTCTAGCAGAACTTAAATAAGGGGCAATATATTGAGCCCAGTATAGATTGACTTTGCAGTCAGTGTTGCAGTAAATGCATGTGTCAAATATAATGCAAAACACACTATTTCCATCTAGGTTAACCCCTTTTCAAGCATTGCAGAACTTCCTGAACAGAAATACTGCATACTTGATATTGCCCAAAGTCTTTTAAATAACGTTTGTTTGTTTAGATAACGTAATGAAGTGTTTAAGTTAGTTATGTTCTTAAATTACTCAGAGGTGGTGCTTGTATTTTGGAGATCAAAAGTCAAGGGTAGCTTGTCTGAAAATAAGCTCATCTGAGAAAGGAGAGAAGAAACCAGGTGAATTACTTAATGAAGAACAAATAATTTGGGTAACTGGGAGAAATCATCCTAAGATAATGTTAGATGTCATTAGCTGCTGGAGTGTGCTGGCATGCAGTTTGTCTGTGTTCCCTGCATTTACTTAGTACAAACTCTGACCTAAACTATTCATTCAGTGCACTCATTTCAGCTTGGGGAAGGAGCCACACCTTAGCTTTTTTAGTTTTGGGCTCTTTCCCCTTGCACAGTTCTCTGGTGACTCATTGTGAACTGTTTGTTTTCAAATGTTAGCAAAAGTCAGTTTGGTTCACCAGGAAAAGGGCAGCTTGCCTAGTCCATTCTGTTCTTTACTCAGATTCCACCTTAGAGGCAAATAAGAGCTAGAATTGCTTCAGCCAAGTCGGGTGATTGCCATTGGAAAGGAAAATTAAATTTGCTTGCCAACCTTCCCCTGTCTGGAAGAAATAGGAGATAACCTCTTTTCATTTTGAGGGACATCATACAGGCAGAACAGATCCGGTTCAGTTACTTCCATTCTTTTAGGATTGTTTTTGTGAGCATTCCGCAGCTTATAGCTGGCAGCAACGCTGGATGCAAGGAGAGTAACAGCTTGGATTGCTTAGAAATAACATTTCAATGAGAACACCTTACTGGAAAGAAATCAGTTGCCTTTTATATGCACAGCTCTGCTGCTGTAATTGTTCTGAATCTAGAAAGCCTCACTAACACCTGAGTTTGCAAGAAAAAACTGATCTTATTCTCAATGCACTGACCAAAACAGCAATAAAGCTTAGATGCAAGTTGTAATAATCGCATTAATACAATTTCTCTTTTCTTCCGCTAAAGAGTAGGTGATTAGCAGAGTGGGAATTCAGCTAGTGGCAGTAGCCTGTTACAGAGGGAAGAGCAGGGGGTCAGGTGGGCTTCATATATACTTTTAGGCCAGCACTGCCTAAGATTAGAGGGTACCTTAAATTGCACTGTTAGGGAGTTGGCCCAGATGTACGCATGTTACCTCTTGTCAAGAACTGGGTTGAACTACAAGCCACTTCACTTAGGCTCTTAATCTTGTGTTGGAGCTGACATAAGGGACAGAAAAAAAATCCTTTTTCTATTTCAGCAGTTAGAATATGACAGTAGAAAAATTACTGTTTTATGTTTCCTTCACATTGGTCTAAACTGTATTTATCCACTCCTGCACAACATTGACTTTTATGAAGTTTTACTTCTGTGTGAGAGAAAAGCCACTGGTATTCTGCAGGGATTGCTGGAGATTTAGAGTCTTCCATTGTTAATCAGCATGGAGTCCACTATAAAGCACAAATTGCACCATTTTTTAGGTTGAAACTCAGGATAATCTAGGTTTTAGAGGCGGTTCCAGGAATGTAGCTCAAAGAATACTCCGGCACTGATAAATTTTGATACTAGTCCCTGTGATGAATTTTAAATGCTTTGCAATGAGGAGACAGATACCCAAAGTACAAACAAATTCCTTGCTGCAAGCTTAGTTGCAATAGAGAGTCTTAGTTCATATTTGTCTTAAATAGTTGGTGGAATTCTTTTCTGTGATGAGATGATAGTGTAATTTCAGAGGGCTATCAAAAGCCTTTACTTAAGCTTAAAAGTGCTATCAAGGATACTGTAGCAGTTACTGAATTACTCACGGTCATGTCTGAACAGTTCCAAAAGAAGCAAAAAATGTACATTAATGTGTAAGTGCCCAGTCAGCTGGAAAATGTTATGTTTGCAGGCCAGTAATTGTAAATTAGGAGATAAGCTGGAGAAATTCTTGACCTGGCACACTTTTTAATGTATTTATTTATTTATTACATAAAAGCCAAATATAAGTTGAAAGACTTTGAAAAATTGCTCTAGTTCCTCAGGTAATTGCTGCAGATCTTTCTGGAGTGAGTGTCTCAAATTTTCTTTTTAGTAGATATTCCTCTGTGATGATCAATTGCTTAAATTGCACTAAGCCTGTAGGTGACAATTAGGGGGGTAGGGTTAAGCAATGTCTGATTCAAAATTGGAAAGAACAATCACAGAAAAATAAAATCCTAAAGGCAAATTGCCAGAAGCCACTTAGCTGCTTGACAGCTGTGAATGTTTGGCTCGCAGTTTTCCCTCTGGAGTGATACAGGGCATTTAGGCTCTTTAAAGGCTCCTTAGTGATATCATTAAAAGCCTAAAGACTATTCAGTATGATAAGATCACACTAGTGTGATCACACTATCACACCGATGTCAGAAAAGTAATACTGGAGTTGAGCAAAAAAGCAAAAATGAGATTTGTTGGTGGCTGATGCTTTTCTTTCTAATGGGAACCCTACCAAATAAAATGCTGTTGCCCTTCTTGGATTTCATGTACTTAGCCCACATACTCTGGGCTAGCTGTTGTTTGTTGGTGCTGCACTGTCAGCCATTTCAGGCTCAATTTAGCATCTTTATGGTGATATGTGTGGAAAGGTAATGGCATAGTCTTACCAAAGAATTTATTACCCTGTGATTTCATAACGTTGCTTATGCAGGTAAGCCTGGGTTTGAGTCCATCCTTCCATGTAATAAAGTTATTTTCATAAACTTTCCAAGTTCTGTCTTAAAATTACTTTGTCAGCTCTACCCTTTTGGGATCCTTTTCCAAACTCTGACCTCTGCTGGTCAGACATCTCTTTCCAATTTTGAGCCTAAATTTATTTCTGAGTTGTGGTTCTTTCAGACACAATGTTCTTTTTGCTCAAATAGCTCCTCTTCTTGGGGGTCTAGTCTCCTAATATATTGTAAAGAATAATTATATCCTTTCCCTGTCTGTCTTTGTCAAGGCTAGACAAGAAAATCTGTAATTCTTGTTAATAACCTAAACTCTCATATCCTCAAATATCCCATCTTCCTTCTCTGTATTTGGTACAACATGAATTTATGGAATAGTACTCCTGATACAGTTTTACAAGAGCCCTGTACTGCAGCATCAATACTTCACTATTGCTGTCAGACCACCTCGATGAGAGTGCCTTTTCCACAGCTCTATTGCAGTAGGGTTTCACGTAGTCTGTGATTTCACAGAAGACTCATGGTCTTTCTCCCCTCTGCTGCTTCCAATTGATACCATTAAGTACCTAGCACAAAATTGATACTTTGAGCAGTAGAGGTTGCAGTACAAAACTAACCTTGCAGTTTGACTAGCACATATTTCATTTTGTTATAGTATCTTTAGATTCATAAGCAATAGTAAAGAGTATGGTAAAGACTGTTACTGTAGATTTAATTATTTACATTGTAAACCTGGTTTTTTTGGCAACTTTGTATCTTGGAGCATGGCTGAAATTTTGAATTTAAGCATCCCCTGCTTATTAAAAATGAAGAAGTAAAATCTAGAAAGAAATACAGTTCTGACTGTAACTGCAAGTGAACAAAGAAATTACCTGATTTAGTTAGTTTTCTCTGTGGTCAGGGAAAGACTACCTACAGATCTTAAAGAAAAGTGCAGAAGAGGTCTTAGCTTTATGCCCATTTTCTCTTTGAACTGCTACAACTTGCAGTAGTAAACCTTTGGTTTTGCTGCTTGATCCTAAGTAATGCCATGACATAGGTCAGTCTTTCTATTAAATGAGCTGAACCATAGACTTGGCTTAAGATTTTACCTTGTTTATTTACAGCAATGACAGATGGGTATGGATTGGAATGAATAAGAGGAGTCCCGATTCTTTGGGAACCTGGCAATGGAGTGATGATAAACCCGTAAGTTAACTTTTAATGAGGAAATGTCATGTCCTGGTTTGTTTCAGCTTGGACTGGACTGAAAGTAAATTGATAAATATTTTAATTAAAATATGGCAAATCCTTCAAGAGATGAATAATTCAGAAGAAGACTGTGCACTTAGGAGCTGCCATCCAGGCAGATTTCCAATTAAAAGCATATCTTTAATAAGGTTACCTGATTTCTGTCTCTATTGCATTATAATATTTTAACAGAAATACAGTAGTAAACATCTAAGAGAGAACAAGATGTCTTCATGCCACAACAGAGGGGAGGGTTTATTAGTTCATCTCCTTGATACGCCAGACTTCTCCAAAAATATCTTCCTCGCTGTAATTGATTTATTTGCATGAAATTGTGAGTTCTTCCTCCCCACCCCCAATAATAACAGGTATGCAGACTCAAAACTGCTCCAGTAATTGCCATTTAACACATATTTTAATAGTGATAAACATAATAGGATCCCAGGTTTGAATGGTTATCTCTGGGGATTACCATAGCAAATATAGTCATAAAACAATGATTCTTTTATCTCGTCCATCCTGTAGGTAACTAGTGTTGTTATGCCACTTGATTATCTGGAAGATGAATATGATACAAGAGACTGTGCTGCATTAAAGGTTAGTTTTAAGGTTTTTAATAACAGCATGGATATTTTACATGGAAGTACTTGCAAAAAATAATTTTGCCAGCCATATATTGAATTTAGGTTGACTGCTGAGATGTTTCCTTTGCATAGTGAAAAAGTTGTTAGTGTTCCCTTTATCAATCTACACCTATTGCCAATTTTCCCTTACTCAAGCAGTTTTTTATGGACAAAGCGCTGTGCTAATGATACCCTTTCATAAGACTTCTTTTGAACTACAAAATATTTTAGTAACAGTGCTACTCTCTATTGCATAATGTCATACTATGTATCTCTTGTATATTACACATAACACTTAAGGATATAACATGGAGTCTAAAACAAAAAAGCAAACAGAAATGAAAATCTAGATTAGTTTTTTCTGAACTGCAAATTAAGAAAATGTTTGAAACCTAAAGTAGGGGAATGCAGTAGCCAGGATAGAGCATGTGTTTGTGTTTTTTGTGTGTATTTCCTTGTTTACTTGTGAAAGAGACTAAGTGCTATCTTGGTTTCTAATTCAAAATGTTAGGCCTCTGCTTAATTCCTAATTATGTTCTTCATTGCTTAATTTAGTCTTGATGGCATGAGTTTTAAAATGGCCTTTAACTTTTCTGAAGCATCGCCTGACTTTTTATAAGATCATTCCAATATGATCCCTTCTTTTAACCTAATTAGAACCACCTCTGCTTTTAGGATTTACTGAAGGAAAGGATAGTTGCATCCCTTTGCTTCTGTTCACAACCATTTCCCCTCATTCTCTCCTCCTGTGTTCATGACCCCAGGCTGAGAAGCTGTCACCATTAAGCTACTAAAAATTTTAGGCAAGAGGAGAGCAGTTTGAAGGGGACACTATGAATATAGTAACCTCCCTCCCCTACCTGCTAGGTATAGACATGTTCTTTCACTAAATGATAAAAAATTATCCTTGTTGCAGAGATCAGCAAGAGTGAAGTCAGATTTTAAGCTTGATTGTAAGAAATAATCTTAAATAAGAAAGAGTATTTCTGTGCCAGTTCAGATGGGTTCCTCTTTGAGCAGAAATGAGCATCATTTCAAGGCAACAAGTTGCAACAAATAATTCAATAATAAGCATCAGTGAGATCCTGTGTGCTACAAAAAAAACAAAGAAAGAACATCGCAAGAGACTTTTGTATGTAGACTTATCTTGAGCCCTTTACCTAATTGCTTCACAAGCTTGGCTAGCAGGGAGAGTTATAATTGAAGATTTACAGTTATATCTGCTAATTTTTTTGCAAAATAATTTGTGAGACTAGCACCACAGTAAAATATGCTGATTTTGCCAAAGTACCTTTTTCATTTCGCATTTCAGAGGCCTATGCCGTACAAACTCAGTTCTCTGTTTCTACTTTTATACAGACCTCTCAGTTTTCACGGAGATCATTTTGGAGATTTTATTTCCATGAAGGCAGAGACCTGGAATTTTACTTCAAGCCTTTTGATTGTGAAGCTAAGCTTGAATGGGTCTGCCAGATAACAAAAGGTAAACTGCAGTTATATCCATTTATTCATAGAAAAGAGTTTATTACTTGTTACCACTGACTTGTCATTATTGCCCAATAATAGAAACTTTGCAAACAGTATTTTATCATTTCCTTTCTGAACTGTTAAGGGGACAGTACGTGAGATGTCTCACCTATGTCATATACAAACAGCCATGCACTTAGAATATTCAAAGATCTATCAGAAAATGACCATGAGGAGGATGCAGTATCACTGCTCCCATATTCTTTCTTGTCCCGTGAAGTGAGAAGTGGCTTCTTACTAAGTGAGGTGATATAAGCCACTGAGTTGCAGCATTTGTGGACTTCACTTAATCTTTCTTAGTAATATTTGTAACGATATGACCACAGACATCTTGGGTGTATGGTTTGTTTCAACCTGAAGTGAATTCTTCTGGTAAAACTGGTGAACTAGCTCCTCACTGTACTGAGACAGGGGAGTGGGAATACAATAGAATGGCATGGCGTATCTGCCATGTCAAGATCCAGGTTTTTCCATGCAGTACGACAAGTGCTGTAATCCAATAGGCTTTTACATTTTGGTCGTTCATTAAAAGGCATTTCAGGGGATGAAACTTTCTTCTTGTGGGGAGATAGGGGTAGATATACTGCTTTGATGCTCATATTCTGCTTGGCAGAAAAAAATCCACAGATGTTTAAAACTGAGGTATGCAAAACTCCCATTAGTTTTACACCAGCTTATTTCAAACTATTAAACCTGTGTATGATTTCCTTCTCCTTTTATTTTTTCCATCATGCATACTGAGAAGCATGAGTACAATCCATCACTTCCGTTATTGGTGACCACAGTCTTGTTAGAAGTTGAACTTGAAGTAACTATTCCTTTTTTTCCTCTGGACAGGTAGCATTCCAAAGACACCTGAGTGGTATATACCAGGTAAATGGACTTTTTGTGTATGCTTCTGCTATGTGTTTATAGTTGTTAATACTCTATATCTTTTATTAGTTTCGTTATATTACTACTGTAATACCTGTTTGATACCAGCAAAGGTCATGACTGATAGAATTTGATTCTGAGAGAGCTCAGAATGCAAGGAGTGTTGCTTCTTCCCAGTGTCAAACTAAAATTTCTTAATACGTGCAGAAAAAGAAAAGATTAGTTTTTCAGAATTTATTTCTTACACATGTGGTATTTCTTCTGCATAGATGAAATCGGAATTCATGGAGCCCCACTTGTAGTTGATGGAGCAGAGCTGTGGTTTGTACCAGATAAAAACCTGACCTTCCAAGAAGCTATTTTCTACTGTCAAAAAAATGATAGTGATTTAGCCTCTGTGGAGTCTTATCCAAAACTCAGGACAATACTGTCTCAAATAGAAAAGGTAAGGGGGTGTAATCTGTCTAACAGATAGTTTCCACTATAGGGAAATTTTCTTGCCAGTTTTTCCAATATAAGAAAATGTTAATCCTTAATTTCTTTCTTTTCCCTGTTGTCCTTAATACTTTTTAATTGTACTTTAAAGGAAAAGATGAGTTGAAAGAGAATGACTTTAATGTCAGTTTGTAAAATAATTTTTAAATTTAAAGGTAGCCTTAACAACATGAAAAAAAAAACCCCCACCACCTCCAAATGGAGAGACAGTGTCATAAAAGGACCACCATGTAAGCATCCCATTACCTGCTAATACTTCACTAACAATTCTGCCAGTTCTTAATTTTATGCATTGGACAGCACATCATTTTTCACCTGATGAGAGGATTTAACCAGAAATGTGTGGTCAGATAGCCTTTTCTGAAAGGGGTTTGTGGTGCTCATAGCATGAAAGTACATTCTTTTAAGGAATCTTACCAAAACATTTCAAGTTTCAGTGCCTCTGTTACTACCTTTCTTCAGTGCTACTGCTTGTGACACAATACTTTGTGAAATTAGCGGCTCACAAGCTCTTTTCATGAAATTTCTCCTGACAAGAAGTTACCTGGAAGGAGGAATTACAAGGCAGGAGAAATCGAGGATTTGACCTGCTACGCCTCTAGCCTTTTCATGAACTATTTGTTCTTAGGCTATCTACTGGAAGAACAGCATTATTCTGAGGAAGGAAGGAAGGTCCTGTGGAACCACTTCAGCTTTAGGCACCTTGCAGCTAGGTCCTGGTTGTCTGGTAGAGTTCCTGCTATGAATTTTGTGGGAATGGCGTATCTAGCACACACTTAAGACAGTGCTGCAAGATTTCCTGTAGCTTTATCCAGCACAGTGGAAAATACGGGCTTTTTTTTCTAATGGGTGCAGGGATCCATCAACATGGCATATCAGTCTCAAACCACTGAAGAATAGTAATTCCTGCATATTTTAGAAACATTTTAAATCAAAATTAATTTTGTCATTGATTTATCCTTGGTAGAGTCTGGAGCTCTTTCTCCGTGGGTTGTAAAATACTGGGTTTTTTGTTCTTTGTTTCCACAGTTATCAAACAGCGAACAGAAGTGGTGGCTGAAGTTTATTGATTATGGTTACAGCTATCATTCACCGTATGTAGAATAATTATGGGATACTTTACTGTAAGCTTTTTTGATGTGCTTTTTAGGAATATAGTTAACTAGAATAGTTTCCAAAGGAAAATATTTTATCCTCAAATTTATAAAAGGTTACTTTTTCTTCATCGTCCCAAAGAAGCAAAATAAATAAATTGAACTAAGCTAGATAAAAATATAGAATTATTCAGTGACCACTGTTCTCCACTTTTGTTCACATGTACCCGCACCTATTCTTCCCATGCTAAACTTAGACCATAGAGTACCTAAACCAGAGAGACTAGAACTGTGTAGTGCTCAGACAAAGCAAACAGTGGTTAAGACAGTATGGGTGTACAATTAGAAAGTGGGAATATTTCAAAATATTGTTGAAATATTTTCATTAGCTGCTAAATTCTGAGTTCTATTCCCATTACAAGCATTATTGACATAAAAAATTTAATTCATAATAACTTAATAATAACTGAATTCATAATCCATTTCTCATGTGTCTATCGGAGCCTCTAGATTTCAGGCTGTTGGGTTTGACATCTTAGTGTTATCATGTGAATCCTTGAAATCTGTGATCCTAGTAGCTAATGTATTCTATTGATCTTTAAAATGCTTTTATTGGATTTTTAAGCCCAGTTCTATGTTCTGTTAATAACTGGGGAACTGGAAAAAAAAATTCTTAAAAAACCCCTGTCTGTTGGCTCTGAGGATATCTGAGAAATACCTGAGAACAGGGAATGGGAAATTGGAGGGCTTATAGTATGGCCCTGTAGAGCTGACATGACTCACAACAAACCTTGCCATTCATGGCTGCAGCAGAGGATCATGGGCTTCTTAGAAGGAAGATTCTTGACCTTCCAAAATACTATAGTAATATAGTACTGTGAAAATAAAACAGGGGCTATTGCCTATTCTTCTCACTTGTCCTGACAATGTGCTGCAATTGCAGCATGGTGATAAATAACCTCCTACCCTCATTCTGAACATCCCTCAACAAAGTTAATTTGGGTATGGTACATAACTACTGAACCTACCACATATTTGTTCCTAGTCTAGTTTTTCCCCCTCTGTCCTTTCTAGTGTGGCAGGGCATCTCCTAGAAACAGTTACCAGCCCAAATTTTTGTTTGCACTGGCTCTGTTGCTATCAGAGTTTCCACTTGAAGATCACATTGGATTGGAGATTAACTCTTAAATGTTTATTTCCAGTTTACAGTTATTTTCACGCTTCCATGATCGATTCCTGAGAGATTGCTGGTATGTTTCTAGAAAGAACTGGTATAGAGGTAAGGCTGTTTTTATTTTTTTCCTCTCTGTCATTATTATATTTAAAAAAAAAAAAAGTAGTAGTAATTACTGTTCTGCCCAAACTCTTATATTGAATGCAAATTGATACTGAATTAGGAGTGAATGGCTTCTTGGTGATAATCTGATTGAATTTTGAATCATTTATTTCTTCCTCATGGTAGAAGCCATGGTAATATTTCTTGATGACCAGAGGCAAACCTGAATTCAGATGACAAATTTTTATCATTGATTGTCACTCTTTTTACAGCATAAATTAATTAGGTGAAATCTGGTTTTAGTGGTTACCTTTCTGTGTTTATGCTACATACTGTGAGATCTGCAAATTAAGTCTTAGTGTTATGTTAGTTAGAGGAGCTTAACTGAATACTTGCAACTGCATGTGCATCTGGAGATGCAAATTTCATTGAGCAGTGGAGTCATACTGGAAGAGGTACACAAAGTAATGGAAATGTCACCAGGTGGTACTTGAAGTTTCTTATTTCCTTTTTTCAACATTGTTTTATATTGAGGGAAATGTATAACCCCTGGAGAACAAATAGTTCCTCCTGGCTACTACCATTTCCACTTTAAAGCACATTTCCCCCGTTATTCTGTTGTATGCTGCTGAGCTGTTTTCATCCCTATTAGCCAAAAATTGCTCTTGACTAGGAAGCCAGTCGAGTTACTGTAGGAGTCATGTAAAGTAGTACAGGCCAGACATTCTCCATATGGATGTTAAAGTATTCCTTTGGACTTTAATGACCTTTAGGTCACACACCCTCTATGCCAGAATATGGGATTAGTCCTCATATTTAAAATCTTCTTATTTCATGATTTTTATCTTTTTTTTTGAAGTTGTCTCTGCTTATATGAAGTGTTACCACTGGAAGTAAGGGATCAGATTCTGGATCTTTAGGAATATTATACTACTGTCTGATATAAATATTTACATTTTTTCTTTTGGTCTGTTGTTATTTTTAATGCTTTAGATTGCATAGTACTTCACTGGTTGCACTGGAAAGGACTTCACTTCAGATTGGCCTTTGTCATGTCATAAAGTATGGATGGCAATTGGAGTGTGACAGGCATTACCATAACTGTTTTATAAAACTTCTATTTCTGCAGACTACCCAGTGAACTGTAACGTGAAACTCCCCTTCATCTGTGAAAAAAAAAATGCCTCCTTACTAGAGAAACATGATCCCAGTTACCGCCCTGTCAGAGGAGGTTGCCCTAAAGGTTGGCATCAGTTCCGGAGTAAGGTACAGAGATAATACAAATCAATCATCCTTACCTATTTTTCATAGTCCAGTAAGCTGGAGTGACCTACTGAAAGAGGTGAAGAAGTAGCACCTGTGTTCAGGAATGGACTAGAAGGTGGCTTCTGAAAACTGTGTGTAGTGATTAAAATCATCTCCCCCACTTCTCTGTCCCTTATTCAGGATTGATGGTTTCTTAATTTCAAAGCAGTAGTTTTCAGGTTTTTTGCTTTCCCATCACCACATGTTTAGGTCCAAGAACGTTGGTTGTATTGTCTAATCTTGGGCTCTGCTTTGAAGGAAGAGAAGGATTAGAAAGGGAGAGGATGAGACTTCCGTGGCAGAAGCATCTTGATTCTCTCGCTGAGTAATCATAGGCAGTCAGCAAGCTGGCAGACACTTGGCTTCCTAAGTTGCCTTAAGGACTTAAGTCACTTAAAAGCTACTTCTAATTCTTAAGAATGAACCAACAGGTCAGAAGGCATAGTGTATTATGTTTCAGTACTATTTTTAAGGCAGCCATCTAGCATCTTAGTGAGACTGATTCCTGTTATTTGGCCCACCATTATTCTGTATATGAGAAGGACCAGATCTGCACATCACATTGTGCCAAGGTTTGCAGATTTACTTACACGTCATTGAGGAATATAGCTTTTGAGTTCCCATGTAGTTTCTCCCTAGAAGTGATGGATTACAATACAGGCTCCTGGCCCAACCCTATCTGACTTTAAGAGTTCATGTGTGAATTCTTAAAACGGTACATGATCCTGATGTAGCCAATGAAAAACTGCTGAATTCTAATCCTCAGTGAATGAGGACTTAGTCAGTGGGATCATTTTATATTTAGCTATTCCATTGAATCTAATAAGAAATGCATGCAGCTAGTTCCGTTGCTTTCTGAGAACTGTATGTTATTGCAGGAAATGAGAAGTGAGTTTTTAGGGTTGGTTGAAGAACCTTTTCTTATGAGTTATTTCTTAGGAAGCCATGGTGTGATGAAAATCTGTTTCATTATGTTTATTTTGCAGTGTTTTCTAAAGATGAAACCCGAATATTTAACGTTTAATGCAGCTAATGAAAAGTGTGTAACTTTTGGAGGCTCTCTTCCATCTATCTCAAATCAAGCTGAGCAAGGTATGATGGTGAACTGGGGGCACTTTTAGTATGTAGTTTCTCTTCCAAATTCAGTATAGTTCTGCTTAAGAACTTGAGCATAAAATCACTTGATTATCTACAGGCATACTGGGAACATTCTGAAAATTCAAGACTGGTTAAAAATGTGTTGTCTATTGTTGATTGCATCACTGGAAACATAATGTGGAAATGCAGTCAGCAAACATTTGAGCCAGTTTGAAGAGCAGCTTCTCTGTATGATCTTAACCTGTTTGCAAAAATTGCAAAACTTTGCATTAAGGGCTAAGGATAGAAGGGTCACCACAGAATGAAGAATTCTCCTGTTTTGCTTTGCATGTTAAAACATAACTGAGACTGTAGACTTGGCATTGTGAAAATCACCCTGTGAGCTGCTTCCAAGACAAGCTCAGCTGTCTGTATGGGAACAAGATGGCAAACACAGTGCCCACTGGAGCACATAGGACCCTCTGTGTCTTAGTGTGCTGAGCAGCTTAATGTGGCAGTGTGTCTAAACTGACCACCTGCAGGTTCTCCAGGACACTGATAGGAGGATAGAAGGCAGGGGGACTGCAAAACAGAGTTGTTCCACCTTTGGGACCTGCCTCTCAGCTGTCATGTAAGCTAGAGTCATTGAGGTAAAAGCAGTGAGGAAGAAATGCGTTCACATTGGCTGCAAGTAATGTTCAGTGATAAACTGCTGAATGAGACAGCTGTATTTGCATCTATATTGTGGATAACTAATAGTTCTGTGCAGGTATATCTGAAGTAGCTCAGTTGAATTCTCCAGCATGCACAGTGCATATTTTCTTTATAAGCAATTAACCTCTTGCCAAATGGAATACGGAAAGTGGACTAGGGACGCCACTAGTGTACCTGCAGGCAGCAGCTGAATGGTAATTTTTTTTTTTTTTACTGCTGTTATTGGGGAGGAATAGAGTTATAACCATACAGGAATATACATGTCCGAGACTGTGGTTTTGGATGATTTTAAGATTGCAAAAGCATAGCCATTCTGAAGTGTTACATAGCAGGATCTTTTGTCTAGTTTGGTGCATATGGAGGTGTTTGTTACTGTTCCTTGTTTGTTTTTTCTTTCCCCCCTGTAGTGAAGGCCACCTATATGGAAAGAAGGCACAGTCCTCTTAAAGCAGCATGCCTCTTTCTGTAGGCTGCTTCTACTCCTCCCAGTGGCATTAGGTGGCTGGCTAGCTCTGACATGTAAACCTTCAATGACTTTGTCTAGCTCAGAAAATAGGCTGTGGCTAGTCTGGCATGTGGCCAATAATTAAGACATGTCAGCAGTAGCTAATTACATAGTTTCAATTTGTCTTCCTAATCTAGACAAACTCAGAGAATGCCTTTGGTGCCTGGGGGGTTACCAAAGCCCGTTGTTTTGTGCCAGAATGCTCACCAAGAGGGGTCTGATTTAAGGTTTTCCTGGCTGAATTTTTTTCCAAATAACATCACTTCCTTCATCCTGTCCTGCTTTCTCTGATGGTAGAGTGGACAAACTCTGCCAGAATTCAAGAAATGGTTCTGATTTATGGTATACATCAGTAGGAGAGAAAAATGGGAGATAAGACTTCTCCTGTCAATTCAGAGAGGGCAGGAGGGAGCTCTTCTATTATCTCTGCAGGGAGACAATAGCAGATCTTGCAGACCTGTGGAAAAGCAGCTTCTGAAATTCGGATATAAGTGCAAGAATACAAAGTAGTGGGCAGAGAAACAGGTTAAACCCACTACCTGCTCCTCAGCTATGAATTTGGAGGACAAATACCAATAGTCTGCTCCTTCAGATAAAATCAACATGAAAGGTGTTATCTTATGGAAGGAAAGGACGATAAACATTTGGCAATCATAAAGGTCTGGGAAAATTAAGTTAAATCAAACAGGGGTTGCATTATCTTCTTTATGTGAAGTGTTTTTTTCAGATGTTTACTGTTTTCTGAACCACAATATGTACATTTACTGTTCTGCCCAACAGATTATATAACATCCTTGCTTCCTGGTATGCCAAAAGATATTTGGATTGGTTTGCAGTTTCTGTTCAGCACAAGGGAAAACAAATGGATAGATGAGAGTAGACTGTTGTATAGTAACTTTCACCCACTCCTGACAGGAAGATTAAGGAAAATTCCACTCGACGTAAGTTCTGACTTTTGACTTCTCTTGGCTGTTGAGTAATGAAACTTGGAATATTGACTGTATCAAAAAAAAAAAAAAAAAAGCCAAAAAATACGTAACAGACCAAATCCCCCGGTTAGTGGTTTTAATTGGCAAACAAGGTGACCAACAGTAATGGAGTTCTGTTTACTTTATTTGGATGACAACTTATGAACCGAGATGGGAAACACTGAAGGGTGAAGGAGAAAAGCTGAAACAACTATTTAATGACTCTTCTGGAACTTCTGTTTGCAATTTAAAGACTACATGAAAACAGTCATTAAAAAGATGTCGTCAATAATTCCTGGTTCAGTTACACTTAGAATGTATCTGCAAACCATTATACATTGGTATTTTGCTCCCTGCTCTACCCAAAGTGGAGCATAATAAATGTAATTGAATCACACCTACAAACAAGATTTATTTTAAGTGTTGGATCACTTAATTTAATATTCTCTCCTGTATTTAACTTATGAATTCTTTTTGAGTCCAGGCACCTGGTAGTGTTTGTAAAATAGGTAAGCTGTTTCAAACTTCTTAAACAAGTCCAGACAGCTCGAGTTCCCCTAACCTCGTGTTGCTTCACCTTCTCTACACAAGTATGCTTATGCCTCATTTGAGTCTGATAAGCGTATTTCTGGTTTTCAGCTTTTTGATGAAGAATTTAACAATCAGTGCGGTGTAATCCTTAATGATCCCAAATCACAGTATGTTGGAACATGGAATTTCACTGCTTGTGCTGACAGGCACTTCTTGGGTATATGCCAGCGGCCTATAGGTAAGTCTGAAGAGTCAAAATAAATTACAGCCAGAGTTTGCAGTTAAGATGCGAGTGCCAGGAGACCTTTTAATGCATGTAAATTGTTGCTCTTGAAGAGCAAGATTCTTGTGGAGACTGAGCAAGTAAATTTTGGAAAAGCAGAGTGTGAAAGATGATCTGGGACCTATTTTGTCAGCCATTCAGAATTTTCCCTTTTGTTTTTCATAGCCCAGTTCAAAGGGAATCTGTTTTCCTGAGAGACTCTGTGTAGTTTCAGTGGAACCATAACTTAAGCAGACAGGGCTTCAATGTTCTGTGGGTATAGAGGTCAGGTAAATCAAGGGGTGGAACAAGTTACTCCTTTTTCCTCTTCAGAACTGTGGAAGTGAGAAGCCCTGGGAAGGAATCTCACAGTATTTCCATCCTCCTTAAACATATCCTGTGGTTTTTAGCACTATCAGAATACGAGATATCATATACTCTTACTGTTGAAATCGGTCTCCCCAGAGGAAACCTTGAGGGCATACAAGAAGAGTGATAATCTGGAGTGATGCAGCTTTCCCTAGCTTTTGTACAGATCTGTTGGCGTGAGTGGGTTTTCTTAATCTGAACTAAAAATAATATTCTGATGTAGCCATGTGGGTTGGTTGATACCAATTACTGGAATCAGATCAAATGCATATAGCTATTGTACACATTTAATTACTGCTATGGGCTAATGTTCAGCATACCCACTTCTGAGTATGTTCCTTTATGTAAATAATCCTTTTAAGTAACTAATGTGCTATCTTCAAAAAAACCCACCAACAAACCCCACCCCAAAAAACCCAGGTGTGCAAAACACCCAGGAATATGCCCACCTTCTTCATTCTCAAACAGGCAGAGATTTCCCTGTCCCCCACCCCCATTTAACACAAAAAATCTTTATTTCAGTGCCAAATACTTTAAAAATTCCAAGTGTCCAGATTAGAAGTCTGGATGGAAGAGATGTCATAAATATTCAAAAAGGGGATTTTTATTAATAGGAAGTTGACAATATATCTGTGTAGATCAGTATATTATTAGTCTGAGCTGACTAAAATACTAAGCACTTCTTCCTTACCACAGCTGTAGAAGGTGTAATGAGAAAGGTTTTTGGACTGCCAGAGAATGTGTCCTGGTATGGTCTGGTCTTGTATCATCATTGTATTAGGGATCTAAGGATAATTCAGGTTGGAAGGGACCTCAACAGGTTGCAGGGACAGCTGTGAGAGAGTCCAGGTTGCCTAGGGCTTTATCCTAGGGAAAAAGACGATTTATGTTCCTTGGAAATCTTGGCATGATTGATTTGCAGAACTTCTTGAGATGTTAATTGGCAATTCTTTCAGAAATGGACACTTTTCTTACTACCTTGTTTCCAATTTGGTACCCCTTGATGTGCAATGGCACCCGTGGTTCTTTTTTGTAGCCATTTACTAAGTGAAAGCATTTCACAGCAGAGACAAACCACTTGAAACAATCTATTTCAGCTTTGTCACTTTTCTCAGCTATTTAAAGCTGTAAATGTCAAATTAATACTATGTTTCTGTCTTCGTGTGTTTTGGAAAATGGCCCTGTCAGCCTGTCAATCAGCCATTCTATAGAATGATTTTTTAAAAAAAATCCCCCCCCCAAGCCTTTTTCTGCTTGAGATATTTTAAATGTCAGGGGTTTTCTCCCTTTTGGAGAGCCAGTTTATTTTTGGTCATGTATAAAATTTTGGGGGTGACCATGTTTGCATGCTTTAATTTACCATCCATGGGAATGTTTGCATCTTTTATTAACTGCAGTTGCTATGCATCACTGAGCTGTATGCCTTCAAGTGTGATGCTGATAACTGTGATAACACTCAGTGCTTAGAGCACAAATAGTGAATTATACCCCTCCCTATGCAAGGTGGATTTTCTGCAATTAGTTAAGCACATGTGGAGGCAAAATCAATTCCCACTGTACCCATGGATGGCAGTAAGGAATTCTGGGACTGTGCTGTACTAAGATCTGCATAGACAAGTTTCATAGCCCATTAGATTCGCCTAAGCATAAATCCACAGGCTCCACAGAGATGAATGAGTCAAGTTTAGCCGTTGCTATATTGCAGCAGAGACCAGTCACTCTCTCGCATTCATGTATTTAAATAAAGCTATAGAATTTGTTTTTAATTCAATAAATAGAATTCTTAACATCATTTAGCAGTTAGTTAAAAATAACAAGTATAAAAAGATGTGAACCTAAGTTGAGAGAAAGATATATAAAAATAGATTGGCTGAAAATAATCCTTATTATTTTTTTCTTTCACATATTTTCTATCTAAAGTGTCAAAGATACTTCCTTCTAACTGTAATTATTTGCATAATCTACTGTTACAGAGAAATTGGGAGTTTAAAACGTATTCCAGTGTTTAACCACCTAATAACTGGATTTCTTTCTTACATATAGGAGCTGCTGATAACCAGACAGAGCAAGTCCTTAATGAAACATTGAGCTATCAAAATGTTCAATACATGGTAATTCCGAAGAATTTGTCCTGGGATGATGCAATGGCTGCATGCATAAATAACAAGATGCAGCTGGTTAGCATCACAGATCAGTTCCAGCAGGCTTTTCTTGCTGTTCAGGCTGCCCTTCGTAATTACCCACTGTGGATTGGACTCTTCAGCCGAGATGTAAGTTGTTTTTTTTTCTCTTCAGACTGTGTCTTGAGGTAATTTTCAGAGTTGTGTGAAATAGAAACTGAGATAAAGAAATGCAATGAAAAATTAATTTCTGGGGTAACTGTTTTCATTTAGGGATAACCATCTGAAGAGTCTCAAGATCAATGTTCTAAATCTTCAGTTCTCCAAGTTAGTTGGTAAACTCCAATGGATGGATTGATGATGAGGAGACAATTGTTTTAAATGATTGTAGGATGAAGGGATATATTGTAGGGTGGCAGCAACATAGATCACTGAATCATCTTTGCCTCGTTTTTTAATGAATGAGTAATTAGTGTTGCCATTTAATATCATTGCCACTGTTTACAGTACTACTCCAGAAAGAGAACCCAAAATCTGTTTTAAAAGGGAGAAACTAGAAAGGGCAAATAAAATCCAAAATGAATCATCGAACACTTCTGGAGATACATTTCTAAAGCTTAATTTAGACTCTGTTGTTACTTCATGTTATTTGCACCTGTGTTTTGAGTTAGAGGGAGACATCCCTGAGACACGTTAGTGGTTTTTTTCTTTTTTCTTCTGTTTGTTTTGTCTTTGCAAAAGTCAATGCAGGAGGTACTGTTTTGCCTTTTTTAGCCAGAGGACCTCTTGAAGATCTTCACTGTGGATTGAGAGCTTTCTCAGCTGTTCATGAAATGGCTTGGGCTTGGTTGCAGGGTTTATCTCTTTTGTTGAGCACATGAGTCCTGAGATAATTGCAAGAAAAAGGTTAAAATTTATTTCAGAAGTGCCTTACCTACAAAGGTTAATGGTGTTCACTCAGCATCTGTGGTGTTACAATCTTCCTATGTCAGTAATGGGCTACTGAGTATTCTAGGCAAAGTGGGGGGGGAATAGAAATTTGAGTATATACTTTATGGAGAATATTTTTAAAAGGAAATGGGCATTTAACCTTAGTGAAGATGGGGAAACCAAAACAACCTATTTTCCCTTCTCTTTTGAATCTTTATCTGTAAGTGAAGATCAAGTGATTCATTTTGCTGCATGAAACTCAGGCATGCACTGGCTTTTCACTATTGCAACACTTTGTTATTTGGGCACAATCAGAGTCACATGAAAGGAAATTATAATGAAACTGGTCAACAGAACTTGTTACTCCAGTGCTGGAATCATAGACAAAAAAGAAAGATAGAAGATAAATCCAATTACAAAGCTGCAGGGGGATTTCCTGAAGAAAACTTTTAAATGTAAGATTCTTAAAGGATGGCGTGCTTGTTGTATGTGGTTTTTTTTCTTATTCCTCCTGCATCCTCCAGGGCAGGAGCACATCTGATTTATTAAATCAGTTAAGTATTGAATAAATTACTTTCAACTCAGTGTGGAGTAACCGAGACTGGGCCTTATTCTCAGATGTTACCAGTTTTCCAAGACCAGATAATTATATCCACCATTGATTTGCAGGTGCAAATGATGCAATTTGGACACCTCATTGCCTTCCTCCATAAGCATAGTAGTTAAACATCACTATTTGATAATTTGCAATCCACTTCAGCTAATTTATATTTTTGCAACTGTAAAACTTAAAATAACAAAGCTTGTTATATTTGGAGCAGCAGATCACATCGCAAGGGCAGTGGAACACTTATAGTTCTTGCCAGAGACACTGTAAATGTCTAGCCAATGTAAATATATTATCATGTCATTTTTTGTACCTAATATTTTTTACTATGTAAGCTCATCCCTTTTACTTACACAATGCTAGGGTGGAAAACACTATGGCTGGCTGGATGGGAAACATGTTAGTTTTAGTCGCTGGTCTGAAGATGATGAAGAAACAAGCGAAGAATGTGTGTTTTTGGATACTGATGGCTTCTGGAAAACTTCTGACTGTTCCTCTGAAAATCGAGGTGCTATTTGCTATGCATCAGAAAGTATGTATCCTAGCATAATATTTATAAAAGCTGAATTTTGTTTTATTATGAAGCATATTTGATAATTCCAGATTGTAACTTCAAAATTATAACTTTTTTAAATTACATTTCCTCAGACAGGCTGATTTGCATGCCAGGAAAAAAAAGAAACAAACTTCAGATAGGGGAGCATGCACTTGTTGGTCTTAATCCACATGTTACTTACAAATGAATTTGGCATGGATGCATTGGGCCAGACTGTACCCTTCATACTGCCACCTGATTCTACCTTTGCACTGTTTCTGTAAGGTTGTTGCATACTAATTTCTCCCACTTGCATGTGGAAGAAGATTCAGCTACCTCTGTGCTATTTACATCTTAATATTGGGACCTCCTGAAATCTCTTCAGACAGGGAAGTCTATACAGGGAGAAAGTACATGACTACATGGAGAAGAAAGATAGCAGGTAGACACTGAATTGAAAGGTGTAAATTAAAGTAATCTGCAGTTCACAAAACCCTTCTAAATATATGCCAATTATAGCAAGACAGGTAGGGATATAGCAGGGTGCCTTTTGTGGGGCTATACATATGTAGCACGGCCCTTTTCTGAAAAACAAAAAAGATCTTTCTGAGAGATCATCACAGATTTCTTCCCTATGAGACCATTATAATTTGTTTTGGTTTTTTTCCGTGAGGGGACACAGTTAAGCCACTGTTTTACATACTGAGTCACAGTAAAGTGTATACTTGGCATTATGACATCCTTAACTATTTTGTGCTTGCAATCTAAGCAACTGCAGGAAGAGTCCTTCTCACTCCTCAAGTGTTAGATAAAGCCACAGAACTAAGATGTGTTGCCAGCTATGAAGTAGCTTATTTGTTATGGTGATCTGCCTTCATAGAAGAGGCAATAAGAGCTATTAGTTATTGGCCCACACTTCGCACTTTTATGTAGGGATTGTATTCTTAAACCTATGTAACATAACAATTGCAAAAAGTTGTAAGCATCTGTATTCTTTGATAATGCTTACTGCTGGGTTTGTTACTTTAAAAAAATCACTGTCATGAGGAAACTGAAAGCAACACTGTATTACACATTTAGAGGATGGCACTTAATTTGTCTTGCATGTTTTAAGTGGTTTGTGGTATGTCAGGTTAAGTGTTGTTATTAATAAGTCATGTCCTGAATGTCATCTTTCATTTCCTTAGAGAAGATTGAAAAAGAACAAGTTACACAAGTTAAGTGCCCACATAAGATTAAAAATACACCCTGGATATCATTTAGAAACAATTGTTACACTTTTATGATAACAAAAAATAGATGGAGAGAACTGAAGTCTCAAGAAGCTCATCATTTATGCAAGAAAATGAGTAAGTACTTTGTCATATTACAGGTATTTATGGACTAATATCAGCTTGAGGGAGATGAGTTTTAGATCTGAGTCACCGTCTTAAAATGACAGCAAAGTGAGTGTTGAGAAAAGGTTGTAGCATTTGGAAATGTGCGTTAGTGTTGCACTGGCTAATGCTGTTTGCCCTTGCAGTACTCTGATAAAAAGTGCCAGAGCACGGGTAGGAGAGTTTGAGAGAGAGAGAGATGGGTAAGAACTACTGAAGTCTGAGATCTCTGAAAAATTGGAAGGTTGGGAGTTTTTTCTCTTTATAATATACAAATTTTAAATAGGTTGGGTAATTGTTATCCCCTTGGCAACATTCTAGCTTTACACTCACATTTACTTCATGGGGTTTTTTTCAACACCCCTTGCTGTGTGGAACACCTGGCTGAACAAAACAGACAGAATAGTCCAATTCAGAAAAGCACATAGGCTTTTCCTGTCCATCCTGAACACAGTCTAAGCTTAGTAACAGCTTCCCTCTAGTATTAAACCATTGCTTGTGGCACTTAGACATAGGTCTTTCCAGAAACTGTTCTTATTTTTCATGAATTGATTTCAATTCAGTCTTTTTCTTAATACTGTTTCTCCACTAGGCAGTTCAAGAAAATCCTGAAAGATTGCTGATATTTTTATGTTCTATGCAGAGAATTTTTACTACATACACTTTGAAGTGACAGTAGGACCCACAACTATCTCTGGAGCTGATGTCTTTCACTTATCCACAAAACCAGGGGAAGGACTCTTAATACCTTTTAAAATTGTTTTTGCACTGTTCATTTAGTTATTATGTTGTAAAGGTCTAGCTGTTACACATTGTTGACCTAGCTGTAATAATTATTAACAATACTAGAAAAAAATATTTAATTACTTTTCTAACTGGAAGGTGAATTTGTAAGAAAGTAATTTAAAAAAAATTTTTAACAGACCCAGAAGCATTTGTTCTGAGCATTCGAGATGAAGAAGAGAATAACTTTGTTACTGAGCAGCTTCATTCATTCAGCGGTCTGGCTATGTGGGTCTGGTTGGGTGTGATTTATGATGACAGTGGTAAGATTTAAGTTTTTTTTTCTTAATAACTGGATTGGAGACAAAGTTTGCAGCATTAAGTGTATGTTTCTTGCATGTTTCAGTATACAACTAAAGTCAAACTGAATGCAAACCTATAATAATGCTTTATATTTATCTTCCAGAAGAAAATAACTGGACATGCTTTCTGTTTGAGTGATAATTAGATGCAGTATGTTCTGTTTAGTCTAGATTTGATTTCCCTGGAAAGCAGGACTTACTTAAAAGGGCCTGGATGAGTAATGCTAACATATTTAGCATTGTATATGGAACTGATTTACAGTAACTTAGAGTATCACTGCCTTTTTTTCCAAAGTGAATATCTGTTAATGTCATTAATATATTCGAAGTTAAATGGTATTTGTACACATAATGCCAATGTTTTGATAAATATGCTATGTTTTCCACAGATAAAGTTCTCAAGTGGTATGATGAAACTCATCTGACTTACAATAACTGGAGGCTGGGAAGACCTAACATAAAGAAGAACAGTTTTTTTGCTGGTGTAAATCTTGATGGATTTTGGGATATTTACAATTATTCTCAAAGTTGGCATGCTCATCACTATAACGTGTACAGTATACTAGCCTGTAAAATTGAAAGGGGTAAGTAGCAGAGAAGATTTCTGTGTAGTATTGGAGTGTTGGATAAGGGTCATAATTTCAGTGCTAGTTCTGCAGTACCTGCTACATAAGGCTTTGGTTTTGCTCCCAGTGAAACATAAGGCACAGCTGTCATGGGCTTCTGGGGTTATATAGTCAGTCCATGCATCACTGCTGTAATGTTCTGGGCAGGAGGAATGTGTTTGCTGTACTCCTCCATCAACTGCTTACAGTGTTCAAAGTAGTGAAAGATAACTTATATCAAGTAAGTGGCTTGTACTGAACACTTTAATGCTTGAGTTGCATTGATATAGATGGATTTTAATGCTTTCTGTATGTTCCTAGTAATGTGAATGAAGTATACATAACTTGTCATCTTACTCTTTGAAACAGGACCCCAACAGCTCAAGCCTCCATTGCCTGAGTCTATTCCACACGGAAACAGAACATACAGGATCCTTCAGAAAAAGTTAACATGGTATGGGGCATTGAGAGAATGCAAACAAAATAGGAATGATTTAGCAAGTGTACACAGTGAATCACAACAGTTATTTCTAGAAGATATTGTCAAGCAGGATGGCTATCCTCTGTGGCTTGGGCTGTCAATTCATGATGTAAGTATATACTGTTGGCGACATCAGTAACAGAGCTTGTAAATAATTTTCTGCTCAGGATATGAAATAATTTCTGATGCTTTTTTCCAGTTTCTTGGAATCTCTATTCCATGTAGTAAATTACCTACTTTTTCAACCCTGTGTAACATATGTTGAAGTGTATTAATTTTAGTGTATGTAGCCACAGATATTTTTCCAAATCCTTGATGTTTTAAAATAATCCAATGGTCCCACATAATTCCTTAGAGCAAAAGGACGTGCAGTTTGCAACAGTACCTTTAGAGGCTCCAGATTTTGTGGCCCTCTGTAGGATCAGATTCCACTAGCAAATACACTCAGACAAGGCTGTGTGGAGCCTGATTAGTCCAGGTCAGGACTGTCTCTCCAAGGCAGTTCAGGAACTGCTGGCTCTCTAGCAAGTTAGGTGTCCCTTCTCCCAGGAGTCATTGCAAGAAGCAGCTGCAGATCTTCCTCTTCCTCTGTCTGCTTATCCTTGGAGCCAAAAGCACGTGTCCCCGACCCTGCTCCCCACACTATTCGCCAGACCTAATCATGGTAGTTAATTGGGAGGAATACCCCTCTGCAGAGATGTGTGATTTCTATGCATGGCTTTGCTACCTCTGCCTGTCCTTTGGTCTGAATGGGTCCCTCCACTTCTCACAACTGACTCTTTGTTGTCCTGGGTTTCCAGCAGTGTCTCTGAAGGAGGAGATATTGCTGCAAAACATTCCCGAGCTGCCGAGCCGTACTCACTGAGGCCATCTTGACAGTTTAGCAGTTTACAGTATATCTAATAATGTTCATAGCAAGGAAGGCAGACTGCTTAAATGAAACAGCAGGATGAAATGAAGTAAAATGTCCCCTGTAGGATAAAACAAGGCAAATTGCAGGTTTAAACTTACAAATATGCCGCGCTTTCTCAGTTCCCACGAATAATCAGGATTTCTATGTTAAGAACTGATTGGAAAACACAAACAATGTTGTGCATTTATTTAGTATGGATTTAGAAAATGAGGCCACCTGCATTTTAATTTATCACTCTACAAGGGATAAATACTGCTATATGACTTACTAATGACTGATAAGATTTAAACCAGAACCACATGCTGTGGTTTAAAAGTTGTGGGTTTTTTCTTTAATTAGGGAAGTAAAGCTAATTTTGAATGGTCAGATGGAAGCGACTTCGACTACTATCCTTGGGAATTAGAAAATTCAAATACTACCGAGAACTGCGTTCTCTTGGATACTAAAGGATCTTGGAACCGTACAGAATGTACAAATGTTGCTGAAGGTGCCATTTGCTATAGCCCTCCAAACAGTAAGCGTTATTTTTAATGTTTTGTGTAGTTGTCTTATGTATTCTATCTTTACATGTTGTATTTAGAAGTAGAAATGAAGGCTGAAATACTACACATGATTCCCTCTTTAAGAAGAGTTGTCTATTAGGAACAATAAAACACTTCATAATACTTAAGGGAGATTAACTCTTTCCATTCCAGTGGTGAAAATCTAAAACAATCCTGGTCATTTTTTGATCACCTGTTGATATGAATATCAAACTGTATGTATCTTTTTCTGAATAAAAATCCTTAAACACATACAGCAAACTTGAAAACCCCCTAAAAGGCAAGAAAAAAAAATGGTTCCCAAGCCTTTGGGACTTGTCTTATGCTCGTTTTCAAATAAATTCATGTATGACACATGAAGAAGGAATGTAAGTTAATTGACTCATGGTTGTTGGTAGCAGAAGTAGTCCTTGTTAATACTTACTGTCCTGTTACTACGAAGAGACTATGCACAAACTCCTGCAGAAGAAATAACGTCAATTTCTTTGTCTTTGCAGAGAGACAATTACAGCCAAAGCAAGTGAGCAGAGCCCCGGGATGCCCGCAGATCAGTGGTACCCTAAAGTGGATACAGTATAAGGATCATTGTTATGCATTTGATATGGCGTTCTACAATTTTTCAGTATATAACATGGAAGATGCTAAGAAAGTCTGCCAGAAACTGAGTATGTTTAGACTCTTTACCACATTACAACTTATAATTAGTTCACCATTTCAAAAGAAATAAAACCCAACAACCAAAAAACCTACACTGGTTATACTTCAGCTCTTCAGCTTTTATGCTGCTTTAGTTTAAGAAAAGTAATAGCAAGCTTTATCTTTGAGCATCTGATAAAGGTTCTTGATAAAATGCTGCAATGTGCTGACAGATTGTTTGGCACACAGATAACCGCAAGTAAAATGCAGATAGCCATTGATAGAGGATTCAGAAATGTAAGGCTTACAGTTTGGAGGAAACAATTTTATTTGCATACAATTAACATTATTATAAATTAAGTTAGTGCTGTTAGCAGTGTTTTCTTACTATATCCTTGCATTAGCTGCTTGCTAATAGGGAGCTTGCTAACCTATCAAATGCTTCAAAGTGTGTACTTTATAGATATTATTAAGGCAGATGTCACTAACAAACTTAATTTTATGTCAAATTAAAAGATTTTCTCTCTTTTTGATAAGCTATGTGGGGAATTGTATTGCTGAAGATGATGTTAAGCAGTCTTGTGTACAGAATTTTTAATCACTTTCTTAGCTTGGAAGCTAGTGACTGTCATAACTTTCATTGAATTATCTTATGACATGAAGTTGAACTCACTATGTAGGATGAAAAAGAAAAGGTGCAAGTAGTCCCAATCTTGGATGCAGTTTTCTGTTGAGTCCTACCTGGCCTGGTAGCTGAAAGAAAAAGTGATCTTTCTCTAAATTAAGCTTCTGGCTTATATTTGCATATACATGTAAAGAAAGGGTACACCCTGAGCCTGTCTCCAGTATAGCCTTTCCTCCCTCTTATTCCTTAATTGCTATAACCCTGTATATAAAAACCTGAGGCACAAAGAGGGATTGATTTAGAAATTAACTTGACTCAGCAAAATGCTGAGCTTTTGTTCAATTTTTTGGAAAGAGCTTATTACTTGGACCAGGCTACTAATTCTGAACGTGGCCTATCTTTTGATATCTTCCATGTATGTGGTAGTCCACAGCTGCAGTAAGTTTACTCCCATTTTGTTTTGTATGACCTGCTTGAATAACCAGTCATCTGAAGCAGTCTTGTATAATATGCTCTATTTTAGGGAATGGGATGTCTTTATTCTGCAGATTACTTCAAGCTAATTTTCCAAGCCCAGATCAGCAAATCTTTTCCTGTAGTAATTGTTCCCACAGAAAACTCAATGTATAAGCACCATGAAAAATCTCTGAAGTTGCAGTTCTGACCAGTTAGTTTCCTCTTCCCCTTAGATCCTTCAGCAACCCTTCTGACTATAGTGGATGCTGAAGAAAATGCATTTGTGAGCACACACATAAAGGAAAATGATCTCATCACCAAGAATGTATGGCTTGGCCTGGCTCAGAGCTCTAAGGGTAAGAAGTAGCAACCATGTATGAGCATGAGTGTTTCATCTGGTAAATAAAAATACATAAATCCTCAAATAAGAGTACAGTTTTGTAGTGTTGATAGCCTACAGTAACTTCTGCCTGAGGTTGGAAACCCTCATTTAGCATTATAAAGCCCTTTGGACTTCATTGCAGCTTAAGTCTCTTCCTATTGCACACTTAAGATAATCAGGAGTCACTGAAATTTGTTTTCCCCAACACTGTAATTGGTGCCTAATGGTTAAACTGCAAATGCATCAAATGCTAAAGGTTTGAAGAAGAGGTGTGGCTAAAAGTGATGTGTTCATATTTATTGCTTTTAATATACAGGATAGATAGTAAGCCCTGTTTCTTTTAGCAATGTAAAGAAATCAATAGATAGTGAATGACACTGTGTAACATCACAGCATGTTTTGGTGATCTAAACTAAGCAATCTTTTTTCCCCAACAGATCAGTCCCTGAACTGGCTCGATGGCTCATCAGTTAATTATGTCAACTGGGAAAATAAAACTGCAGCAGTCAATGAAAAATGCAGTGTTATCCTGTCCACAACTGGCACATGGTCCAAAGTTGACTGCAGTCGTAGTCAAAGCAGAGTGGTTTGTAAAGCTCCTCTAGGTACGGAAGCATTGATTTTAGCAGAGACTTAATTTTGTAGTGACTATAGTCAGGATATTCTTTTTTTTTTGGTGGGGAAAGTCTGTGTTGAAATAATGAAAGTGCAATTCACACCAAGTACCTCTGCCTAAGCAAGAGCCTTCTGTTTGCTGTTTTGCCATAAAATTGCATTCAGGGACAAATTCTGTAGGAATTTACTTCGCCTGGCTCCCACTATCCACCTAAAGGGTAAGGGAGAGAACTGAAATTTCCACTTAGAAGAGAGCATAGAGTAGCTGCTATTGCTTCTTACCACAGGGCATCTCTCATGGGTGAGTGTGTAGGTGGGAACAGAATGACTTCCGCTTGTTAAGAGATGCTGAGTAAGCAGGTACTGCAGATTGTTTTCAGTCTTGATGAGGCTTCTGAAAATGGTGCCCCACAGCTCCAGAAGACTCAGGCCTCATGTTACTTCCTCATACTCTGCTCTGTACAGGAAAGAAAGCAGCTACCTGAGCATTAAGCAAGCAAGTTCCTGAGAAGCAACAGAATCTTTCTCATTTTGTATACATTTTCATTGAAGTTGAAATGCAGGAATAGATTTAACTTCATGCCACTAAGGAAGATATCAACAAGATCTTTTCAGTCCAAGGGAAGCATCATTCTCTTCCATTCCAAGACAGTCCAGGATCTCATTAGATTTCTGACATATGCAAACCTTGAAATGAGTGCAGCATTTACTAGTAGGTTTTTTTGACCTCCAGAGGTCCCTTCCAACCTAAGAATGGTTAGGAAATTAACAACAGAATGATCAAAAATAAGCTAATAGATGCTGATTCAGATGGGAACCTAACTTCCCATGTGATGAAGTGAAGACTATTAATATGATGAAGCAGTTTGCCTTATACTGCATGCATTTAGTTGAAGTTTAGCATATAGCTACCTAAGCATCAACCCCATGACAAAATATTCTTACCAAAAGTCTTAAAGAATAACTATTTGTGGTTTGTTCTGTTACAGGTTCTAATCATACTGGTGTGGCTGTAGCATTTGCCCTGCTAATTATCTTAGTCTTGATTGTTGGATTAGTATGGTATCTCTATAAAAAGAAGCGTCTTCACTGGAGTGCCTTCTCTTCAGTACGCTATCAAAGAGGGATGAATGATGATGAAACTGATGATGTGTTGACAAAGGATAGCTATTGAGAAACTGTTCCTTCTGGGCAATTTAGCATGAACTTCACTATGTGAAGTCATAAGGAATTAACTACTTGATGTTTTATTACTTCATTTTGGAAAAGTAATAAGAAGGTTATTAATGGGGGCTAAATTTTGTTCTTTTATACAAGTGCAATTTTTACGCAAGTCCATGGTAATTATTTACATTTGGCCTCAGCCATTTAAGGTGCAAGGTTTCTAGAGTTCTGTGATATTTTTTAATTTACTATTTTCTCTCTTTCCTGGAAAGCATTTTAATGGATAATTAATGCCAACAGTACTTCATGCAACATCACCTTAACAAATGTACTTAAAATTGCTACATGAATTCTGTAAGTTTGTACAATTACCCACCAACAACTTCATGCCAAATGATGTACCATTTTGATATGCTGTAAAGGTTTTGCTGCTAGCATTGGGTTACCCTGTAGAAGCAACTTTTGTAATAAGCAGTTATAAATTTTGATATAGCAGGGGAGAAGGGAGATACCAGACAACTAAGTGTTCATTCCCATCCAACTAAAACTTAAATTTTCTTGTTATAGTGGAAGAAGATCATATTGTGATTTGCCCCCCACAAAGACAGACAAAAAATACCATGTTATAGTGGTGAGAGAATAATCTTCCTTAGGCTGTAGAATGTACATTTTGAATAAAGAGTTATAGGGAATACCTTGTGCTAAAGCCATGCAATTTAGGAGTAAGTTAAATAAACATAGAATATTTGAAGCCTGAGACTGGCAAGATGGCAGATCACTATTCTTATCCCCTGAAGGTGGTAGTGGAGCTAACAAAAATACCCACTAAGGGCTAACTGCAAACACAAGCAGAACTCAAGATATAATAAAAGCCTTAGCCCTATAAAAGCAAAGGCATGAATGTTATGTTTTATCTTGTGATATAACTGCTCTTTAAGTAAATGGTTCAATTTCTTTTCACAGCTCCTTTCACAAAGTTTTGAAAGCACAAATAGCAGGAATGTTTACGGTGAAAATCAGTATCTGGACCTAAGCATTAATTAAACAAGATTTTAAAAACTTGCACTTGGAGTAGTATTTAGAGAGTGATGTACCACATTCTATTATACATCTTCAAACTACTCTGAAGTTAGACTTCAGTGATTTTCTTGTAGATCAAAACACAGAAAAGTCATGCTCTGTTTTATGATCTGTTACACTGTGACACCCAAGGACAGGAGTGTTGTAGTGACAGTGTTCCTTGTTCTGTAATGAGATCCTCCTGACACTTACTTCCCCTAATACTCTTATTTATACTGGGATTAAATGCCTAACATTATAGGTGAAATATGTCATCTGTCCAAGAAACAAGATAAAGGTATATCTAAGGAAAGAGTAAGAAAGAATGTATGGTGAATAAACTCGTGTACATAAATGCTAAAAGTACTGGGGTATTTTACATAAAACTTTAAACTTGATTTTTGTATGTGATGTGTCACTGTGGCCTTTTCTATGCACTCCAAAGCAAGCTATAAAGGGAAAAAGGGAAGACATAATTATATATATTAATTACTCTAATGATTTGATGATTTAACGTTTTGAGACAGTCTTTAGCCTTTTCTAATGCACAATACAAAGAACAGGCACATTTACTTTTATGAAGGAGGTTATGTAAAAGACCAAATCCATTCCCCATGTAATGGTGGTATGATACAGTAAATAAATAGGAATACGTTTGGTCTGACATGCTGAGAAAAGTACTACTGATTTCTCTGAAGCAACGGTGTGAGGTCATGATGTTCAACTGCCTCCCCCTCCCCGCAGTTTACTTATGTTGATGGCACTTTTCTTTGTTCCTGTTTGCACTATTTTGATAAGCAAGTGTTTATCATTTGTATTGATAAATAGGGAACTTCTTGTAGATAGCGCTTTAGAGGCTGTTAAAACAGCAGCCTGAAGGGGCACAGTCAAGGAGCCATTGTGTTAGTTTGCTGATCAAAAAAGTAAGCACTTTTGTTGTTTATTTGGTACTTTAGGCACAATTGTGAACATTTTCTTTCTTCTTTCTTGAGGTAACTTGTAGAAAAAGTAGTTACAATGCTAGTTGCTATGTAATTAAAATAACCCTCCCCCCCTCCCCCCACTTCTTAAACTTGCCCTGGTATGAGAAGTGTTTGAAGTGTTAACAAAGCCTGGTTCCTGTCATCTTCTGGGTTAGCTTATATGCCTAAGTGCTTTGCCAAATGACTTCTAACTTAATGGACTAAAAAAAAGTGTTTGTTATTGTCCTTTCCTAACAGCAGTAATAAGTGGGGAAAACTATTTACAGATTCTCATGTTTTGAGATTTACTAGTTTTATAGATGTTTATACTTTGAGCATTTTTAGGTGTGAATCTGAAATGGAAAATGGAAATTAGTAGTAAAATCCTAATTCTCCAACACACATGAATATATACTTTTTATAAAAAAAATTGTATATTTTATTCTTATGAATGATGTAAATAATTTTTAAGGCCCTTTTTCTCATGTTTGTTTCATCATACCCAAGTTGTCTAATCACTGGTAATTCTTATTTGAGTAAGCACAACTGCCTTAGTGCAGGTGAATAACCCACTTTATTTGAAATACACAGAAAGATTATTTAGCAGTATTGTTATTGAAAGAATAAAGTTAAATAAAACACTAAACTGCTTACACTGGTTTTATTTCCATGGAAGCAGTTATCAGAGCTAAGGTACAGCTCATTAATCACTGGGTAAAAAAAGCACATAGGACAGTGGCTGTGATCACAATTAAAGCAGATAAGTGTTACAATGATAAGAAAACTTCACAGAGTTAAAAAAAACAAACCTTTGATGTATTTAAAAAGAATGCCAGTAACTTTCTTTTTGCAGTTGAAAACATGCTTTATCATGGAATATGGTTATACCTAGCTTTTATCAAACTGCTTCTGGGCTTACACAGAAAGGGAATGTTCCTCTCTGCCTTTATTTTTTAATCAAGGTGTAGTTCATTAGTGCATCATGGCCCAGATTAACTCCAAAGCAGTTTATAAGGGCTCCCAACACAATTCCTTGTAAAATATGGGCAAAGCTGCATTACTTCCAGCCATGTAGCATTTTCAATTAAAGCATGAGATGTATTCATTTTAAGTGTCATCTGAACTCTGAATTCCAGACCTCCAAAATCTGCAACTGCTGGTCAAAGGGCAGTGTTATTTTTAGCTACAGTAATGGCTTGCTGGGAGAAACATCCTATTGTGCAAGACTACAAACAAGGTCATCTGCTTCAAAAACATTCATCTAAAAATGGAAGATGATGAGCAGGGAAATAAAAGCACAGCAATGAAGTGCTTTTCCTGGGTGCCAGAGCAATGGTGTTGGGAAGACATCCTGGAACTCCTTCATCTCAGAGCACAGACTGGCTGCTGGACTGTGGTAGCTCTAGACAAAAAGCGTACAGCTTCAGGTAAATGCACAAAGGTTTTTGCACACTTACTTACAACTTGACATGTGACTCTGTCTCACTGGCCACCCTCATGTCAGGGCAGAGCTCACTCCTGTGGGAATGAGCTCCTCCCATGGCAAGTGGAGCAGCATGGGTTTTGGTTCCTCTTCCTGAATTTTGCCCAGTCTCTGAAGACTCTGTGTCCTGGAAAGATTAATCCACATCTGCCACTAGACCAGCCAGCATTTTTATTTTAACCCTGTTTCTGCATCAATAACTTGACAGAAATCAACCACAAGTGCTTATTCATGAGCACTGTTTGGGCCTGATGCATTTGTTGTATTTCTTACCATTCTTTCCTTTAAACCAAATGCACCATCTGCTCATTGCTCTGGACATATGTTAGACATCTAAACATTTTTGAAAGGAGGAAGTAAATTGCATGGCCTGTAAGTGATTTTGTGTGTGTGTGTGTGTGTGGCTGCAAATAAACAAAGACCAAACATTACAATTTTTGTTGCTGAAAGTCAGAATTACAATTTGGACCCTTTGCATCTGCTGTTGCTGTGTGTATGGAGCACAGTGGGATATGTAACACCCAGGTTAATAAAAGTTAGTCAAATGCATTCTGTTGTCAAGAAGTACATAAAGTTCTTATTGACCAAATTAAACAGACTTTGCACAGTTGTAAAGCAAGAACTATGAGCAATATTGAAGAACGAAGCTTAGGAAAAGCAGGAGATTAGATACTGGAAAGAAAAATGCAATTGTCACTCTAATGGACCTTTCCCATTTAGTTCTGAAGAGTTTTAAGATGAGAGTTGACTAGAAAGCACTAGAAAAGGTAATTTTCTGTTGATAGCAAATTAACTTGCAAATGGTGCGTAGCATAAATGCCATTATGAAATGCTGTTATCTTGTGTTTAGTCCTTTATGGTATTCTCACATTGAAAACTCCTGTGCACTCCATTGTAATATCTGCCAGTAACTAAGATTTTTAACAGATTTGAGGGGGGTAGGGGAGGATACCAGATGAGGTTTTTATTGTGATTACACAGTAATGCAACACAGCCTGTAAGTCCTTCTGGATTTCTATTTGCCAATGCAGAAGGGGCTATAGTTATAAACAGAAAAACAGTTGTTAGCTTTGCTCCTTTTCAGCATAAATAGAATAATTAATTTACTCCAAGGTGCCTTTTAAGAAAGTAGAATTTCAGTGATACAAAATAATCATTGCAAGATGTGCTTTCTTCATTATCCTGGCTCCTTATGTGCACATTTTTTGTTGGAACAAATGAGAACAAAGATCTTTTTCTGCATGCTCTATCTCAGGACATTCATATGGATAGTAAGTACCACTCCCACTTTCTATAGAACTTCTCTTTTCAAGTGTCATGTGTTATAGTTCCCCTTTAACAGATGATATAGAACAGATGATTATACAAAAATGTGGTGCTTATACTTTGTAAAACTAGCAAGTCTCACATGCATATTCAAATTAAGCTTACAAATTAGTTAGTTGAGATGATTTCACAAATATGCATGACTGAATGTCATCCCCAGTAGCAACCGATCTTTCTGCTTCATTGAAATGTCTTTATTTTCATAAACATGATCTGGGTATTTAAAGAGCATGTTGTGTCAAGTGAGAGTGTGAATTACACATGTATGTGGATAGTAGGAGGGCACATTTACCCAGGCTGTAGATTGTGAGCTACTTTGAGGAAAAGGGCTGGGTTCCTGGCATTTTCATCTTGTATGGTCTCCTGCGGCCACCCTTCTGCTTTGTACCTGTTCTGTCTCATACCAGCTTTGCAGCACTGACAATTAAGCCACCAGACGATGAATACGCCACCACAGACACAAGAGCCAAGCAGACGGCCTTACGCCAGCGCAAGCTGCTTGCTGGAAAAGGAGACCGGAAAGCACCGCTTCCTAATAAGGGGCAGCCAGCCGAGCACAACCACGAGCCTGAAAGGCGTGGGATGACCACTGCCACCAGCTCGACAACACCGGCACAGGGTGCTGGGAAAGGACCAGAACAGGCGGCGCGGACAGCCGGACCACCCTGTAACACCAGGACACCACAGCCTTGGCAGGGGCTGGTCTGTTCCCCTCCTCTGCGAGCGACAAACCTACCGCAGTTGGGGAGAGAGCAGCTCTCAGCCTCATCCCAAGCACTCACAACACAACAAGAGTTTGCTGCGGGCAACAGCCGACACTCCCCTCTTCCAGCCCCTGGGGAGTCCCTCCACACCTCCCGTCCTTCTTCAGCCGGAGCTTCTCCTGCCGACACAGACTCAGTGCCTTTACACCCCACAGCAGTCGCACCTTGCAGGACCAGCTGTTTCCGAGAGCTTTATCACAGGCCTTTCCTTCACATTGCTTTGCTCAGAGAGGATGACTTACCGAGACGCAGCCATCTTAGGGGAGCTGGGAGGAGAAGGCTCCCGGTTTAAATGTGGCTGTGCCCATGGGCACACCCTGACAAGGCACAACGAGGGACAGCCGAGTTGTCCTCACTTAGCCTCGTGCTGCAGCAGGAGAAAGAAGCAAGACAGGTGAGCTGCTGCTATGAATGTCCGTGCTTCATTAGTGCACTTGCAAAAACTGTGCCTAATGCCTAAGCCATTACAGAACCGGTTGAGTTTATACTGACAGGCTGTCGCCATTTCATTAAGAGTCACTCGGGAGTTACAGGTGGTTGCTTTTACAGGGAGGACACATTTGTATTGGTAATCCTGAGCCATCCCAGCGTTTTGGGGAAGGCCTAGAGTACTGCCGTGCCAGGGGGGCAGTGCCTGAGGGCTGCGGGAGGCCGCAGACATGTCCCTGGGTGCAGTGTTCGCAGGAGATGGAGCTGGCTCCCTACCCGGCAGCTGTAGGCTGCAGCCGGCCGGGCTGCCGGAGCCACGGGGCAGCGGGCAGTAGCGTGTGTCTGGCAAGAACCAGGAATCGCCCAACGTGGCGCGTTTGCTCTTGGTTGCATCCAGACCTAAACACTGGTGCAGAGTTCAGGTACGCCATGAGATGGAGTCCTCCCGGCTGGCCAGCGTGCGGCCATGCTTGAAGAGCAGCACTTCACAGGCGGGTAGAGGTAAGTGAATTTTACCGGTAATCAACTCTGTGTTGACAGTGGCACAGGGCCAAAGCGTAGATCCAATTGTAGCATTAGGAATCTGAGGTACAAAATGCGGGCAAGAGCTTAGCAAATTTGCAGTCCACAGATTTAGGAGCTTGTATTTTATGTTGGGGGCTGGAATTCATGTATGAGGGATTTACTTAAAGGCCTGAGGGGAGGAGGTAATTTTGAAGTCAATGCACAGAGTAACAATAATAGGTACAGCCTGCATAGAGCAAGGCTGTGTGTTTTAGAACAAGGTGTAAATAAACAGTTATAAGTTTACAGTCAGACTGGTTTAATAACTAGAAGACTGTGTGTTTTAGAACAAGGTGTAAATAAACAGTTATAAGTTTACAGTCAAACTAGATACATATGCTTGTGATGTAACTTACATGGGGCTGTGATTTTTGCGTATAAAGCATTTTATGTTTACTGTGTAGGTGCTGATTATAAATTATACCTTGTTCCAAAGCCTAACACCCATTGGCGTGAAACTCTTTCATATAAAATAAACATCAGAACATAGAAACTTGAATTAACTTTTAGAGAAATACTGGGTTGGAGGCCAGAAGGGACTGCACATCACACTAACAGAAAACAGAATTAGAAAGGAAGGGAGCGAACACCATCAGTCGGCCATCGCCATGGGTGGTTATTCACTGCAACCCGTCATAACTGAATTCGTGCGTGTTGTCGTAGTCATGCTGGACCTGCAGCGCTGCATGTTTGGTGTCATGATAGCGATGTATTAGCTGAAGCAAGCAGAGTTTGAAACTCAACAGCTGCAAACAAGGGAGACCGGCTAGCTAGCTCCTGCTTTAATCTGTGGCGACTGCGGTTGGCCTCTGTGTTTGCCACCAAGAAAAAAATTCATCTTCAGTTAGTTGGCGGCCAGCAGGCAGTGAGTGGGGGAGACACGCCGTGCCAGACCCTGGTGGAACCGAGAGGTGCTCTAGCACAAGAGGGCGGTTCAGGGGGGACGTGTAGGCCACGCAGCCTGTGTTTGGTTTTGACACCCTCCTCCACCCAAACAAGCGGTAGCTGCCTGTGTGTGACTTAAGGCTTCCTAAGCAGAAAGGAGGCAGAGACAGCGTGTTTTTTGGAAGTACACAGAAGGGAATGGAACAGCTGAGGAAAGAAAAGCAACTGCTGCGATAAGCAGAGGCAGTTCCAGCCTCAAATGACCTGGGAGACTGTGCAAGGTGGTAAGGATGGAGAAGCTAAAAATCTGTGAACAGCTGGAGATGAAGTTGTACAGACTTATCTCCCAGGGTCTCAGAGCATCTGACCAAGGGATATATGAGAGCGTATTACTGTGGATTATGCGTCACTGCTTGGTTTCCATACCTGTGCATGGATTGAGGGAACATTGGTCTGCTAGTGGATAGTCTGTCTGTGTTGCTGATAGCTCAGCTGCCCCCCCCCCCTTCAGATTTACCACTTTAGTTACACATGCTTTTAGGTGAACACCATGCCTGGGTCATGCTGTGGTATGAGAAGTGCAGCTGGCAGCTTATTTGAGCTAGAAGTGATTTTCTGTCACTAGTGACTTCAGAGGTGCCGAAGAGAAGGGATGAGCTGATCCTGCAGACTGGGCCTTTGGAGAGGATTCATTCCTTGCTCTGCTTTCACCACAGCAACTGTCTTGGAACCAGTCTCTTGAACTCACATGGGACACCTCCCATTGACCAAAGGTGCGACTCAGCCCCAGAGCGAGCAGCAGAAGCTGGAAACAAACCTTCCCCACTGTAGCGGCAAACTATTTTCTATAATTCACCACAAAGGCAAAATTGGCTTCTGAGAGGAAGGGCTGTTGTCTCCTCACACTGCTGATGCTTACTTTTCACTTACAAATTCTGAGTGTTAGGTCTGCAAGTAAACATCTTAGCGTGAGCAACACAACGCCTGTGCGTGAATACAGCCTGTGCGTGAATACAGCCTGTGCAATCCAATAATTTATTAAACTTTCATCTTGTAAAGCCAGTTACAAATTAAAAAAGACAGCAGAAGGAATTCTGTAATAGAAACAAGCAAAATTACAACAAATAGTAATGGGAGTTACATTTCCAAGTGGGTTCAAGCTGCCTGCAGCAACCCAAGAGCCAGAACACAGAGCTAGTGCAGAGTTAGGACAGGGATAATCAAGGCTATTCCGATACATAAAGAGATCTAGTCAGTGTACGGACCAATAGAAAGTGTTGCTTCTCAGGTTGCCTCTGCATTCCTGTTCTCTTTCACTTGTGACCTGGTCATCTTCTTATTCTTCGTAACAAAAAGGGGATGTTTATAGGATCTATTTAAGGCAAAACTCCAGCTGAACATATGATACACAGTAGTGGCTATCCTCTTAGGCTGGTTGTGTGGCAAGTGGACAGGGTGTTTGCACATGCTGCAGTCCAGTGGTAATGAGAGAAAAGCACGCATTACGTACAGTGTTTTTTCTTGTACTGTCAACCTCAAAACTACAGCGTTCTGCAACACAGTATTAGTGACATGGCACAATTTGGTGATGAATTGGAACAGAACCTGTTGCATACTGACTCCTAGTTTTCTTTTCTATGAAATTTCTATTTTATAGCTAACAGGCCTTAGCTGCTACTTCTTCAGAAATGGAGACACCCGGTTTTAAATGTGGAACAAGGCCCGCATTACATACAGCTTCATTAAGAAACTGAATGGGCCTTTGCAATCTAGGATCCTGAGACTAGACAAGGATCATAGAAAATGGCTAGCCAACAGGTTTCTTGATTGCTAATGCAACCAATTTATGATGTGACTGATACTGAATATTGTTTTAAACAATGCAGTCAAGTTTCTGAAGTCGAGACTGAAGATGACTCTCACCTTTCACTGAGAAGAAAAACAACATTCTGCTTCTGCAAATTGCAAGTAGCTATAAAAACCTCCAAGCAGCAGTTGTTTTGGCAAAACAGCGTTGTTTTCAAGTTTTGCTGATGACTAGGGACCTAGAGGAGACTGGAAGGGGATTTGGTGATGGGACCAGTTCCCATTAGAAGTTGGAGGATGAAGGGTTTGGCATCTGCTTACAGTAGTACAGAGGAAGTGAAATTCTTGCCTGTAACTATTTATCTAGGCACCTATTCACACAGTAGGAAACAGTTCACTTAAAACTAAAGTTCAGAGATCCCAGTCATCCTAGAATCCCCTATAGAGAAAGAAGGAAGTTAACACAAGCAGGCTGCTCACCATAAAACCCCCTGACCTCCATCTAAAACCTGGAGTTTGTGAAGAGCAGCTCTTCTGGAAATGCAGCTGAATCAATCTCACCTCATGGGCTGTATAGGGGAAAGGCAGTCGTTAATTTTTAGGCAACAGGTGCTGCTTGGAATGTATGCAGAATGGCACCTGATGATCTACTTCAGTGGTGCTAGTCCTAAAGATTTTCTCCTGTGTTGGAGTATTTAAAATTTTAACTTAAGTGCCGCTTGTACCTGTGAATTTCTATTGGAAGGTAAAGAATCACCTTGGGTGGTTTTATTTGTTTGTTTAATGCTCTCTCATGTAGGGTTTGACTTCTTAGTTGGACCACTTGGCTTCAATTACACAAAGGCATTTTCTCTTAAAACCAGATCAGATCATTAGAATATCCTGAAGAAAAAAACCAAAGTGACTTATATTTTAGAGTTGCTTGCAAAATAAATAAAAACCAAGTATTCTTTTAGCAGACCATGTTGCGATCCCAGATGCTTGTGTGTTGGAAATTCATACGGAAGCTTAAGTCTGTCTCCTGTACTGCAGACATGATTCTTGTGAATTTTACTGCCAGTATGACAGGTAATGGTGAAAGCAGCAGAGAGAACAATCAGGAGAAGGAGGATGCTTCTGACTTTGCTTCTTTAAGGTACATTGTTCATCAAACAAGCAAGGGGAAAAAAGTTTTGGGTTATTAATATTTAACAACAGTTGTTACTGTTTAATGTCTTTGGGCAGAGGTGCAAATCCTATGGTACTGTAGATGTCACTTCAGTTTTTAAATACAGTAGTCAGTCAAGTGGAGTTCTTAAAAAACATCTTTGCTACACTTGTGCTGGCAAGTTGCAAACACCAATCATTAAACAACTGCCTCTCTCTTGTGGCAGTTCATTCGTATCACCTAGTCCAGATGCTAGCATGACTGTCCACGCTGGTGGCTGATTTGACGCTGCAGCGTTTCTTCACAATCATGTTGATGTATGCTTTCATGATCTTTATTATCTCACCCACCTAGAGAGAGAACACAATAACAGACGATAAGCACATTAAAAACCCAATTCCATTGAGGCATACCAGACATGTTGCAGAAAAAGATTCCCCTTGTCCAAAGTCATGACACTATAAATTCTGCATGTAATACTAAATGTCAATGTGGCAGTAAGGAAAGAAATGCTTGACAAGTTTGTGCTCTGTTGTAGCAACATTTAAAAGGCTTGTAGCTCAAAATAAAGCAACTTTAATGCTACTCAACTTTTTTTTTTTTTTTTTTTTGAGTTTGTGAACTCCCCATTCATATACTGGAAGGGAATGAAAAACCAAGCACACTCATGAGCACCCAAAATTCCCAGTGCATTGGAAGACCATTCAACCTCCTTCACTTGCTAACCAGCATCTTTTTTTTTTTCTGTTTATCCCTGTATTCAAGAAGAGGCACCATGGCACTTTAGGCTTAAGCTCCCTTCATCTTTTTCATTAGCTGTCCAGTCCATTCAGCAAGAGTTCTTGCATATAAACTTGTCTAGTCCTTGGAAATTAGAGCTTTACTGAAGTGCCAGTAAAACTGCACAAACAACAAGTCTTGCGCTTTTATATACCTGGGATGTTTCAAAGAACATTTCTCTCTCATCCACTGTAATTTTGAAGGTGTTAGGCTGTGGTGCTCCGAAGAAAACAATGTGCTCATACTGGAAAGTTTCTAGTGGTTTAGGATCCCCTCGTTTGTAGACAGACACATTCTCTGTGCTGACTCCAAGCCAAAGATCATTTGGAAATCCACCCTCCTTGCACTGCAGAAACAGAAACATGAACTTTTGCATAAATGCAGTGGAGGATCATCTTTGATTCAAGGAAAAGCCCTCCATTTCTGGCTCCCATACCACATTTCAACTCTTTACCCCAATAAAAAAACTAGGATGTCTGCAGAAGGAAACTTGTAGGCACTTCTGCTGCAAAGATTTAGAGGTGACATGGCTGTGAGTCAAATACTAGTTGAGTAACAAATAATTGTAATACCTGATAGCTTTCGTCAGATTTTAAAGTGACTTAGGAAGGCAATATTCCACTTACTATTTTACAGATAATATAGTGAGTGCAAGCAACTTCCCATGGTAATCCACCTAGGCAGCAACAAAACTGATAAAACTGGAACTGTGGATTCCTACTCTAGCAGGCTAAGCACAGTGGTCTAAGTGACCCAGTCTGAGCAGTTTCTGTTGTACTGCTGCAGAACAGGATTGCACTTTTTGTCAGTAAGAACAACAGAGCTTCATTTTACTTTTGATTTCACTAGCCGCCACCTTCTTAAGCCCTCAAAAATTTCCCCCAATTCTATTGCTCTTCTAAGGAAGTGGGAATCCATTGTCTCCCTCCATTTACCAGGACGCACCAGCTTGCTTGCTCTGTGCTCTCTGTGTCACACCTCTTTGGGTATGTGGTACTGCAGGCTTACCCTAAGCTTGCCAAGGTAAAATGCAGCCAGTTCCTGAAATTCCCTTCTGCTGCTGAGCAATGTAATACACACAGCGGTATCTGTTCTCCAGACTGATGCCTCTCCTTGGCAGTAGTTACATGAATTTATACATTACTCACCTCAACATCAAATAGGGTTGACCCGTAACCTGGCCACTCCTTTACAATGGACATGTATTTCACCATGGCCTGATGCTGAGAGAGTCCCTGCAGCTTGGTCCATTTCTGTGCTATGCTTGCCCGAGCAGCTGAAAGCTCTTCCTTTACCCACATCTCCATCATCTGCTCCTCTTCTACCTTCTGCTTCTTTACAGAGCCTGTCTTGAAGCTACGCTTCAATGTCCCTTCAAGGAAGCTGGTCCGTCTCCTCTCCAGAGTGTGACTAGTAGTGCCGCTGCTCTTTGTTGAGTGAAGTATTTTGGATTTTAGTCTGTTAACTGGGTAGATTCCATCAAGGGTCCAACTTATTTTAGAATAATCTCCATGAAGATACTGCAGCCGAAGAGCTGCTAGGCGTTGCAGAGTGTCCTCTGGTGCAGGAAAATGACCATCTATGAGGCTTTCATGAGCCTACAAACAAACAAAAAGTCCCCCAAACTCATTAGAAAGCAGAAGCACACTTTATTCACAGCTGGGTCCATGTACAGATTCCTATGGCATCTGCCCATCCCAGCAGAAAAACCAATCCCAGCAGGAAAGACACAATTCAGGAGGTCAGAGCAGACATTACAATAAAGAAGTCAAAGTCTGCAACTGGTTGATGTCGGGGGAACACCTCTTTCTGCAAGCCTGGACAGGTCAGAGATCTCTGAGGGGGTCCTATCCTCTACTGAAAGTCTTACAATGAGGACTTTTTATGTCTGGAACAGATGGGAGAGACCAGAATTGAGGCAATTTGGTTTGTGCTGCACCAGGTACAGCTCCTGTGTAGAGATTATATTCAACAACAGGGAGTTAGGTATAATAAACTCATGACTCTTAACCTCAGTCTCATTGCACACCAGCACCTCCCACTTCCTCCTCTTTCACCTGATGTCTCCCCCAGTCTTCTTGCCTCCCCTCTGGCCCTTTTTCTGTGAAATATACTTATGGGGTTTTTTTTGCTACATCCATCTAATATCTGGATAACAACATCTACTTTCCTGCTGTTACTTCTCTTCCACCACTCTTTGCCAGTGAAAGCTGTGTAGACTGAAAGCCTTGTCAACAGGGAGCTTGGTACAACTCAGTTTCCACAGAGTACCACGATGTCTCGTTCCTGACCATTTCCTAGACATTCTGTAGTTAACAATACTTAATCTTCATTTCAAGAGAGCAATCTTAGGGAACCGTTGTCTGTGACATATATGCCATCCATTTGACTATAAGCAAGTTTCGGTCTTCATGACACTGACCCCCTTTAACACATATTAATTAATTTTCAACAGCTATAATTTTCTGAGGCAAGATCAAAGTGTTCATTAGAAGTAATAAAGATGGGACGAATCACACAACTGGGTACTCCAGTCAGTTTAGTTTTGCATCCCTAATTGCAAGGTTATTTCACACCAGTGTGACCTCTGGACTAACCAGCATCATTGTGCTATGGAGTATGGTGACTTTAAAAAAGATTACTTAGCAGACTAATATTGTCAACTACATTCTCTTTCCCTTTTTCTGTAGTACTCTTCTAGTACCTCTCTGTTAATCAAAAGAAATAGCCCAAAAGATAGGTTTTTTTAGTCAATTCCTATAACACCACAAGGATGTGCTGTTTTTGTAAGCTGATATGCAGATAGCTAGATTTTCTAGTTTTCCTTATACCTTTGTTCTGCAAGCAGCTACTTCTAATGATTCTTCTTGAATCATTATCCAAATTTCTATAGCTTTTAAAATTAAAGATAAATTTTAAAAGCATTTTATTATCATTGGTCTTCCAGTTTTTTGAAGCCCTTGTTCATTTTTCTTGCTTTTCTTCTAATACTTCTATTCCATAGAGAGCTTTGGAGTGTATCTGCTTGGTAGATTCCAGGCAAAAATTCAACACACTAAATTCTTCTGTTCCAACCAGCATTCCCACTTCCAATGCAAAGGTCAGCCAGCTTTCTGTATACTCTTGTGTGCTTCTGCCACCCTGAAAACCAAATCATTCCCCCAGAGCGAGCTTACCTGCTCAAACATGAAGGCAAACTCCACCCCATCTTTGGGAACATTCTCAATATCCAAGAAGCAATAAAGCTTAAAATACAGCTGCCACTGTCCTTCCTCCTCTTCTTCTTCAGAGCCAGCAAGTCTGTAAGATAGGAAAGAGAATGAGAGAGGAAAAAACCAGTAACCAGAAGCACTACGGTACTGGGATATCCACAGTGCAACTCACAATATGAAGGTATCCCTGGATTTCTGAAACAGAGAGCATAGAGAACTACCTAATTTACCAGAACAATCTCGGTACAGCAGACTTTTCTGGTAACTTCCATTTTTTCCTCTGAGTCACATGAAATTTTGATTCAGAAGGACCCGAAGTTCTTATCAGATATACTTGATCAAAAAATTAGATCAATGGTTCTAGATAAATGCAAGAGTTGGGGGCAGGACACAAAGTATCCCTCATTTTCAAGATACTGTTTCCATGTAATCTTGTGACTGTGAAAAGCATCAGCCTTGCATCCATTTGGAACAATTTTATTTTTATCTTTAGAACAGATATAAAATAGACAAAGGCATTGCCAGCTTCTTTTACAATTTATTGCTTTCTTTGTATGTCTGGCCACAAAATCAGTCCACAGTAAGAAATTAGAGCTGCATTTCTATGCCCAAATCTTTGCTCTCTCTTCTGATATAGCTATTATGATGTAAACTGACAAGATCATTATCAGACTGAAGCAAACCTTCCCTGAGCTCTGCTAGTAAAACATTACTGCGTGATAAAGGCACTACTAATTTTGTCCTGACAAGCCTGATAAAGAATGCTTCTTTGTCACCAAAATAGATGTGAACATGGTTTTCCACACAGTGAGAAAGAGCACTTAAACCTTACCAAAGTTCAAACCAGAGTGAACAGTTGAATCACTGCAGCTGCTTTGGATAGAACTACCTGACTGTACTATCACTTAACCCAGTGTTACATCCAACTAGGAGTTCAAGGTTTTATGAAACATTCTTCTACCTCTCAAACTTGGCCAAGATATCAGCCACAATCACCCGACTCTCAACAGCACGGTCCACCTGCTGATTATGTTCAAAGAGCGCAAACATATTACGGCTGTCCTCCATTGCTAAACCTCGGATCAGCTTTTCAACCACCTGCAAAGTCAGAGAGACATCACACAGTAGGTATTACAAACACTTTCACAACAAAGAATCAGTACCTTTTCAGGACACTCATCACTTCATAGACCTCCATCACATTTCTCCCTTAGTTATCTCATTTTCAGATTAAAGAATTCTAAGCCTAAAAGATCATTCCCTGCAAGGAAGTCATTACTTATATTTGATCATCCTCACTGTTCTCAGAACCTTTTCAATCTCCACTACCCTTTTGAAGATGGGGGAATTAGAGCTCTGCACAAGATACAGGCATATAATGGATTTAGCGGTCATGATGATATTCTCAGTTCCTCTAGTAACAATTCCATTCTTTACTACTATTTTTACCTCTGTTTAGCACTAATGTTTTCACAGATATGCCTACTATAACCTGGAATCTTGCTTCTGACCTGCTAATGATTAAGTTACAGGTAGAACATCCCTTCTAGAAGGATTACATTATGAACTGGAATTTCAACTTGTCCAGAAAACTCTGTTTAGCAAGTCTTCAGAATTATTACCTTTCCAATGGGCAGAACACCAAAAGTGTTTAGATTTTGCAAAACAATTGTTAAGTGATATTCTACAACCTGGGCGTAGGCCTTGCATAATTCTGAACCTGCAGAATAAGCTGAGCTTTCCCTACAGACTTTGTGGATACAGCAAAAAAATTGTAATTTAAAAAAAACCCCAACGAGAAATTGGAGATGAATGGGAAAAAGGAGTCCCTTCAACACACCCAGCATCCAGACACAGAGATGTGCTTACATCTGGTTAATGCTACTAATGCATTACCTCCCCAGCACTTGTGTGTGAATTGATGGTTATTTTACAGGAGCCACCGCCATGGCAGTACACTGTTGTCGTCATTTCTTCACGCGTGAGAAGAGCCTGTATTTCCTCCTGTGAGGGCACAAACTCCCTCGTCTTTGTTCTCTTCAGGGAATCACTTATAAATTGCGCATACCTGTCTATTTCTGAGCCTGGAAAGAGGTCTTTTACCCTAATTGTAAAGAGAAGCAATAAAACCCATTACACAGTGAACCAGAAAGCACGCACGCTACCATGTAACTTGGACTACTGTACGTAAAAAGTTCAGTAGAGATAGTGATGTCAAGTGTGACCACAGGAAGAATGAGCCCGCTTATTTCCTAAACCATACAACCTGCTTTTACTAGTCATTCCAAAGTCACTTCAGTGACATTTCTCAGCAACGTATGAAATAAGCAGTTCAACCTTTCAGTTTAGTACCAGCTGAAGATAGGATTGACTATCTCAATTTGCAAAATTGAGATTAAAAACTATGAAATCAAATGTAAGCTTTTTTTCATTTATTCTTAATTGGTTTTTAATTTGCTGGCTGTGCTTGAGCCACTTTTATAGTATTTTTCAGAATCAAGAAGATAGAAAGTAGATGCTTGTACATGGTTCTCTTCCCTCCAAGGCCAGCAGTTCTAAGTATAACATTATCTGCAACTCCAGTGATAAAAACATGAAATGGCAACATGGAGTATTCCTCAGCATCTCTTGGAGTCAGGCTGTTTGGTGTATTGGCACAAATTTCACCTCACTCTTTCCTAGCTTGGAAGAAATCAAATAGATTTTACCAATCTTTCTCATCATTAATGAATGGAGCGAGGCTACATGGCTGTAGCTCAGCCCCAGTGCACACTGCTTTGGAAAGCTGCATTAGAAGCCGAAGATGAATTGGGAAGAAATGTTAAGCGATTTACTTCATGAAAACTGGAAGTTAAAGCAGATTAGAAATACAAATTGTAAGCATTACGTGCTTAGTTAAACAAACAAATATTGAAAAATCATAAATTGGATTTACAGTACATCTACTACTCCACAGTATACATTTTGCCTGTGGCAGCTGTAAGGTAGTACATATCTCAATGTATATGAAAGTATGGTCCTCACTTTTCCTGCAAGTTGAGAATGTTTATGTGGACATTAGTAAGCAGTAGGTCATCAGCTGTAAATCCACTTTAACACAATCTCACAGTATTCTGTTTGGGTAGCCTTACTTTCCACATCCTTTCGACACAACAGATGGGTGTCAAGGCGGGAGTTTGAATACAACAAAACAACTGGTAGGAAGAATTCCACACAAAGGTAGGACGCGCACCACAGGAAGATGTTTGCACAGGAGAGTGAGACAGCTAACTACAACATGCAGTAGAAGATAAGCAGAGAGAAAGGAAACAGGCTGCATATGAAAAGGACTGTACCTTCTAAGGTGGAACTTGAGGTAGCGCAGGATCCCTCTACTGGGCAGGAAAGTGCAGCTCATGCATGACATCAGCTGCCAGTGGTGCAGGTTGCCAGTACTGTTGGGATGCGGCATGTGATTAGTTTGTTTGATGAGCTGACAGTACACTTCATCACGAAGGGGCTTTAAATCATGGCAGGTCTGCAGAATGCCTTGGATAATGGGTATGGGGTCAGACACTGTCTCGATTTCCTGAAGGGAGTTAAAGATCTTCACTGCTTCATCCTGTAAGCTGCTGTAACCCTTCTCTTGTTGCACTGGGGAATGATCACAAAGGTGACAAGAGATGAGCATCTCCCTCATTTTCTACTGGCCCAGCAACACTACAAGCAACTGTACTGGTCTGTCACAGAAGAACAGCAACCTGAGCATTAGCTCATCTCCTAAACTTAAATTTATACTCAAAATTCATTAATGCTTCCCCTTTAAATGTGCAAATGCAGTTTTAATTAGGATTTGCCAACATCTAACTTGTCACCACTGCAAATCCATTTTTGGATATACTGTGCAGAAAAGCAAAGTAATGTTTTTAAGGGAAACTAGCACGGAAATCTAGTTCTGGCTTCAGTGTCTGCAGATGAGGTGCCAAAAGGTGTCTGTCGGCACCTCATCTGCACGCAGGTGAAGGGGTGGCAAAAAGTCATCTCTGTGTAAACTGTCTCCTCACCTGAAAGCAGCTATAAAGCAGAGGGTCACTAATGCAGTTAAGGCTTTAGGTGCCTGAATGCAGACACCAAAGCCTGGCTTGTGTACTTCCAAAATTCTGTGTTGTGCCCGTATTAGCTTTGACCCCTGAGCCAACACAGAATTTTGGCAAATTGCTGTACCGCAGATGCAGCTTTTACCTATTGTTTAGATTTAAAATGCCTACACCAAAACTGGTTAAGTTTTTTAAGCCCCTGAACATCTGCTTTGAATTGCTTAGAAGTATGTGATACCACCATACTGCAGCAGGCTTTCATCCTCCTTTGCAAATTTCTGTGGCTGTAGGTCCTTCTGAATCTCCTATACAGCCATTGCTTCCTCAGTAGCCATGCATCAATTGTACAATACAAATACACAGCCCTGTAGCAATAAGTTCCACAGTGTAAGCACTTGCTCTGTAATTTTTCTGTATTTCAGAATTTATTTTTTCTGTGCTTTTAATCTGCCACTTAATTTGATCCTTGTATCATGAGAGACAGTGAGCAGTTACTCCCCTTTCACTTTCTCCATGACAGCCCTCTAGCCCTAAAAACTTCTTTTTGAGGCTGATGAGTCCTGCTCTATTTAGTCTCTTAATTGTAGGCAAGTCTTTCTATGCCTTTGATCATGTTTGGGTAGGTTGTTACTTCTGTATCTTTGTTAAGATATTGCATCCCCTATTCAAGATGCAGGTGCATCATAAATCAAAACAGCCACAAAAAGACTTTCTTTTTCCTTTTCTAAGCTTTCAAAACCTTGCATTAGCTGTTTTGTTTCTGTGCTCAGCACAAGAGTTGACATTTTCATAAGGTTATGTAAATTTGCATTCGCTTTCCTAAGCAGAACTAGATCACTACCTATATGGCAGACTGTTTTTCCCGTATACATTGCTTTGCATAGCCACATGGAAATTAATTTCTGAAAAGACTTTGTGACCCAGTCACTCCGCGTTAGAGATTCTTCTATAGGTGTTCAGCAGCACCTTTCAGTTTTAGTATGCCAAACAGTCTGGAATCATCAGAAAATCACTTCAGTTTTCTGATGGCCTATCAAACAGTCTAGCTCTTTCATGTTCCTGAAGAATTTGAAGACAGGATTCATTTAGCATGGTTTTACAGCAGCTTCTGTATGAATACTATCACACTGCCAGTTGCATGGTGTAATCCTGTCGTAGGATTTCCACTGGAGCCATTTGCAACCTAGTTGCGGCTCAAGGATGACAGGCTGCACATCCCCTGGATGGATGATAAACTATCTGCCCCCGTTTACTTTAAGATTCAGTGTTCCTAAGATACAAGGCAGTGGACACAGAATACATTCCAGGTAGAGAAAGGGACTGCTCCCTCTGAGCCCTGTGGGCTACGCTGCCCCAACTGGACTTCACCTGCATAGAGAGAGCTTACAGACCACTTTTGTAGTGCTCAGGTTCCACACTGATCCTCAAAATGTGAGCAGATTCTGTCACATGGATAAAATACTTACAGTTAACACTAACATCTCCATACGGTAGTGGGAGCAATGGGGAATGCAAGGGGTGCTGGGTGTATCGCAAGATTGGGTTCCTCCTATATGTCTGTTCCACTACTTCAAAGTTTGTGCTGTTTTCCTGGGAAAGGGGGAAAAAAAAAAAAAAAAAAAAAAAATTATCATCAAATGGGGATAGTTCTTTGCGGGATGTCCTTATACATTTATTTCAAGCTCAGCCACCTTTAAGTTTCTGGAGGTCCATGGAGGGAATAGGTGACCAAAGCATAATTTACATATAAAAATTACTCTGTACATTATTTCTGAAAATTAAACATAAGAATAGCCATGCTGGGTCATACCAAAGGTCACCAAGCACAGGATCTTGACTTCAAATGTGGCGTGCGGCTGATACCTAATGCAGGCATGTAACATTTATGGCATGATTCCTCCCTTGTATATCCTTCAAGCTTTCAACACTAAACGGTTAATGGACTTTCTTGACCACAGATGCACGATGTTCAGTATGCAATAATAAGCCTGTCTTTCCTGAATTTGGCTGGTTATACTACATGTGTTTACAGAACAGACAACCAAAATGCACACGGTGTTCAAAATCTGGGCCTGTCACTATCATACACATCGGCGTCACATTCTTCCATGTTTTGTCCTATATTCCTTCCTTAACAATACTTAATGTTCCATTTGTCCTTGAACCCTGAGCTGAAGTTTTGTGAGATTCTCCACAGTCACTTCCAGCTCTTTCTTCCTGAATAGTTACTATCTAATTGCATCTAGTTTAGAGCTCATCTCAATGTATATATTTACATATCCATTTCTTCTGAAATATGCTTTAGTGTGTCTTCTAATATGATTCTACGTTTAATTTGCCACAGTTTCTGGAAAGAAGCCTTTTCAAAAATTACTCCTACTAGAGTGGCACAATTTCTGCTCTTTAGAAGGACATTTTCTTTCCACCCTTTACTCTGCTATTTAACCACACAAGCTTAAGGTATGAAGAGGACTCCAGGGTACAGCAAAGTCACATGGCTGGTAGGAAAGGAAATTTTTATATTTGAGTCTGGAGGATGCTTAGGAGAGGAAAGGATGAAGCAGGATTTTGCAAATACTGGATTGCATAATCCTGCATGAAGTTTGTAATTGCACACAGTTGTAGCCTAGACTTATGCAGATCAGTTAACATATTAATTAAAAAAAAAATTCATGTAAGATTTGATTATTCAGTTGTACAGTCATTTAGGTTTCTTTTCTCTTTTTTTTTCTTCTTTTTTTTGTCCCCCTAAGACAGCAAACCCGTTTCTTGCCACATTCTCAGCAATGACTGGGTAAGGCCAGTGGTGAGCTGGCTGCTTCCAACTCACTTGGGAATTAGCATGATGCCACCTACCCTGATGTCACGAATGAGTTGCTGTGTAGGTGTTTCTATGGGAACTTTGCTGTCAATGACACCTTGAATGGCAGAGGCCCAGCGCATAGCTTCATTCAACAGCTTTGTGTACAGTCTGTAGGAGTGCTTTCGCCCATGGACGATGATGTTCCAATAGCCTGTGGAGAAACAAAGAAGCTGGAAAGTGAAACTTGCTTCCATGTTAGGTAGTTGACTGGAGGTTAGCAAATGTGACACCCATCTACGAGAAGGGCCAGAAGGAGGATCTGGGGCACTACAGGCCTGTCAGCCTGACCTCAGTGCCAGGGAAGGTTATGGAGCAGATCATCTTGAGTGCCATCACATGGCACGTACAGGACAAGCAGGGGATCAGGCCCAGTCAGCATGGGTTTATGAAAGGCAGGTCCTGCTTGACTAACCCGATCTCCTTCTATGACAAGGTGACCCACTCGGTGGATGAGGGAAAGACTGTGAGTGCCTAGACTTACCTACCTAGACTTTAGTAAAGCCTTTGACACTGTTTCCCACAGCATTCTCCTGGAGAAACTGGCTGCTCATGGCTTGGATGGGTGTACTCTTTGCTGGATAAAAAACTGGCTGGATGGCCAGGCCCAAAGAGCAGTGGTGAATGGAGTTAAATCCAGTTGGTGGCTGGTCAAAAGTGGTGTTCCCCAGGGCTCAGTATTGGGGCCAGTTCTTTTAATATCTTTATCAACAATCTGGAGGAGGGGGATCGAGTACACCTGCAGTAAAAGTTTGTAAATGACACCAAGCTGGGTGGGAGTGTTGATCTGCTTGAGGGTAGGAAGGCTCTACAGAGGGATCTGGACAGGCTGGATTGATGGGCTGAGGCCAATTATATGAGGTTCAACAAGGCCAAGTGCCGGGTCCTGCACTTGGGTCACAGCAACCCCATGCGGCGCTACAGGCTTGGGGAAGAGTGGCTGGAAAGCTGCCTGGAGGGAAAGGATCTGAGGGTGTTGGTCAACAGCTGGCTGAACATGAGCCAGCAGTGTGCCCAACTGGCCAAGAAGGCCAACGGCATCCTGGCTCGTATCAGCAATAGTGTGGCCAGCAGGACTAGGGAAGTGATCATCCCCCTGTACTTGGCACTGGTAAGGCCACACCTCGGATACTGAGCTGTGTTCAGTTTTGGGCCCCTCACTGCAACAAAGACATTGAGGTGCTGGAGCATGTCCAAAGAAGAACTGGTGAAGGGTCTAGAGCACAAGTCTTATGAGGAGCAGCTGAGGGAACTGGGGTTGTTTAGCCTGGAGAAAAGGAGGCTGAGGGGAGACCTTATCGCTCTCTACAACTACCTGAAAGGAGGTTGTAGCAAGGTGGGTGTCAGTCTCTTCTCCTAAGCAACAAGAGATAGGACGAGAGGACATGGCCTGAAGTTGCACCAGGGGAGGTTTAGATTGGATATTAGGAAAAACTTCTTCACCAAAAGGGTTGTCAAGCATTGGAACAGGCTGCCCAGGGAAGTGGTGGAGTCACCATCCCTGGAGGTATTTAGAAGATGTGTAGATGTGGTGCTTAGGGACATGGTTTAGTGGTGGACTTGGCAGTGTTAGGTTAACGGCTGGACTTGATCTTAAAGGTCCATTCCAACCTAAATGATTTTATGATTCTCTTTTTGTCTGTAATGTGTGGCTGAGGAAAACCCTTGCTGCTTTGATAGCAACATATGGCATGTCTGGTTAAAATTCACTATATAAACATTAACATCCTCCATGCCCAAAACTTATTTATCAGCAGGAAGGTCCCAGTCCAGGTTTGGGTACACAGACAGCTTTCCAAGTTACAAGTATCTTGCAGTATAACATGAATACTTCCCTGCCAACCGGGCAGCTCACTTTCACAGACAGCATTTGGGCTACACTGTGTTATTAATCCCTCAGAAAATGACCACTCTACACACAGCACCCAGTCAGATTGCCAAATCAATGCTCACAACTTTTAAAAATAATGTGCTTGACATAAACTGAGAGAACATATCAGAGCAATGACAATTCACTCTGCTAAAGGCAGCCCTAGACATCTGCTGAGATCAAAAACATGGACAGTTTTCTCCGAGTGAGCAGAATAAATTTCCTCTCATCTCGCTTTACTAAATGCTTCCAGCCCTTTTTAAAAACATCCCACTACTCAAGCATCCAGTACTTCAAATCTTGTTCTAAGGTTTACCTTCTTTGTAAGGGGGATTCACCCTTCACCCCATAACCCAAGTTCCATCCCAAACTCAAAAGGCAAGCAATGGAGGATCACACCAGATCCTGCCTTCCCAGAACTGTGTCACGCTGCACAGAAAGCAAACACAGGCCCTCGTCATCTTTTGTTTCTAACAAGCAGAGTGATGCTACAAAAAAGTCTTACAGTGTATGCCATTGCTGTTTTATTTAAGAGAATAACATTGACCCCAGAGACAAATGTAGGTCATGCTACAAAGTGAGAGTTATTTATGGAGATGTACTCATAATTACAGTGTCAACTATAAGAACTCATAGCCCTTTCCCTATTTGGGAAAAACTTAGATAAACAGTGACACTACTCAGTAAAAAAACATCAGCACTGTGTATCTCTGTCAGGTGTGAGGGACTTACCCTCACTTGCACACTACTCTCTGGCCCTTTGCAAGTCTCTTACAGTTTCTGTGGGGAAAGATGTTTGCAGCCAGACACAGAGCCTCAGATAACATCAAGACTACCTTCTCAACATGACACATCATCACATTCCTGCACTATCCCCTCTTCATGCAACTTCACACGTGGAAAGTCTGCTCATTACTGCTTTCTTCCTCTTACCTGTGTCTTTGAAGACCCTCTCATCGGGCTGCACTACAGAGCAGAGGCTATTGAGCACAAGCGTGCCAAGCTTGGCAGCTGTGCGCTCGGATGACTTGTAGTAATCGAGCGCAGTGTTTGTCAGAACAAACCAGCGTTTCTTCATCTTCAGAGAGGACATCTTGTTGCTGCTCTGAACCTCTTTATGAAGCCAGCCTAGCACAAGAACACAAACATGTCAATGGTTTCTCCACCACAGCAATCCTGTCTCTTGCCTGGTGGCTCTCTAACTCTGAGACCAGAACTCCACCTCTCTGCAAAAGGGTCATGCTGGCACCTACCAGCTCTGCTTTACTGGCTATAGCAGTACCCTACACGGTCACTGTAAGAAATTAGCCCAAAATTTCCCACAGAGCTGTTCCATCCTTCAGCCCTATGCATTTTTTTTATCAGTGATCTGTGGTTTAGTTTGCCACCACCGTCAGGACATCCTCTATTCAGGATGCTTCCCTCACAAGTCACGAACATCTGAATAAATAATTTACAATTCATTCTTCCAAAGAGATGCCCAATGCCTGTCCAAACCTCGATGGAAGAGGTTTGGTGATACATGTCTTCTAGTAGAAGGATTTGTAAACATTACATGCATCTCTTACTCCCACAGTCAGGAAAAATAATTTCTCTCTCATTTTAGATATCTCACAAAACAAAAAAAGAAAATTCAATACTATAAAAGAAAAAATGACAGTCTGCGTTGCTAAAGCTGTCAAAAAGACAATTTTCTATTCAGAGCTGTAAAAAGCAATGTCCAACTACAAGGCAAAAAGTTCAAAGAATGTGGGACTGAGCCCAGAGGTTCCATATAAAGAAAAGATAAAGAGATAGACCTTCTAGAGTATATACCTTCATGGCTACACCACTCTCACACAGACATCTTACTGTGAAGTGCAGATCATACATTGACTTTGCAAAGGAGCATTCCTTTTTTTCTTTAACTTATGAACAATACGAGATAAAAGGAACTGTTGCCTTGCAATTAAGTATTTTGAATTTAAGGTACTCAAACTATTGTCTGATAATCTTGCTTTCCACAGATTGGATCAGGAGTGTCTTCATACATTTAAGACCATGTGATGAGCTGAAAGTGCTAAGGAAATTTAAAAATATCTGAGACAAATGGGAGAATATTTTGTAATATGGGTGTGATCACTACTCATGCATCAGCTCCTCCATCTCCAACTAAGCTCTAACTAGAGAAATAATATAAATCCTTTGCTCAGCCTCAGAGAATTATTCTCACCTCACTATGTCTACCGTAATCAGGTTAGTTTGTTTAGCTGAGGACAGCAGCAATCCCACAAAGATCTCTCTCCCTCCCTCTCTACATGACAGGTGTCAGAAGGAACAGAGCTTTCTGAAAACAAAAGCTGCAGTGTCATGTTATAGTCAGTCTAAGCCAGCTGCTCCTAAACAGCAGCCATGCTCCCTCCTATTCCCTGACGGCATTTGTGGGACATGTTGAAATAGGCTATGGAACTAATATCAGAAAACTAAACGTATAAAGTAGTACCTTTTTTTTTTTTTCCAGCTTTAGCTTTCTGAATCCACCTGACAGGGAATCAGGTAAGAGCCAGTGCCAGCACAACACAGGACGTGGCAAGCAGCAGGCAGGAAGGTGGAGAGAGGCAAAGAATGATTGGTTTTGGGGAGCAGCTAAACCTTAGATTGAATTAGCTGCAATCAAAGCTCCCTCTCAGATCATAAATGGAAGATGAGTTTTACATGTCGTAATTGCATGCATTTCCTTTTACCTCTCACAAGGAATTCCTGGCCATCAACCTTAGATTCGCCTTTTGGTTTCTGCAGCAGGGAGATCCAGTGATGCATCTCCTCAGGGGTGTCGCTGTTGCAGTGAATCACTCTATTTGCTGTGATGATCACAAAAGAATTTGGTCTGCCAGAAGATAAAAGCATTAAAATTGGTCATAACCATACAGATATCTCAACTTACAGCACACCCAAAGTCATGTCCTCTACCTTCCCATAAACAATGCAGAAAGATTCTCTGAATACAAACTACAAAGTGTAGAAACACTTAAGAGCATCTCCCGTGCAGTTGGTCTGCAAACTGATGAATGCAGAGACCAGATAAATGGAATTAAATATCTTTCAAGAGCTATTCCCAAAGACTAGAAAACGTTAACTAGCTAATGACCAGCTGTAAAATGTCCTGGGTTCATAAGCAAAGAAGTTTGTTCTACCCTCCGACTGGACTGAGCTAGTGCTAGTACCACTGGGCTGAGCTAGTACAGCCATTCTCCTCATAGCTATTAAAACCAGTGATGCAGTAGCAAACACAGGTCCCAGCAGGGTCAGCTAAAATGGGTTTGAGATTGGTTTTAAAAAGGATGAGCTCATCCTGACAAAACAGAGGAAAAACTGTTATGTTGCTCCTAGATTACTTTGTTCTTCTCTTGCAACAGACAAATGCGTCCTACCAAAAGAATAGTCACAATTCTGCACAGAATTGATGCTTTACAGAAAAATGGAAAAACAAAAATATGATCAGTTCCAAGAGGATAGACTCAGAAAGCTTTGAAAGCAAACATGGATTTCTATTACAAAACAGAGAAACTGAAAAGCAGAATGCAAGTATGAAGCAAAAGGTAAAGGTGCAAAATAAGCAACTGTCTGGCCACTGCATAAACCTATGGAAGATAAAAATAAGCTGCATAAAAACCTTGGTTGAAAAATAAGCATTCTCCTCAGAATTTGTTTAACGTTGATTCAAACATTGATACTCCAGAATAGTGTACCTCAGCAGATGCATGAACTAATTTTAACTGTTCAGCTTACTATTGGTGCCTAGTTTTTTACTGGTACACAGATTAACTATGAGAAGCCCAGGCTGAGAACTGGCTAAAACATTTTGATCAACGAAATCTTAGTTCGCTACCGAGATACGCATTTTCTAAACTAGTAACCCCAAAGTCCTGGCAACCTGTGTGAGAAAAAAAACAGACCACAGAGCTAAATAACTTAATAGCTAACATTTTACTTCAGCACTGTAGTAACAATCTTTGCCCTGGCTGAACCTGTTAACATTGTGGGAAATAATTAAATGTTAACGTAAAGTGATATGAAGTGTCCCGTAATCTCTCCTCTGAAACTAACCCAACTGTGAACTAAAGGTCTGTGCTTTGTTGCATTGCAAAGATATCAAAAGAGTACAGATTTCTAAATTCATCCATTATTCTTCCACAATGCTGTTTCTTTCCCCTAAATTTACATTAACGACTCAAAATTACTCTGTTGAAAAACTGGAAGTGCTGCTTTTGCTGGACATTTTTGTTCAGTGTTAATAATAGTTAAGACTATAATTTGACACTGAGATTATGCTGTTCCACTTTTAACAAGGAAACGAGAAACTTTCACTCAAAGAAAATACATGTGTCAACTTCATGTCTGTGAAGTGACATAGCTTGAAATGAAGACTTCAGTTATGTTTATTTGTGTGGAGATAAATTCTTATGAGTTTAAACAAATGCAAACCCCAAAGAAAACCTGGACCTACCCACAAAAATATGTTAGAGAGTTTCTGATCTAAGAGATGTACCTACCTATCAGGACTGTCTGAAGCACAGACATTGTCAATAAGCCCAACATCCAGAGTTCCCTGTACAGTGAGAAAGACACAGATAACAGAAATTGCTTCCATCTTAAATTACATTCTCCTTCATGAATAGGATTGGAACTGAAAACATTCTTCTGAATTCCAATAGCTTGAGTAGAAATGAACATATGAGAAAGGCATGAGTGAGTCATCTTTGCTCCCTAAACACCATGAGAAGATGTGCTCCACTGGACTGGAGGAAAAAGAGCTACAAATTTCCAGAGAGCATTATGAAGGTCTGAAATAACCTTTGCCAATATCCCAGTACTGGCAAAATACATAAATACACTGTTCTTCCCAACTGCCTATCTTCTGTTTGGAATAACTGTGACCCAGACTAGTCCCATAATCCCATCCAAAGCCATTTTATCTGCATGAGGCAGGCCCCCTCTTCCCCTCAAACCAGAGAGCTATTGGCGATTAAGCTGAGCCACCCACCACAACCACCATGTTCCCCACTGCTTACCCTCTTTCTACCACCTTTGCTGTTTCTTTATAATAATTGTCCAACTTTCTTATACTGCTCATGAATTATAGCACTGCATGTGCTGGAAAAACATGCACAAAATAGTTAAACACAGAGAGCTCTAAGCATGCCCACAGACTGGTTGCACAGTAACTCACCACAGCATTCTTTGGATTGGCCTGTTCATCTTGCATTTCCCTCAGCTGCTGCGCTGTAGCGCTGTGTACTCGGCTCAGGACATTAAACCAACCACTGGCAATCGAAACAGACTCAAAGTTAAGATTTGGGTAGTGAAACTAGCTCTAGAATATGACCAAGGAACCTGGAAAGCTGCCAGTGGGAAAATTTCTTCATTCACAATTTCCTGAGGACTATGCCACAAAATATCTCTTGGGCTGATCATACCAGAATCTAATGTCTTCCTTCCTCCCTATTTATCCATGAAAATTCTGTGCACGTTCTCCAACCCACTGACAGCTGCTCCCGCAAAATCCAGTTTTCTACTTGCTATTCAAGGAACTGTAAGCAGGCAGTGGCCTTACCAGGGAGCACATGTCAGCAAACTGAGAAGAGCATACAGCAGTTGTAAAGACGGAGTCAGTTGGGAATCTTCCTGGACTAGAGTCCTAGAGACACCTGGGAGCCTTCTTAGCTAGTCTCTCTGATCTGCTCATAAACTTGAAAGTCATATGGCTGTCAATTAATCATGAGGTTTTTTACAGGTTAATTTGGAGTTAAGTTATTTGGCTGTGAAAGGGCTTCTCATTACAGACATATCTGGAGGCTAATCTCTGTTGCAGAACAAGCAGATTCTTATCTGCAGCTTCCAGTGAGATCAGCAAACATCTAGACTTCATGGAGGATTCTCAGATTGGATACTCTGTGACATCTGCTCATCTACCCTTTGCTAGTGCAAGTGTTGGTGCTTTCTCCTCCCTCAGAACAGAGACTGATATGGCATTGACAGAGGCAACATTTGGTTTACACTTGTCCTAGCAATTCTGCAATGTTATCTTAGGGCATGCCTATTCCAGTTGTGGAAGTTCTGGGTTAAGAGGTTACTGTTTCTTCAGCTACTGTCCCTTGAATTTGCCTGTTTCTTGTTCATGTGGCTGTTCTTTAGTCTATTTGTCTATTTCTGTCAATTTGTGTCCAAACACCTTCCCCTTTCCTCTCCCTACACCCAAATGAAATAACAGACCCTAAATAACTTCACAGTATCAGACTGAAGTAGATCAGAGAAACACTTACACTGGCTGGGCTGAGAAAGCAGAAGCCTTGGTAAGAATGGGAAAAGTGGGAACACATGAGCAGCTAGGGACAGTAACCTCTTAACCTGGCTTTGCATAGCCAGAACAGGTTGTCCAACCTGCCCTTAAACAACTGATTCCCACTGCCTGGCCAGGACGCCCAGAAGGAAGGACATGAGTCATTTGTTTGTTTTGCACTGGGAAGACTTTATCAGATGACACTACAGACTCTGATAAGCTGCAGCCTTTTCTCTGTCTCCTGGATAAAACCCAGCTGCTCTTGCAATCATTTACAGACAACATGAATAGACTTTTTGTTTGATTCAAGATTCCATTTAATAAATAAATCAGCTATTAGATGTTCCAGTTTATATTAAGGTTTTGTGTGTCTCCTGAAGTAACCCTTGAATTCAGCTTGCTCACAGCCACATAAGAAGGTGGCAGTCCTGTGACTGATAGGCTGAACAACCATCTCAGTAGCTGCAATAGGGAGTCCCCAGAGTAGGTGTGGTACCTCCCAATAAACACAAAATGGCACTCTGGAACAAATCCCCTCTTTTCTCCAGCAAAAGGGAGGCGATTATGTTTCCCACGCTCTCCCGTGAGTAGTTGTGTCAGACCTGAACTGAATGAATAAACCTAACAGAACTCCCTCTTATACCTGGCATCTTCTGGTGACTCTGCGACAATGTGATAAACTCTGTCTTCTGTCACAATGTCCAAGGCATTCTCCTTTTCATGAATGTCCACTATCTCCCTGGAATACAGCAAAACACAAGAGCCAAAACTGAAAACCTTTCACAGGCATAAATTCCACCTGGCCAATTTTTTTCATATCATACCATTCACCATACAGAAGGGAAATCACTGGTTCAGATGGCTTGTAACTCCAACAGAAATACAAAATTCCTCCAACACACATTAAGACTTTTAGGGTCCCCTTAAAAAGATTTGTACAGTTAATCTACTACAAAATCAAAGCTTAAGGCATTAAATGTATTTTCTTCAAGACACCATCAGACTAGATGGAAGAAGAGATAACAGGGAGGTTGATATAGAAGGCTGTTTACAAAGTGGTGTGTGCCACTCTTTTTGGCACTTTGCAGGTGACTAGTCTCTCCTTTCCTACAGCAGGAGCTGAGGAATTGGCTATGGCAGCAAAAAGAGCATTCAGGACTCAGGAAAAGGCATAGTACATGCTGCCAGATTCAAATCCTGCTGTGAGCTTCATAACACCTCTGTGAAATGCTTGGAGAAGCCAGGGAACAGATGGAGTCAGGGTAGGGGAGAATGCATGGGGGTATGTACTTAATTAGCCCCTCCTGGTCTGGCTCCATCCATGGCTTGGAAAGAGCTTCTGCTGGATTATGAAATGCAAGACTGGAAAAAGAACTATCAAGCATTCCAGACTCCCTCCAGAGTAAAACTAGAAGCTCTAATTGTCTTTTCCTTCCCTTATGTTTCTGATTCTCCTAACCCTACGGGAGATACATAGGCTGATGAACTGGCAGGACTGGACACTTCATTATTGATTTAGAGACTGAATACTAGGGATCAAAAGGATTTATTTCTTCACTCACTTTGCCCTTCTGATATCAATTGTCCCCTTCAGCTTTTCCTCGCTATCATTCTCAAAGTACATCAGCTTGGATTCTCGAAGCACAAACCAACGGCGTTTCCAGTTACGGCGTGAAAGTGTTGACATGCCTCCACCTTTTTTATAGAGCCAGCCTGACTTCAGTGCCTCTTGCTTGGTGCGGAACCACATGAAGGCCTCGTTCTTCAGAACACACCAGCGCCGTCTCCATGGGTTCATGAGACCACCTGCAAAGCAAGGGAGCAAGATTTCATCAGAAATGCAACAAGGGCCATGTTTCTATTCCGATCCTGCTTCACGGGCACTTGGTTACCACTTCAGTTCCTACACGAAACAAAGGAGAGAAACAAGGTTATGCTTAAGTTCGGACAGAGAAAAACCAGAACAAACTAGTGAAACACAAATATACAAATATGCGCACTACTCAAATATTTTTGTACTGTCTTCACTTTTGTAGCTCAGAATGAGTCATTTAAGCCCACACCAAGTGGGCACAATTAGGTCTCGGTGGCAAAGATATCCAGTCTAATTCCTTGACATCTACCTCCTAGCTCTTTGTTTTATTTGCTTGTTTTCAATAAAAGAAGAAGAAAAAAAAAAGACTAAACAGAGAACTAAGAGCAGATGAAGATGATGATTCTGCAGAAACAGAAGAGGAAAGAGGGTTTCCTGGATTCCATCCTTCCATGGTTTTGGCTAAAGCTGCTTACCTTTCATGTAGAGATAGCTGTGAAAATAGGGTGGTCCTGAGCCATTGAAGATAGTGACTCGTCCGTTACAAAACTCTTCATCTGTATCAATGTAAACATCCACTTCTTCTTCACTGTCCAGAAACTAAAAGGAAAAGAAGAAATACAGGCTAACTTGGGTTCTCCTGGTCACAGGAAGACTGGAGCAAATTAACAAGGCTAGAGAAGTCACATGATTAGAAGGTGCAAAACCACACATACTCCCTTTACAAACAAAGCAATACAGTAAAACTAGAGGCTTGACAGCTTACCCATTAATGCCTAAAGCAAGAGTCTCCAGACCATGGAATTTTTATACCAGAAAGGAGAGTGACATTTGGCTAGAAAACTCCACTTCCCTGCAGTAACAAACCTTCCTGTTTCAAGGCTGAGCCCACAGTCCAAAATCTAATTTAATGGGATTAAGAGAGAATTTTTCATTTTGGAGAAGTTTTCTGATTTTTCTGGCAGACAGGCCAGGATGCTGGACAAGATGGAGCACTGATCTAACCCCAGCAAGGAAATGCCTTGCTTTGGGTTGATTAGGAAAAAAAGCACATTCCAGGATAACTGAACCCTAAAACCAAAGATCTAAGTTACTGAATTAATAGTACTGTATTTACCCATCCTGGTTCTCCCAACTAGATAATGGCCCTCAGCCATAAGAAAGTACTTCACACACAAAATCCCAAATTACCCTATCATCTCCTTTGCATTAAATACAACTTCCTTTGATCGGCTTTATTAATTTAATACTAATGAAAGCAGCTCCTTAGATCTTTTCCTTCCTCAAATGCATGTTGCTTCTTTTCATTTTTTCCCTTCTGTCCTCTCTGTGACCCCTTTGTACTCCTCTTTTGTCTCATTCCTGCTCCACTCATTCATACTCCCTCTCTTGCCATTAAGTCTCAAAAACCAGGTACTCTTGGATCAGCAGCTACTGATGGGATCTTGACCCAGCTGCAGTTATCTCTTCTTGTGGCTCATGGCATGACATAGTATCAACTGGATTTTTCATGAGTCTTACTCACTGAGGAGCCCAATAAAACCCTCCACTTCTATTTACATTTTAAGACGAATGGTAGAAACTGGCCTAGGCTGTGACAGAATGATTCATGGCTTGAAGATTACCTGACAGTGATCTGTGAGTACCTGCACACAGAGAAGGTACCTTTACTCAAGCAGATCATAAAAAATTCTGATGGCTGGCAGCTGACATTAGGGAAATGCAAACCGGAAAAATCATGCAACTTTATAAGAAGTTCAATCTGCCATTGGAAAAGAATAGCAAAGGAAGTAAATTGAATTCCTAAAAAAAAAAAAAAAATCCGTTTTCTAAAAGGTATTTTGTAGTTCAAGTCTCTATTCTCAGGGACATTATTTATCTGAAATATTTTTATGACTGTCATTGGCTTCACACCTGAACTCCTTACAGTCTTATGTGGGCTTATCTGACATCCTGTTCTGTAAGGGGATTTATCATTGCATTATTAAGCAACTAGCCTGAGGGCACTCAGGAAGCCTAGAGCCTAGTGTGGGATCTAAGCTAAGATGCTTCAAGTGCGGGGCTAATAGCCTGGCTTTACTACCCTGTCATTGTCCCTGTAGTAGGAATGAAAAGGTTCAGCGGTCTTGGTTGTGTGCACTGGGACCCACCCTGGATCAGCACAGTAATTTTTTCTAGCCTTAGAATAGTTTAACTTGTACACAGTGGCTGAAAATAAACCCTTGACTCTGAACAGTAAAAGGACTAGAACAAGAGAAGTTTTAGTGATGGAAACAAATCAAACCCCAGCCTTCCCCATTTCCTCTTGTGATTGTCCACTGGAAGCTCTGGCTACTTCTGTGAAATCTCTCTAAGGTAGAACATATACCTACAAGATACTAGTTGCCTGCTTTCAGTCTTCCTAAAGGGTGTTATGTTAATATATGGTGACGAAAACAATCTAAAATAGCCTAGGTACATATGTGCTAGCTTGTGTACCAGTAGAGACTGGACAGTCACAAGCCCTCTGGCCTTCAGCCTATCTATGACTCTTCCCTTTTTTTCAAGCTGATTATTGACATAAGAGAGAGTTATACATTAGTAAAAATACCCACAGCAAGCAGGCATACAGTAAGGCGGCAAGGATGTTATAAATATCAACAAAGTCAGGCTAATGTCCAGAAAGGTGAAGGGAGGGATTCTTACCGAGTCCAGGCTGCCACGGTTGGAGTCCAGGCTGGTACCATGGGAGTGTCTCAGACCTTCCTCACCATTCAGAGGCTCAGCTGAGGCACTACCTGCATCTCCACAACCATCAAACTCCTCATGGTCGTAGTCTGACTCCACATCCGGAGGGGAAGTGTAAATTGGCTCTCCCACCTCTCCGCTGTTACTCCTCTGCTTATCTGTGACCGTGCTGTAAATGCTTTCTGCTGGCTCAGAGAGGGCTCTCTGCTCCTTGGGGCTAGTGGTTCTTTCCACAGGTTGTCCTGGAGCAGGGACAAGCCCTCCCACTTCCCTTTGGAGAAGTGAAAGGCTTGTATCTGCAACTTCCTCTGAGTAGTTATCGCTGTTTCTTGTGCCGTGCTGATCCAAGACCACCAAACTGGAAGTTGGCCGTCCTTCATCATCAGCATGAAAACCCTCATCCACTTCTTCTTCAGCCAGTGGTGCCACCAGGCTGCAGTCAATGTTGAGTGTCCCCTCACTAGAAAGTGAGCGCTCTAAGTTCTGCACACTTTCATCCAGATTGCCAAAATCCAGCAGCTCCAAGAACTCCTGGGCAACCCTAGATGCCTCCTTTTCCAGCCTCTGGATCTCTTCTTCTCGCTGCCGATTGATTTCATTCCTGGTGTTTTCACAGATGATAGACATGTGATCCTCTTTCTGTTGCTGCAACTTCTCAATCTCCTTCTCCAGTCTTAAGATCTCCTCCATCTGACGTCTCTCTTCTTCTTGCAGGGGAATATCTACCTCCTCAGTCTTTACTGCTTCCACCTTAAAGAATTTATAATAGGGTTAAAGCAGTTTCTTCAACCTATATGTGTTCCTTGCCTGGACCTTTCATTCTTCCTATCTCCTGTGCTTGCCTTGTACTTCCCATCTGCAAAAATATGACTCTAAGCATCCTGCAGTCATCCATGGTGTAAAAGCTAAAGGTAGAACTACTGGACCTTCAGGTACCTCCTTTTTTTGAGCAACCTACCTCTTTTAAGAATCATACAAAGCAGCTCACTGGGATCAGTGAATTTTTAGAAGAGCCTCTCTTTCTGCTGCTCGTGTTACAGCCCCTTTGTACACTACAATTCGGATAAAAGCATTCTGAAAGTCTGTCCTCTCTTTTTGAACTATCTCACACACATACACATGTATAGGAGAAAGTAATTATATATTAATATATACAGCCATAGCCTGCTTAAGAGTTGAGGATTTCCCAGAAATTAATTAAAAGATTTGGGGAGTTTGCTGCTTCTTGAGTTGGGGGTCTGACCATCAGAATCTAGGTCTGGAAGGGATATTTGCAATGAAGCACGACTCTATGTATCCACTCCAACCCCATCAAAACTCCACCCAGAATTTCTTGGCATTCTTTGGCATCACTGGATGGATGGCAGCTGGTTGCTGAAGAGTTTGTCTTCCTCACAATGAAGTAACAGGAAATTTCTAGCAAGTACACAATAATTAGAAGATGGAAGATACTAGTAACTTTCACTGACATTTAGCTGTAAGATAAAGCCACCCTCCCCTCCACAGAGGATGTTGAAAACATGCACACAGAAGAAAAAGCAAAAATAAATTCCAAAAGGATTTCATGTACTTCCTGATAGGAGTATGACAATGCAGCCAATGAATTGGCCCATTTAAGCCACAATCCTTTCTGTTGCTTGTTCTCTACTTGACTCTTACTTGTGGATGAATGCATTTCTATAATCTGTCATCTCTCCTAAACAGAGCTGGCCTGTAACTGGGGAACAAGTGGTTTGGGAAAGAAATAAGAAGATACACAGCTGTTTTCACACACCTCAGGGTAGGTGGTCTGCTCTTTGATATATCAAGTACCAACAATTAGATCAGTTACAAGGGGTTTATTTTAGCCATGGTAGCAGCCAGCTGCACTCTTATTTCGGCTGTTAGAGGCAACAATCCAGCAAGTCAGACTGTGTCACAGTGTAGCACATCACAAGGTCATATAATAAGCTCAAGCAGTAGAGGTAAAAAACGATGCTGGATGTTCAATACAGAAATTTCAAATAGGAAATATGCAAGCTGGTACATGAGCATTGAAAAAAACCCTACCTTGTTAACTCTATGCACCTCTGCCAAAGCCAAACACCTGCAGGTTTTGAGTGAACAAAGCTTGTTTCTTAAATAGTGTTGCCACAATAACAATATTAGCTCCAGGCGAACCATAGGCAATGAAGGACCCTTCACAGATACTCAGGAGAAGTCATACAAAAAGAATAACTGTTAAACTTACCTGAGCCACCTGGAGTAGCACATTCAGTTGCTCCTTTTCTCTGTTCAAAAACAAGACATGATAGTCAGAGATAGACCCAGTTCTCCTACATGAGGCTTTCAGAACTACATGGACGCATCATCCCTCCATTGGTAAGGTTAAAATAAGATACCTGTTGTAAGACTGATCAAAAAGCTTTTGTAATTCAGTAAAAATCCAATTTTCTGTGATTGGCATGACCTTTGTGGATACAACAGATTTTCCGCATGTACTTAACTTTCAGATCAATCAGGAAATTGGATTAGTTAGAACACATTAGGAAGGACATTGGAAACAATGACAGAAAGACAGATCAGTTAGACTCATGAAAAATGTAAACATAATCTTCTTAAGCACTATACATCCATGGATATTAAATGAAGTTGTACATGCATAATTGACAGAAATCAGGAAACTGTGTTTGTTTGGTTTTTTTTAAACAGGACAGAATTATTGCAATACCAGCATTGAATTTGTGTTTCATTTTCTTTTACTGTATTAAAGCCCCCAAAAGTTATCAAATTTTTGTACTTTGTTAAATGATTAAGCTGAGGACTTTCTCTTCTGAAGACCTGGATGCCCCAGTTTGCATAACTTCTCAGTGGCATGCAAAACCTAGTTTACTAGTAAAGGCTGTAAGAGTCAGAGTTTGTTAGTAAACATGAGTAGAGGAAAAAAACTCTCTCACAGTGCTGCATCTCCACCCAGATCAAAAAGGTTGTACTCCAAGGGAAAACTGTCACTATGGCCAGTTTCTCCATAGTGAGCACACTACAAGCAACAGAACTAGTACACAGACAAATGCCAGGGTCATACATAGGGAGCAGGGATAGGATGTGGCTGGATGGAAGAGTCTGCCTGTGGCAACCACTGCGCAGCTAAATGCAGACTGGCAGTGGTAACTTTCAAGTCTGTAATTCAACCCAAGCAGAACAGGAGGGCAACAATATTTATTTCCCAGGCCCTGTGGCTTTTCCCAGCCAAATTCTAAATTGCAGCTGCAAGTCACAAAGTCCTTAAAGCTCTCACTCTTGCACTCGTTCTCTCTCAAAAAAAAAATCCAGGAAATGTTTCCAAATGAAAGCTGACGTAAGTGAGATCCAGATGGTTCCAGCTCTACTGAAAGATCTCTAACAGTAGTCATGAGTTAAACAACTGCCTTAAATGATAAGAGGGTTCAAGAAGCAGAGCCATTTTAAAACAAATCAGGAATACCACCTACAATCTACACACTAATTCTTGCAACTGTTCTTCACATTTTTAGACCTCTGATATTTCTTGCTGCTTTCCATCCATCTTCCTGAAATGTGATACCCAAAACTAGGGACAGTACTCCAACTGAAGCCTTACCAGTGCCAAGCGGAACAGAAGAATCACCCCCACATCTTAACAGAAACAATCCTGTTTATAGACAGCATTTGCTCTCTCCTCTCACACAGCATGACACCGGTGACTAATACTCAACTTAGCCTGCAGACCTTCTTCCTGCTGTTGAAGTAGGCATTCCTCCTTCTCTCTCTGTGCATTTGATTATTCCTAACTGTAATCTGCATATGTCTATATTGAAAGTTATCCTGTGTTTTCCAGACCATTTCTTTAATTTGCCAAAATTATTTGAATTGTAATCCTGTCTAGCTATATACTTACAGCCCCTCAACAGATGGTTTTATCTGCAAATTTAACAAGGATATTCATATTTCCTCATCCAACTTATTATGAGAACATCGCGCTAGTACCATATCCAGCACAGACCATAGAAGAATCCCATTCAAGAGTTCTCTCCTATTTAACAAAAAGCTACTATTGTTTACTAATTAAAATGCAATAATACAATGCAGTAAAAACACAAATCCTAGTCTTGCTTCACGTACTTTTTTCCAAACCACATTCCTTATGGTGTCTTAAGAGTATTGTCAAAACATGTCAAAGCCCTTACCTACCCTCTGCCTATCCAAAGTCAAGTTACCTACCCTCTATGGCTTTTCCCTATCCACAAGGCATGTCATAAGCTATCACAGAAGAAACCAGTAACTTTAATGCTGTTTGTTCTTCAGAAGTCCACGTTGGCTCTTAACTCTATCAAGCATTTACAACTATTTGATTATTTGTTTCAGTATCTTCCTGAAATTGAGGTTAGGCTGACTGGTCCACAATTCCCTCATTCTTCCTTTTCTCATTTTAAAAGGGGGTCACTACGTTTGGAATTTTCCAGTTTTATGGAAACTCTATTGCTATCCACAAAACAGGAGAAGGAGAATAGCTATTAATTCAAACTGCTTCAGCCAGATCTCGAAGTACTCAAACATTAATTTCACCAAGTCCGGGTGATTTCTTTGTAATCTGATTTATCTGAGCGTTCTCTTTGTAATCCGATTCATATGAGCATTCTCTAACCTTTTATTTCCCTGCTAGGTTCTGAATTCTTGCACATCTGTGCTAATTTTATTTAGTGTCCAACAGTTAAGCCTTTTGGGGAAGACAAATAAAAATAGCATCAAATACCTCAGCTTTCTCAACATTATAATTTTTTCTTCCTGTTGAACAGTAGACCAAATCACTCCATGTCTCCCTTTTACAACCAGTGTATGCAAAATAACTGCATGCCAACTTTTCGTTCGTTATAGCTCAGGTTGCATCTTGGTCCTTCTAATTTTGTCTCTGCATGTGTTCGGGTTTGTTATTTTTTTGTTGTTGTTGTTCTCAGCAGATTAGCCATTTTGCAATTTCTGTGGACTTCCACCTCATTTTTGAGGTCAAATGGAAGTTCAGGATTTAGCCAAGTTGGTCTGCTAGTACCTTTTTGGCTACTCACTCTGAATGAAGCCATTTGACATCAAGTAGAAAATGAAAGCAAAATGAGCAGTTGACCTGATTTCTAGAAACACTGACACTTCTCTACAATGATGCTGGGTTCAACACATCTTTCATGGGCTGGGAACTAAAGGGCAGGGGCAGAAAAACACTACAACAAATAAGCTAAATAGGTCCTTTTATCTAAAACGAGGCAGGGACAAGCTCTACTTAGTACAGTGAGGACTTTAGACCTGAGAGAGCATCTGTAGCATTTGATAACTGCAAACTAGTTACTGACATTCTGAACTTGCACAGCTTCATGTTGCTGATGAGGCTGTTGTTGAAAATTGACACATTGATAAAATGGAGCCTTCAGTGTTGTTCAACAAATTCCTTGACCAAACTGTTCCATTATTGGTGTCACTGACTCCATGTCTTGTCCCAGCAGATACATCACCCTACTGTCTCCAGTGAAACCGCAGGCCATCTCTTTTCCTTATGACGTACTTCTAACCTTAGAATTTTCTGATGCTTGTCACACACCTTAGTCCACCAAGATCCAAATTCAGGATAAGTATGTAACAAAAGCCTATAAGAAACGTAACCAACTAGTTATGAAAAACTTAAAATGCCACAGGATTATTTGTTCAAACTTACATAATAATCTCATAGTTGAAGTTTTATGCTTCATAAAACAAAAGATTATCAAGAGAGACAACCCAGTTTGGATAGGCTGTAGGTAGCCACGGAGCGAACAGTAAATGATGCACGAGGTGCAGGATTCTCAATAGGTATACTGTCACTGCTCACAGGCTGCCTCTTTTTGTGACATTAGCTATTCCTTTCCCCTCCTGATCTCTTGACACATCCATATCCCTGATGGGAGATACACAGCAGCAGGAACAGGGAGAACACGTGCATTCTCATGAGTGTAAGAACTGCAGTAGCAGCACAGGTGCGCTGCCCATCTTGCTCTCTGACCCAGCTTACTGGGCACACCGAGACTCATGATACTGGTACCTTCTCACACTGCTAATCCCTCCAGATTTTGGAAGACTGCATAAAACTTGTCACAAAGGCAACAAGAAAATTATGGATGTCTGCCCAATCAGTGAAACAGCCTCCTTTCATGTACATTCCAGAGCAAAAAAACACTCAATGGAGGTAAAAATACACCAGGATTAGCTTTCCTAGAGGAAACAGGACACTCCTTTTCCACACTGCTTTTCTACTCTAAGCTGCCCACAGCCCACCCCAGCTCTGCCCCTGGCATTGGGACGCTGTCTCATGCCATTGCTGTGCCAGCGTTACCATCATGCCAGCGCCCCAGGCCCGCTTTTACACCTCAGCAGCTTTAGTGCTAGGGAACTATGAGCGCAAGATACCATCTTGTACCTTTCCTTCACCTCTTCCTCTTCCCGTTTCCTCCTACGCTCCTCCTCTTCTTGCCATTGTCTTTCCTCTTCCTCTCTTCTGATCTGTTCTTCCTCTTCTTGCCTCCTCCTCTCCTCCGCTTCCTGCCTCCGCCTGAGCTCCTGCTGCAGCAGGTGCTGGTGGAGGCTGCGAGCCAGGCGGCCACGCCAGTGCTTCTGCAGGGTGATCGCAGAGGCCTTCAGTCGCAGCAGGCTCTTCTTCCAAAAGTATGCTCGGTAGTTCTTTTGGATTATAACAACACTGGCTAGCACCTTTTGATACTTCTTCCTAAAAACAGAACCAGACACTTAATGCGCCATGAGGAATACACGCTTTGCATTTCTCATGCCCTGGTATATTGACCAATCTTACCATAGCCACAGAAAAATGGATTTGGAAAAATACTGCTCAGAAATGACACAATTTCTGTTCCTCTGCTGCCACTACCCATAAATCATATTCTCCTCACTGTTCTCACTCCTCTATCTACCACTGGTTTGTTTCCGTGAGCACCTACTTTCATGAAGACCCTGGGAGGATGAAGGGCAGATGTTTGGCACATGGAAGGAGAAGGTCCACTGGCCCAAAGTCTCCTTGCATTGCACATACGTACATACATTCATTGTGCAATTAGCATAATCACTCAGTGTGGATTTTTTATAATAAAAACATACAAATGGCCTTACCACATGAGAACAAAGTCCCGTATTGCCCCATCTTTTAAGTGGCCAAAAGCAAACTGCTCCAGGAAAGGCAAAAAGCGGGGCAAAAATAAATCTGGTCACATTAATCTCCTATTGTTTGGGGGAAAACACAGTGACACTACAATATTGATTGCTGAATGTAACATTGTAACAGGCTGCCGTAAACATATACATATATTGCACAACATTTTGCTTAAAGAGTAACGATATCAAAATCAACTTTGCAGCACTTCAAAAAACATGGTAGGGCTCCAAAAGAAAAGAATCATCACTCAGTATTTCTGTAGTCTAGTGAAGTTCTAGAAAAGTCAGTTCTTGCCTCTGCATTACAGACCATTTTTATCAAGGACCTGAAAAAAAATTAACCAGTGGAAGTTTGTACATGATACACAAACTGGGAAAATAACAAAAGAGTTACTATTACAGAGTAATCTGGATCAATTTGTAAGCTAGATTCAAGCAAACATTAAACAATCCAAAAGAGCCAAACATAAGGTCTTGTATTGAAGAATCAAAGGCCAAACATACCTGATGTGGGACTGTTAAGAAGCAACAAGTCAAAAAAGGATTTTGGGGCCACAGATCATCAGGTGAAGGCAAACGCCCATCACAATTCTATAGAAAAAAATACTACTGGGATTCTTAATACTTGCAAGCAGAAATACTGCGTAGAAGGGGACTGCACTGCTAGTTTTATCCTGTGTTCAGTGTTAGCCCCTCCATTTCAAGAACAACGTTAGACCCTCAAGTGATTTCTAAGGAAGCAGGATTGGAACCAGAAATTCTGGCTTATAGAAAGACAGCACATGCTCCATGACCATAAGAAAGAAACGGCTAAGGAAAGGCTTGATCCCACTCAAAGTACCCACATTTTTGGGTGGCATTTCTATTTATCCAACAGGGACATAACAAGATTTAATTGACCTGAAGCTGAAGTCTATTCAGGCTGGAAATAAGCAGACTTTTTTTTAAAGTAATCAATATATTTAGACACCTTAATTGGTACTATTCAAATTAAAAACTTCTTTAGTCCAAACTAGAATTTGCAGAGGGAAATTCTATGGGGCCGTTAGACAGGATCTTGGGCCAGCAGGCTACAGTAATCCTGTGAAGTCTTAGAGTCCTAGAAAGCACACTGGAAATAGCACAGTATTCTCACATATCCTTCCCACAGACCTTCTGCAACCCCCTGAGGAAAAGACACACCTCAAAATCCCCTTCCTGGCAATCAAATCCCCTTCAAATGGCAACAGGGACCCATGCTGACAGCTTGCCACCTCCCTGCACATCAAATACGTCAGCCTAGTCAAGAAAGTCAGGAGAGGGATGCTAATAGCAGTAGTGTGCAGAGGTCATGCTCTTTTCCATAAGTATTAAGTCAAAGGGAGGAAGCACAGAGAAAAAGAAGAGGAAAGGGAAGAGGTGATAAGAAGCGGGAGGTTTTAGATGAATTGCTCCTGGGCTGCAGTCCCCTCACCCCTGCTCCCTCTGTCCTCCCTGTGCCCTGCACATGGGGTGTGAACAGCTGCACATGCACTCTCTGCCAAGGCAGATATAAGTGCATCAAAAAGGGCACTCTGACTTTTACAAAATGCATCTGCCAGAAACTCTCTCAAGTGCAACATGTGCCAAGCCCTGCCCAGCTACAGGCCGGCTCTGCCTGCTAATCTGCCAGGCTGAAGTGCCCCCTCATTCCTCATGACCGCAGCCAAGCTTGCAGACGCCCTTCAGCTGGAATGGCTGCACACAGGCTGTGAATTTCATTCCCCTTTTTCAGCCTTCCGTTCACCCCCTTGCACCGGCCAAAGAAACTCAACCTGCAGGCCACACCGAGGAGTTGGGAGACATCCCGACCATATATCACAAGAGAAGGCGGGGTGGCTGCAAGGCTCCAATGCTGCATTTGGAATTTAGTTAATTATCCTGTCGATGAGCTGTAGTTAGCAGTCATGCCTCCAAGGACTAGAGAATACAGGGCTATGGAGTAATTTCCTACTGTCTTCTTCCCTGAGCAATAAGGTCCTGCAGAATCCAGGGACACAGCCAAATTTGTACAGGGATCCTGCAAGCCTGGGAACAGTTATGTGTATTTTAGCTGCTGAAGCTGTTACCTGCAGCTCAGAGTTCCACAGATTAGCTACAAAAAATGGGGTCATTTCAATGGGCTTGATTTTCTTGTCTCACCTTTTAGTGATCAGTCAGAGATACTAGGCTGCAGGGAATGAGAGCAAAGAAAATGTTCTCACCCTTAGGACTGGTTCTCCAGGCTCACAGAACAAGTTCACAAAGGGGGAGAAACCAGTAAAATCCTTCCTGTGGCGTATGTACCCTTCTTCGCCAACCTACTTTGCATGAGAGCAAATGAATTTAAATACACTTGTACTTGCAAAACTAACAAAAATGGTATCAAGCTTAAGGCAGCACACACTGGTTCTCCTGACCTCTGCCCAACTCTGCACAGACCCTTCAGCACTTGCCCCGATGAACTCCCTCTTGCTGGACCTTCTCCAATACAGGTGCAGTGCAACTGGAAACTCTTCACAGAAAAGTTTCCAGTCTCCCTCCCTAGCTATTTCCTCGCTCCCTGCTCTCCTCCCCTGCAAAGTCCAGTTACCTCCAGCTGCTTGTGAGGATTTCCACTCTGGCTGCAGAAGCACAGCTTGTTCTTAAAGATGAGACTCACAAGAGCAACACGTGGGAGGAAGAATTCAGATCTGTGGAGACTGGAGGACCACAAGATTTCTAGCCAAGAGGAACATTACTGCAACACTGTCTCCATCGCAGCCCTGCAGGGCAGCAGCTACCTTCCCAGGAACTCAGAAAAGCAGAAATCCAGTTCGCCTGCAGTGATGTTTCCCAGAAAAATCAATTTTCCTGTGCTAATCCCTATCCCTCTCTCCACATGCTAGACGTAAAGTAAAATAGAGCAGAGGCCCTGACACAAAGAATTTGCAGTCTCATGTACAAACAATAGAGCTAGCTCATTTGTCTTCCTAGAGGGAAATAAATAAATGAATAAAAGCCCCTGAGACCAAATGTGTATTTTGCTGATATTCCATGTTGGCGAGGCAGGGTGCAACCCTTGCACACATTTCCCAAAGCAAAATGAGCTACCTGGTGTAACTGGAGCTCTAAGAAGAGTGCCTGCTGGAACAGCTCTGCTGGCCAGGGATTTCACCTCCTCACACCCCTGACTGACAGGTGTCTGGAGCAGAGACCAGCCAGGACAGAGCATCTTACTGGGATTAAGTGTGCATGCCACAGCCATTAAGGAGTCAGCTGTTACACTGACTGCGAGGGGCAGAGGAGGGGCGGTTTGCCTGCAGTTGGTTCTCCCAACCCTCCTCTGGTCAGGTGCAGAAGGGAGCGGCAAGGGGAGATTACTGGTGCAAAGCTGGCCAAAAACCAATTCTGAAGAGTTAATTAAAAGGAGAGGGAGATCACGAGGCAAACAGGCAGGGCGAGGAAAGAGGGTGAGCGAAGGCAGAGCTGCAAGTGAGGAAGAAGCGACTTGCAGGGGGAGCAGAGAACAGAGTTGACAGGCGTAAGGAAAAGGAGGGGACCCAAAGCATAGGTGGGGCCCGGCCAGGAGAGCCCTGAAGGCAAGGAAAAGGTGTCATCGGAGGCAAGCGGTGGGTACAGAGGTCCCCGCAGAAGCCTGCCGAGCAGCTCTGAGGGAGGGTGCAAGCGTGCACAGAATTGAAGAAGAGGTGGCAAAGGTGCAGAAAGGTATCAGCGGGACCGATGCCGGCAGGGAGGGCAGCTATATTCTTTCTCCTTGGCACAGAGGAGGGGAAGAAGGGAGGGATGCGAGGGGACGAGCGAGCGAAGCAGAGGGTCGGGGCAACCCAGGCACACGAGCACAGGGATGGTGGGGCAGCCCCCGGCACTGACCTTGCCATGTAGCCCAAGACGTGGGCCCGGATGACTATAGCTGCTTTCCTCAACTCCTCTTCCCGATCCTTCTCCAGCTTCTGCTCAAGAGCCTCCTTCAGGAAAACCTGACGCCACGGGGAGGAGTTTCAATAAACACAAAGAGAGGAAAGAAGTCAGTCCCCGGGAGAGCCGGGAGGTTCCATCCCCGGCTGACCAGCGCGGAGCGCGCTCGGCGTCCGGGCGCCCGCGCCGGCCTCGGCGCCTCGCCCCGGGGGGGCCGTGGTGCTCGGAGCACCGGGAAAAAGTTTTGCAGCGACGGGAGCCAAACTCTGCGCCCAACCCCCGCCTCCCTCACTCCGTGGTCAAGACTTAAAAGAGAGGGAGGGAGGGAGGGAGCGGAGGAAGGAGGGAAAGAGGAGGGAGGAGGAGAGCCTGGGCTTGCGCCTGCGATTAACCCTTTCCCAGCCGACAGCTTTCCCCGCACACGCCAGTACCGCCCTGCAGCAGGCACCGATACCTGCTGGCGTGATTCAATACTTTGCAAAGAAACTCCTCCGCGTTTCAAGGAAAGAGAGGAGCGTTTACGTTTCTAGACTCCGGGAAGCAACCTTAACGGCAATCCTAAGAATGGAAGACAGTTGGAAAGCTAAAAGCCCTGTTGAGGTGCAAAGCTGAGCCTACCCGCAGTCCGCCGGAGCCGAAGCCCTCCGCCAAGCGCCAGAAACTCTGAGGTGGAGATGCTTCTGTGCTAAAGAGGTCCAGCAGCGCAGCATGCGCTAGGGGGAACTGAGCCCCGATGGGAGAGGTCTCCAAGTATTACTGGTTGCACTTCAGTGTCCAGCATTTTAATTCTCAAGCATCTCCCATCACCTATAGGTCAAACCTCTGTTCAGTGCTAAACGCTTGCGCGAGGGATGACGGTGCTATCTTAGGAGACAAAAAAGATACAAGCAAGATAAGGGCATGTTTACAGGAATTGAGCTGACATATCTGAGCTACTTTAAGTCAGCTGGCTTGCACTATGTTAGCACAGGGTTCGGCACAAACTGCTGAAATAAATGCTTTGCTTTTTGAGATGGACTGCAGCATGCATGGAGCTCCATGGCGTGGCTAGCGGTACCCACCCTAGAGTAAGTTGGCTAAGGTATGTCCATACAAGCTGCAGTCCCAGCAGCAACTGCCATATGGCCATGCTCGTGTGACCTGCTGCCTGACATTGGCTAAATCACTGCCAGGGCCAGCAGCAGAATGGACTACACTAGAAAAGTGCTGCCCTACTTGTTAAAGCACTGCCACGAACACAGGCTGTGAGCTGACACTCATCAATCTGCAGAACTACATTAATCAGTAAAAACTCCTTACAAATTTATTGGATCCATGCAGCTATGCTGAGAGTCCAGAGGGATGTTCAGAGATTTGAACAGTCATTTAGTCCAGTGTTCTGCACAAACTCTCCCTCTCCCCATTTACCTCCCCTTATGTCTCCGTATACCTTCCCTTCCATCACTGCTTTTGGCCTCATCATTTATTCAGGCTCTTTTTTCCCCCTGCAATGGCCACCATGTACTGAAAGTTCTCCTGGAGTTAGTACCCATAGCCAGTGGCTTCCCTGGACTCGAACTTCTCCTGGGGAGCCATTTCCATTAAGACGGTCTTAAATGAGCTGTTTTGGAATGACTAAGTAACCGTGGGTAGCCTTAAAAGAAGGTTCATTATCCAGGTACTGCCAACCATGAAGCTGGCATCCTTCCCTGCAAGTTGTACATCCACTCCGTCTGTCAACTCAACAATCTTTTAAAGACTTCTTTGAGGCAGGGATTGCTCTTTCCATTACATTCCAGAACCAAGCAGCAGTCACCCAATTTCAAGAATGCAACCAGCAAAACACTGTCTCAGTCCATTATCTTCATCAAATTGGAAATATTCAGTCCATCAGTATTTCCCTAGCAAGCACAGACTTTGCTGTGCCAGTAAGGAGGGGGAAAAACCCCTAACTTCAGGGCATGCAGAGTTCAACAAGACCCAACCCTAATCCTATAGGGTTTTCTACATATGCTTGAGAGTGAAAGGTTAATCTCAAATAACAATATCTAGTTATAAGATATTAGCATTTTGAGGGGGTTTTTAGACTCCTGTAGATGACAAGGAAGAGTAAAATGTATTCAAAACCACAAATATTTTTAATGCCTTGTGGAAATAACTTGGAAGATGGCTGTTTCTTTGTCATAATTCATAATCACTTTCTGAAAACATGACATCGCTTTCATCTGAGGAAGGAATGATTGAACAAAACATACGTGATAACTTCTATCATATCTGCTCATATTAGGCACTGGCCAAGTTTTAAACCACAGTGCAGCACCACAGTGTTTCTCACACAACTTCAATGCCTGCATGCACTATCAGTGCAACAGTGAACATGTTAAGGTTAGGTGTAGATCAGCAGACACAAATGTAACTGTGTGTGCACCCATGTGTACCTAAGTGGGATCATATGATTCTTGGGGACAACAGAAAAGCAGGAAGTGGGTCACTGTGACCTGGATGCCAAATAGTCTACAGAAACCTCCTCCTTCAAACAGGCCCTGCAAAACAGCAGGTTGAAATGTGGAAATGAATGCTTTCAAACAGCAAGGATTACCATGTTCAACAGCTGTAGGAAATCTGTGTTGTGGGTATGGGCAAGTATGGCAGAAGGTCCAGGCGCACTGAAGAAAGGGGCACAGAAGCTGCTGCTCCATCCCAGCACATCCCCAGTGAAGACAACGGCACATTAGCACAAGTTCTTCCATCGTCGCACTGCCTGTTTGCATCCAAGCCCTCATCTCTGCCATGCCACCAGATAAAACCTGCCTTGTATACATTAATACCTCTTATAAACATTAGTTTGACAATTGCCTGCACAGCAGCTGCTCTATTCTTAATGAAAAACACAAAGATCATCCTGCCCTTCCTCCTCTATTTCCTTTCCCAAGCTTCACAATCCACTGCACTAATTCACAGACTCTTTTCCTTCCTCCTCCAAACAATTGCTAGGGATATAATTATCCTTCCATTCATTTTGCAGGAAGTATTCCCCCTTCTATAAGCCTTGCTCTTCACCCACCCCTTATACTTCTTCCTAGGTTACATCCCCATTGGCCTGTCACACCTCTTTCAGTAGCTAATCCTGACTCCATAACCCAAGGTTAGTTCTGGGAATTGCTACCTGGGTACCCAGAGCTGCACTTGTAGCAGCAAAAGTGGCAGCAAGGGCACACAGGGGACTTCCTCTCCAGGACAATGACCTATACTCTGTGCCCTTTAGCTGGTAGCTTTACTTCACCCTTACCTGAAAGCCTCTGGAAAAATTAGGGCTCTTTTCTTCATCAACCCAAGTATTCCAGGCCTGTGTTACCTAGCATCAGCTAAAACGTGAACGCAGACAAAGGACTCTGTAATCCAAACCCAAGACACAACAGCTGCAGCACTGCTCTGCATGGCCTCACCTTGGCATCTGCTTTCCCAGGGGCAGGCTTTCTGGAGGCATTGTCACAAAGTGGAGTTGCAAGAGGGGTCTCCAAGGGAGCAATGAAATGGCTTTGCCACCATCTGAGTGTGGGAAAGAACGTCAAGCAACTCATCTGAAGAATGAAATGGCAGGGCAATGGCGACAGCACCTTGGAGCAGCCACGGGCTGGCCAGCCATTCAGGATGGCAGCAAGGGTGGAACAGGCCAGGACAGCCTTGGAGCGATATATCCTCTAGAATAAATAGAACTCCTGCCCTCTACCAGGATACACATCTCTAATCCAAACTTTGCCGAATATCAAATAACTTCTACAACCAAACAAGATGCTCAACTGCTTCCCAACTCCTTTCAGTTTTCCTTCTCAGTCATAAAGAAATAAGGAGATACAAAGACTGCCATTCTTAATCATTTCTTTCTTCCCACAATCTTCAGACCCGACAGCAACCAGTGCCCTAGCAGAGAGACTGCTGCTTACCAACATGCCGCATACAGCTCTTCAGCCAAGTTTTAGTTTATAGGACACAATTGTTCAAAAAAAATAAGAGTACATCCAGTGTTTTGGCAAAATATGACACATTTTTTTTGCCACAATTTACCACCTATATTGTTTTTCAAAAAGAATTTGTTTGAGCAGGTCAAGGAGTGAGTGAAACCAGACAGATGGACTCAGTCCTTCAGCATGCATAACAGGGACTGAAGAGAAAGGGATCCTATTGCTGCCAGGAGCTCAAAGCAGCCTGGATTTCCTGCTTGTCATCAGTCTGTTGTAGTCCCTGGACTCCAGCGATATAGCTTATAACCTTTTATACTCTAAAAGGTGAGTATGTGCATGTGAGTTTGGTCCTCACATGCATTTCCCTGCTGCCCTTGCTGTAGCCCAGCAATCTTCCATCTCTTGTCATGCTAGGAAAAAAGTTCAAACTCCATGTTTACCAGCTCTAACCACCACTTGCTAAAGCTTCCCAGGCACAAGCAGCTCTGCAACACGTACACACTCCATACAGGCTTTAATACTAAAATGCCGTGAGACTGGCAGCCACCCAAGTAGTGTGGGTTATCTAGGGACAATAATGACTGAAATGGTTCCTGGTTTGTGGGGACCAGTAAGGAGACACCAGATTCCCAAATCAAAGATGGGGAACACTTTAATCACAGAGTATAAATATGTGCTGAGTGTGCTAAAGTGATAAAAACTTCTTTCCTGAACATCAGCGGAGGCATGTGAAGGAAGGCCTTAGAAACTTCAGGTTAATACATCTCCTTTCCACAGCAATGGCCAGTGGTTTCCTTGGTTCTCATGCAGAGTTCAGAGCCCAGACTACCAAGTGGGCTACCACCACTCCTCTAAGAAGGGGAGTGAGGGATCTTGCTCTCCTAAGAAACATTACAGTCTATCCACTCATTAAGAAATGATTGCTCGAAGCAACAAATATCATTATTTGATCTCCTGGACAAATGAAATGTGAGTATTCCCTAGAATCACTTTTGGTTCCATTGTGACCCTGGAAATAGTCTGAACTACTTTTTTGAAGGCTTAAGGGCAAAAAATGCAAGAAAAGTTGCTTTGATGGACTACCATCTGCTCTGGATATGGACTGCATACCCACTACTTAGAAACGCTGTCTGCACTGGACACCATCCATCCTGGAATATTCTTTGAAGAATTCACTGGAGTATGTGGAAAGCCGTAATAAGAGACAGTTTCCTCCTCCCAGATTTCTATAGCAATTTACCTCACAACACTCACATCTATGTCTGTGTGAAGCTGTCTCAAAGTTTGAAAAAATTCAGACTGAAACACCCAGCTCCCTCCCCATTAAATGAAAGATAATGGTACATTTCCAGCTGGATGTCTGGAGGAAAAAAAACCAAAACATAACAAAAAGCCCAAAATCCTGACTATACCAGGCAAGAGAGAAATGTTAAACATTCACCAAAACAGAAGCAAATTCTGAATTATGCAAGTGGGGAGAAGCATCTGAATACCTTTTCCTAAAAAATGTATGCTAGCATCTGGGCTAACTGCACAAACCATCAGCTGAGCTTCCACAGCAGAAAGCTGTCACACATCTGGTGATCTAGCTAGCTATTCACAGTTTAGATACATACCAAGCAGCAGCTCACTGTCTCCTTCAGGAATTTTGGTTACCCAAGCAGAGTGAAGTATTTGGCCCAAGAGGCAAGAGTTAATGGCACACATTGCAATTGCATACAATGACACCCATGCTTGTTCTCCTTGGATCCTTAAATTGGATCAGACACAACAAAATCAATCTGGCTTGGTCAATGAGAAGGAGTTCAGACAAAATCAAAAAGCCTTCTGCATCTGTAGGTACATAATATGGGAAATATTTGAGATCCTACAGGTCAGTGGCATAGTCCAATGCATTTAAAGGGCCATCACAACTTTGCCCTTTCTACTGGCTTGAATCTCACCAGATGCAATTGCATCACCTTGCAGCTGGAACAAAGCCATACCCCTGCCCCAGACTGATGAAGTACCTTGGTTTTACCCAACTGCCATTCCTTCTTGCTGCTGTCGTAGGTCTGAAGAAAGCCTGCACATACAGCTTTGCTGTTGTCTGAGAAACTTGGCCCCTTCACAAGCATCTTGTACCTAAGAACAAAACAAAATCTCATGAGATTATGTATGACAGTAACCCGCCCCAATCTTTTAACTCTAATTATCCTCCTCCCATTAGTCCTTCTTCCTCTGGGACCTCCCTTCTTCGTGTTTGCCTTCCAATTTGGAAATTTCCATCCCCCAACCTTTATCTGTTCCTACCACACTGGCAATTATTGTTGCAATCCCAGTAATAAAATACAAACTCAACAGTATTTTTCAGTAAAGAACAACTGTCTTTCTGAAACATGTGCTTTCATCAGACACAAGTTATTTTGTTCAGTATAGGGGTGGCATTTAATGCTCCAAGAGACAAAAGAAGCAATGTTCAATGCTCCATTCTAGCCTTAAACGTCAAGAAATCCTTTTGATGCAGCTAATTAAAAAAATAATCAGTCTCAGTCTTTCCAATATTAATCATCCACTATACTGTCCATTAAAATTTGCTTCAGCCTGCCAGATTAAAGGTTTTAAGTATGATATTTTCTTCTTACATATTATGACCAGATGGGTTTCACAGCATCACACAAGCAAATCTATGGCAAAGCTACAGAAAAAAAAAATTAAAAATGGACCATCTGGCTATTTTTCCATTCTGACTTTTACACTAAAGGCAAGTCTCCAAAAGGTCTTCCAAATCAGTCTATGATATGGGCAATTAGGGCACGGTTAGAAAAACATCCCACAAATGATCCATATCAGTAACAGCAGTTATAGAGGAAACAAATATATAGAATTGTATACCTTGGGGCTGTTACAGCATGTGGTACAATGATAGCAATTACCTGCTGAGAAAGTCCTGGAAAAGGCGCCGTATAGGGAAACCTGCTCTCCGAACCTTCACTGTCTCCAGCATCCCTGAATAGCGGAGCTGATTTAGCACCACATCTGGATTGAAGAGGTGCGGCGCCTAAATAATGATCCAGATTAAAAAACAAATAAGAAGAGAGACAGAATAAGTGCTGATCTTGATATTACTTCCTTGCTGACTTGAACAGTGACTGTTCCTCTGAGCACAGACAGTCACAGGTTGTATATCCGCCTCTCTGTAGAAAGTCAACCCTGCATATTTGGGCATGCCAGGTGAAAAGGGGGAAGTTTGGGTCAAGGGGAAAGCAGTGTCACAACACTGCATAGTGCAGAGAAAGGGATGAAAGGGAGTTGGGCAGATCCTGAAAAAAAGCAGTCTGCAGACTGCTGTCATAGTCAGATCATGGCAGTAAAGCAATGATATAATGCATTAACACATACAAAATGCAGAATGTTGACTCGGTTCCCTTTGCAGTCTCTCTCCAGTCAAACTGGAGACAAACTGCAGAATTCTTTTCTGGCATAAAACCCCCAGCAGGCTTTCCTTTGCCATATCATACACAATTTCAAAACACACAAAGAAAACGATCAGTTCAGAGCTCCCCACCCAATCTAGTTAGCAGCATATCCTCCCGTCACAGTTCACAATACAAGCGAGAGCCAGCCTGCCTCTAAGCACTGTGACTTGCTCATAAAGCGTCCACCTCCTCTGTCTCAGAGCCAGGGATCTGCAGGAGACGCTTCCTACCACACAAGCCCTGCATTCCAGAACAAATTGTCTACAGGCACCACAAACAGGAATGATTGCTTCTTCTACCACAGCTCTGGGCTCTGCACAAGCCTGGTTCATCTTCCAGGCTTCATAAGCACCGAAAGAGCTGGGAATGGCTATATCATATCATACTCAGCATGCAGTCTTTTCATCTGATTACCAGAAGGAAGGTGTATTTTTCCTCAACTATAAAAAAAACTAGAAAGAAAAAAGGAAGGTGAGGGGGGAACTGCTCTTATCCTCAGTTTGGACCATGATAGAGGCGCCTCTCAGGTGTCTGTGCAAGTGAGTGCTCATGAAGATCTGTCACATGCATACATTCTGCTGGAAGACAGACTTGCCTTTTCTGTATTTGGTTTGATGCAGCGGATGAAGAACGGGTTGGAAGTACTAAGCGTGGCCATCAGGGAATGGAGAGAATCCTAAAAAGCAGGAAGACAAAACCCAAAGGATCAGTCACTACAGGAGGGAAAGAGACTACATTTGATGCAATAGGGTCTTCATGCAGCCCTCCCATTCCTAATGTCTGTTGACTCTGCCTACCAAAACTTCAATAACCCAGGAGATCCTTCCTGTCCAAAACATACCCACACAGTTAGTTTACTCTAACACTGTTTACGTGACCATCCTTGTTCTCAGAGCTGTATAATTGATGTTATTTTTACAAGTGTCTCAAACTTTAAACACAGGAAACTAGAACTGTGAAACTTACAGAAGGTTTGCAGACAATCTAAGGGGGTGAGATTCATACCTGCAAGGTCCCCCCAATAAGGTTTTATTAGAATTGCCACTATACCTGTAAAAGATGTGGCCTAAAAGGACACGTACACTTAGCTAAAACACCAAACCAACACGAAAGATCAAAGAACCTCAAGAACCTCATATACTTAGCAAAGTATTCTTTTCCTCTGCTACCCTGCTCAGGCTTAGCATCTCACATTTTACACCAGACAGAAATCCTTGGGGCAGTGACACTTTTTTTAGCGCTACAAAATTCCTGCACATTTTCAGTGCTGGACACAAAACAAGGATGAATGACTCCTCTTGGCTGCAGGCCTTGCTTTACCCATCTGCTCCTCCCTAGAAGCCTGCTGCTCTCTTGGAAAACATCCTACCCTGAACTGGGAACTGACAGTTGGTCTGCGCCTCTGGGTGCCCATCTTCAGCGTCTCTTCACTGCAGCGGCTGCAGACTCTTTCAAAAAGGTCATAGATGAAGTCCAGCCTAAGGGAGAAGAAAAGAATTAAAGAAGATGCAAGACACCCACCACCTGTGAGACGATGGCTCTCATTCTCAGCTACTGCCCTGTCCCAGTGTGAAACACCTCATTTTTATTCCTGCTGTGCCACAGAGTGGCTGCAGGAGGCAGTTCAGCTGGGCACTTCAGTGAGGAAATTAACACTTTCCATGTGGCTGCCCAGACTCTGTGGGCTGCCCTGTATGCCACACTCGGCTGCAAAGCCAGAAACCCCATCTCACGCTGTCAAGCAGGATATTACACAAAGGAAGATCTCCATTCTGCACTGGCTAGGACACCTCTCTTGAGCTATATGCCCCCAGGCGAAACTACCTTGAAGGTACTCCAGCTAGACTGTGCTGTCACACCCCTCCCCACCTAGCTCCCATGACATGCTCATGTAATTGCAACCACAGCTCTTCTGTGCCCAGAGGACTTCTAGAGCTACCCTCAGTGTGGGTCAGCTCTGGGGAATCTTCCACCATTTTGCCACTCCTTACACGGCGGTGCTGGTTCTTACAAAGCTGCACAAAGTTCTCCAGCGCTGCTTCTGCCGGTTTATTGTTATGACTGCTTCTAGCAGAATTTCCCTTTCTGGCTTGTTGAAAAACCCTGAATCTTTCTATTATGCTGGACAATGATGACCACAATCCTGGCCTCAAACCCTGTGGAAAATACTCCCCAGGTGCCACTGTCCAAGTAAGGCAGCTACAAGCAGCTCATACTCTCAGCTCCCTCAGGTTGTTTCAAGGCTGCTCACAGCGCAAACTCCGCAGCAGGCTTCAGAGAAGGTGCAATTCTGAAAGTCTCATCAGGCTGGAGCCCAAAGGCAATACGTGGACTGTGGTAAGAGGCATGTGGTAGAGTGGCTACTCAAAAACTGCGAGGGTCTGCTGTTATTAAATGCCACTCTCCTCCTACTAGGCCCCACCTCTGTCTTCCACACCTTGCTCAAAGTCAAAGTCAGCTCATTTCTCTAGGGTCATGTTGCAGCAAGGGCCTAGTCTGGCTCAGGATAAGGATGGAAGCTGTCCGCTAACAAGCCGGCTGAAAAATAAGAGGCCTCTGTACAAAGGCTGGCATTTGACAGCATGGCAAAGAGCCTTGACTCATTCAGGGGCAAATTTGCCATTGTTGGGACAGGGAGGTAAGAGGAAGAAGAGGAAAAGAAGAAGAGGGGAGGGAGAAAACCAGCATTGCCTGGAGGGATTTCTGTCATGCTTTTATAGCTCTTTTCAAAACTGGGACAACAAGAGGACTGATTAAATGTGTGTGTCATCTGACATCTCCAGCTCTCCTTTCTTTTGCCAGGACACTTAAGCACAAAAAGAAGAATGATAAAGAATGATGCCTGATGCTCGCACAGAAGCAACTGCTTTCCTTGGCCTGGTTATTACATGAATGTGGCTTAGTCCGGCCCAACAGATGTGGCCTCCTCACAAGCATAAGGGGGGCATACCTGCTGTCTTTCAGCATGTTTAAAATGTCATCTCGAAAGGTGTCTCTGTTCTTCTCCAGAAAGCCTCTCACATCATATAGCACCTGCAACGCAGACAGAGCCACTAGAACGGTGCTGTACAAATCATTAATCACTTCTACATTAACATGCCAATGTACAAGACATCCAGCAGAGCTACACAGTAACGCTGCAGGCATGTGCCAAGATCTCCATTTTTGGGGTCAAAGAGCTCCAGAGCTCTGCAGTTACCAGCAAGAAAGTGGCTTTTAGCCATCAATTAAAAAAAAAAAAAACAGAAACAAAACCACAAAAACCCCTCAAAAACAGGAGCTAAGTGAAACAGCTGCAGAGATTTGCCTGGGGTGCGGGGGGGGAAATCCTCTGCAAGGTCAGGTACTCCATTCACTTCAGGAAATACTAACTATGCTACGCAGTGCCCTGATCTCCCAACCACTAGTGCTCAGCAGATATGATTCTAGAAGGAGGTTAGCCCTTCTTTAGTATGCAAATGCCCTCCGTTGACACACCTCCATCTGCTCCATATCTCTCCACAACAAAGAGCAGCATTTAACCTTGAAGGCTTGGAGACCTTTTCCTTTCTGCAACAGCTATTTTGCCTTTTCTCCTCCTCCCCAAAAGTCAAATTTTCCTTCTGACTTTTACTTTGGGTTTGTTTGTTTGTGAATGTCCAAGAAAAGACAACTTATATAACAGAAATAAGGAGGAGTTTATCCCCCAAACCAAAAGTTACCTGAGAAACTCAAACAAATGTCCAAGCTGGAGAATATAGTAATGGAGAATGACATGGTATGTTAAGCCCATCACACTCCCTGTGCTCTGGTACGGGGCACTAACTATGCAGAAACACACAGCTCTGAGAGATATTCTTGATTTTTGGAATCTAAAATCCAGGACCTCAAGCCCAAGATATACCAAGCAACTCACAGATACACCATGAACACCTACCTCCCCAGCATAATGTCTTATGCCAAACTGATGGTCTGTCACCCGAGGCTTCACATAGTAGTGGTTGCTCTAAAATGAAAGAAAAAGAAGACTTCTTATAATGCCAGTGTATGAACAAATAGGGCTTAGTCAGGAACTCTGCCATGACTATGACAATGCTGGGATGGGCAACGACCTTAGCTGTTGCAGAGCCCGACCACATCTGCTGCAGCTATCTGCAGTTACATTACAAATATGTTATTCCAGTAAAGATGGAAAAATCCAGCCCTTCAAGGCATTCCTCATGTCAGCAAGGGCTTGCAGAATCAAGGTTGGGCAGGCATGCCATGGATGAAATGTTAATTCTTGCGTGTCTGACACCTGAGGAGACTGGGCTCCACACAAACCACGTGGTGCAGGACACAGGATCAGGATGCAGGGAAGATGGCAGCTTTGCAGAACACCCACGCATCTTTTCTTTGTCAAAGAAAATGTCATACCAATCTCCTGTCTTCCTTTATATTTCATCCTTTTTTGCACCTCTCTTCCCCTTTTTTCAATATGCATTTTTCTTTTCTCTTACTAGCTGTTCTACACTCTCATTTTCCTCCTCCTTTCTTTGTTCTGTGGAAACCATTAACTATGTAAGAGCAGCCATGCTGCTTGAGACCAATGGTCCATCCAGCTGAGTATTCTGCCTCCAGCAGTGGCTATGTAGGGCAGAATAAGAACAAGATAAGTAAATGATACTTTCATCCTAATAATCTCTCAAACTCCAATTACTTTCATGAGGTCAGCCTAATTAGTAACCCCAAGTGGATTTCTCTTTGAAATACTTGCCCATTCCACACCTGAACCCATGCAGACTTCTTGCATCCAGACTGTCCTTTCGCAGGGAGCTCTCAACCAACCGCACAGGGAACTACAGCTGGTTGGTTTTCAGCCTGGCTCCCATTACTGCCATTTGTCTTCTATGGGCCATACGTGACTTTTAAACCCATCGCATCCCCCCCAAGTCATCTTTTCTCCAGGCTGCAGGGTCCCTTCAACATAGTTTTCCATAACACGGAAGCTGTCCCAGACCTGTTGTTTACCAGATCTGATAAAACCCCTTCTTGAGTGGAGGGGCCCAGTGGCGTCCACTGCTCAAAGTGCAGGTGATCCATGCATTATACAGTGCCATAACAATGTTTTCTGCTTTTATTCTGTTTCTTTCCTAGGAATTTCTAATACTCGATCTGGATTTTTTATTACTACTGAGCACTGTGCTGATGTTTCCATGGCACTATCCATCACAGCCTCTGTCTGGGTCTTGCTCCTGAAGAGCAGCAACCAGCTCAGGGCCCATCATTTCAGATGTGAAATCGGGACTGTTTTCTTCAGACACACCATTTTACATTTATCTACACTGCTTTTCATCTTCGTTTTACAGCCCAATCAGTCTCATAAGGCCCCTCTCAGTCCAGCCTTGCCCCGTGAATTGTCAGAAAACTGCCACCTCAGTGCTCATATGAGAGTCTTACAGGCCTCCCTCCACTGAAGTAACAGGCCATTTACATTCTGTGAATTTACCCCAATAGTGAAATAAGGATTACAGGCCTATAATTTCCTGGAATACTTTCTAAAAATTAAAATAATTTCCTGCCTTCTCAGAGACAAGTACTAAGAAAATTTTAAGTAAGAAAGATGTTGCACAATACTGTTAGTAATTCAGCTCTTTCACCTTCAAGTTCTCTTAGCGGTATTGGGTGGATGGCTTCTGATCCTGATAATTTGTTAGTGCTATTGAGAACTTTTTCATTGCCTTCTTTCCTTTTCATATTGATCCCATTTCCTTGCTCCTCCCTTTCCCCAATCCAGTCGTCTTTTTCCAGCCACAGACTTCCCTCTCTTCCACTCCAAACATGACTGTTACTGACTCTCTCATGTGCATTGGGACCCTCCTCTTCCCTCCCTCTCTACCAAGCCCTTATATTTCATCCATGCCTACAACACTTCTGGTTCCTTCTCCCATCTCCCGTATTGCTCCTCTCCCCAGTTGTATCTGAGGTCATATTCTCTCAAATCCCAGCTCTGTGCTTTTCCTCCTTAAGCCTATTGCAATCCACAGAAAACACAGAGAAGAGGGCTTGTTCTCTTATCATGTCCTTCAGGCTTTCTAGCAACACTGGCTGGATGCCTTCCAGTACTCTTCCAGCCAGCACTAAAGACTTTAACTGGTACAAAAACCTCTTTCACCTTCAAAAAATGCAAACCCTAGAGCACTATATACTTCATCATTCCTCCCTCCACTGCAAGTCCTCAGCCTCTTCCATCTTTTGTAAGCTCCCTAGGGTTCCACGTTAACTGCTATCCCCTCAAAGCAGACAGGTGACACTATGAACAGCTTAATGAAAAGGCTACTCGATGCACAGAAATCACCAAATATAGCAACCAAAATGTTGTGGGGCACAAGGGAATGCAAAATAATGCTGACAGTCTCATGCTGCTGTACAATAAACCACAGGTACCTTCTTACCAAGGGAACTGCATTCTGGTCTGATTATTTATCTCAGAAGAGAATAGAGAAAAGATGTAGAGGAATTCAGAGATAAACAGCAGAAAGAAAGAGGAGATTTGAAATTTTTCCATTTGGAGACAAACTGAAGACGTTGGGACAGTTCAGAAAGAAAATTCAAAAGAAGCTATGTATTAAAAATATTTGTAAGTTCTATATTAAAAGTTAAGAAAATACCAACAACAATAAAAAATAAAAAAGGTAAATCGAGCATTCTCATATACCTTGACCTGTAATACAAGGGAAAGCCACAGCGGACTAAAATGAATGCATCAATTTAAGCCTAAAGAAAGGAAATATTTCCACAAAACTATGCGTAAGTAGCCAACCAGACGTCATTGCTATTGTATCCAATTTGTAGTCATGAGTATTACTAGCAGAGTTAGATGCAGATACTCTAATTTTTCATACTTGCATCTATGCTAATTAAAAAAAAAAGTCAGATAAAGTATACAAATCTGTATGTTTTCAGGCTTGCATGAAGCCTGAATTAGAGGACTAGGAAACAGATTAGCTGACAATGTTCTTACTAAAGTAGTAAACTATTCCATAAATCCCTGCTACAGGTTTTAATTTGCTTTGTTTTCAGTCTGTTTACTGTTAAGATGACCAGTGTTGGCTGTACCAGAGACAGGGTAAGAGATTGTTACAGTGATCTCACTGTGGTTTCTGTGTCCCCAGGATAACTTTCTGACGTGCATGAAAAAGCCCTTCTACTCTTGTGTCCAGCATACAAGAAAGAGGAGGAAAGAATTTAATTAATTAGGAACAATAAGAGAGCTTTCATTAAAAGTCAGGAGGCAAAAGCCATCCTCAGCCCCAGGAGACAGATTTGACGTGCTCTGGAGCAGATTCCTGTAAGTCAGCTGGCAGGAGAAACCCATGCACACTGTGCAGCCGCATCCTGTGCCTGGGGTGCTGCCTCGTGTCCTGTCACAGACCAACAGAACCTGACCTCCACCCCATGCAACAAATTCAAATCTCCTCTACCCACAGCCTGTGGAATGCACACTCCCTCTCTCTATGTGCACAAGAGACCATTTTCAGGTTTCTTCACATATTACTTTTGTTCAGTACAGCTTTATTAAACACTTACAGGTTCGGGCCTAAGGCCTTTTAAATTTCCTGCATAAAGCACATATTTTACATCAACAAAACCTTCACTTTCAGTTTTGAAATGCTGATGGGGCTAACATACTGATCATTTGCCTGCCAGGTTATTTTCTTACTTACCATATGCTGGCTGTGAAGTTTTTCCAGAAGGGTGTTGTCTGTGCCTTTGGGGAATCGACTCTCTTCATTCACCAAAGCCAGTAGACCCAGTTTCTACAGCCAAACAAGAGATGGACTTTTACAGTCAGCAAAAGCTCTAACTAAATAGCACCAAGCCAAGAACTGGAGATCTGGACAGCACATTGAGAAATTACCCCTGATTTATACCCAGCAAACCTTGAGCTGAAAGCAGAATTCTGGCCAGTCAATGCATTCAGCAAGCAGAATGTAAGGGAAGATAATTTATAAAAAATTCACATTAAGGTTTTACTTAAACTCTGCTCCCTGTCTAAAACTATGACACCCTCCCTAAGCCCACCCTCAACAATGAGCAGAGATCTGCTTTCTTTGAGCCGGGACTGTGGCTAGAACAGCTCATACTTTTGCCAGGTCACAATGGGAAGAGGACCTCAACAACTACCTGTTTTTAAAACCAGGAAACCCCAGGGAAGGTCAAGACAATCAGCAGTCCCTGCTGTGATCCCTGGAAACTGTCATAGATAACTGCTCACCTTCTCGATAAGGTCCAGGCACTCTGCATTATCCATCCAGTCAATGGCTTCCCAGCTTATCCCTTCCCTGACAGTCAAGAACAAACAGAAGAAAGATGTGAAATGCAAGATCCAATGCCCTGAGATGCAGGAGAACAGAAGTAGCTAAGCACAGCAGCTGTCCCAGGACTCAAGACGATTTGCAGGAATTAGGCTTTGCCATGGCTGAGGAAAAAGAATAGGGGACACAATGCACTGCTAACACAAGGAGATGGAAGTCAGAGACAGCCTTTCTTATCCATCCCAGTGATTTGGACCGATGCTCATCTCGTAGTCATTGAGCAAATTCCACACCAAGCATTAAAATTGTAGTTGCTCTCAGTTGCTCTTTCAGGAATGATGACTATCAGCCCAAGTGGTGGTGACGATGGACAGTTTGCTACACAGCTTCAAGAGTTAACTGCTGACTCACCAATCTGGAAAGCTGGCCTGAAGCACATCTGCCAGAAGACTGAACCACAAATTCATAGGTCCACCAGAAGAAGAGACAGGAGCAACTTTTCAGGGAGAGTTTTGAAGAGGATGACACATAAGCTTTGGCCTGGCATGCAGGGGACCTACAGGGTGGCCCTGCATCTTTCAGAATGGGAGCTGATGTAGGTACAGCAGTGCAATAAGCATGCTTTGAAAATTATCCATGAAATACTGTAAATCTGTGCTGAATGTGTTTTCCCCCTTCTTACCACCTTCTTACACTCCCATAATACTGGCCATTTCTGTTTTCAGAATTCAGAGAAGCCTGGGAATAACTCTTGCTCAGGAATCCAAGGAAGACTACAGGCTATGTGTGAAGCTACTTACTGACGTTCTGATACAGACACCTTTCAGGTGAAGGCTAGCATTTTGAAGATAGTGAACCTGTTGTCTACAAACCTGTCAGTCTAGCCTTCACACTTTCAGGTTCAAAGCATTCAGAAACCTGTGGGCAACAGTTGGAAGCAACAAACTGGAATAACTTCTGAAGAATGGAAAGAAGTATCTATCCCCCCCAGGGAACGGAATATCTTATCGACTTAATGACAAAAAATATCAGTTCACATTGTTTCAGATTTTTGCAACAATGGGTGTCAGAAAGGCCATATATTTTTACAAAAAGACCTCTTGGATTCCTTCTAAGAGCAAGAAGACCTTCCAGAATTGAAGGGAGCAGGGTTTTCTGAAACAAATCAAATCACAAGTTAATCAAATTGTCTCTAGTGCCACAGACCCCTTGTGTAGTTGAATGAAGAAATACATGGAGCTACTTACTAAACCGGAGGAAGCAGAGCTGATACTGTGAAAGATAAGCTTTAAGCACATCACCCTAGAATAACTTGATGAGTAGTCAATAATAAAATGCTCTTGTTCTTTCCAAAGTTCAACCACAGAACCTAAACTCCTGTGCAATCATCAGGAAAAAATCCTTTGTCACTATGATACCATTCTTAACACAAGCTTCCTGCAATGGTGGAATTGGCCTGAGAAGTGAGTACATAAATAGCCCTGCAGTTTTGTAATCTTTAGAATTTCATGAATTGCCTATTCAGCTGTCTCCCTTTACAAGGCTGCTCTCATTTGCCCTCACTGACCCTATTCAATTGCTTCATTCACAAACATAAAGGCTTCTGTTTCAGAGCAAGAACTGAAGTATTTGTCTAGCAGCCTTCTCTAGAAGCAGAAATACTCTAGAACACCCCAGGTACTTCATGAAATACAATCCAATATGAAGCCCACAGAAGAGAAACGGCTGTGCAGAAGGCCCCATGCTCTTTATGCTCAGGAAACAGCCTGATTTAAATCTTGCTGAGGAAAAGAGCCCTTTTCACAGCATAGGAATCTCTATGACAGAAAGAGCTGTCAGATATCTAATCAACTATCTTTAGGGGCTTTACTTTTTGCACACCAAGATTCCACCTGCATAACACCACCACTACGTTGGGTAAATCATTACTGAAGTCAGTAATAAGGCAGTGACTGTGTGTTCTAATGGGTTAAAGCCCAAGATCTTCCCATTCAGCTGAGAGATAGAAGGGAATCTGGACTTTCTAAATACTACAAGGGAGAAAGCTTTTGCTTGGAGACAAGTGACCTATACTGGCAAAGCACGTGGACAGTGCTTACAGAGACACATCCACAGTCAGGGTTGCACTAAGGCCCAGCTGCCTCTCCTGCCTTAGCAGTAGGGACTGAACAGCACAAAGGAGGAATGATGTCCTCCATTCTACCACCCATGAAAGCAATAGGGGCCTCGCTTCCTCCGTCTGTCACCTGTTGTACTCCAGCTGCTCCAAGGAGAAGATGTGTTTGTTGAAATATTCCTGGAGTTTCTCATTTGCATAGTTAATGTTAAACTGCTCAAAACGATTCACCTGTAAGAAGAAACAAAGGTTATAGAACTTAACATTCTTGTCCCTGGGCTCTAAAAGAATCTGTAATAGCAATGGGGAAGGTGCCAGGCCTGGAATAAAGCTAGAGGACATGGAGGCAAGGGGTGTCAGATGGACATGAGGAGGACAGTATGGGGAGGTCCACTAGGAGAACAGCTTTTGTAGCTCTTGCAGGGTTAATTCATTAGGCCTAAATGGTAGTAAAGGATGCTAAAGACAACCACATTTCTTCTTCTTAGGAAGAAAGAAATATAATTCCCTAAGTGTAAGGTCACCGGGCTTTCTCTTCTCTGAAATATCTGAGCAGTCACTATATGGCTGTTCAACATACATCCTTCATCAGTGGCAGTCAGAAGCATTACACACAGGATTCTCAACACAAGGCAAAACAGATGTAAACAAACAACGTGCATGTAGGAGTTGGACATTTAATTTGTATACAAGTCAAAAATTCAATATTATGTATCACAGCACATCTGCTTAGGGTCTGTGTCACAAACCAGACCTTGAACATCAGCCTACATGAATACAGGTGGCAGAAATGGGTAGCTAAATATATCTTGCTGCTTCCAGGGGGAAGTGGCAGTGTAGAAATCCCAGGATGCCTATGCTAACTTAAACAGGATACAAATGAACCAAAATTCCTTCCTATATGCACTGATATCTCCAAAACCAACCCACCCTGCAAAAGAGAAAATCCTGACCTGAAAGTTCTCGAAGCCAAAGATATCCAGGATGCCCACAGACTTAAAGTTTTCTTTGCCTTTGATCTTCGTATTAATCTTGCTAATGAGCCATGAAAAACACTGGGAATAGAGCGCCATAGAGAGGGAGTCCCTGGAGTCAGCTGCCTGTAAATACAGAGAGAAAAAATGAGTCACAGGGAGAAGAGAAGGCATAAGAGGCACCACGAATCTCTATGGGACTTTAGGTTCCTCCACTCCTCTTCAGACATCTCAGCCTCTGTACTGGTTGTGTATGGTGCAGTAATTATATGTACAGTCAACATTCAAATTTGCAAATATCCCAGCCACACACAGATGTACCATGTATGACCTTTGGGTAAATGAACTTGAGAGGCTGAAGGAAGTAGCAAAATCACTGACATCTTTTGGAGCAAGTGCTGGGGCAGGGAAGGTGGCAAAATACCTCATGACTAAGCCTGCAGCAGTCATTTGCATCACCTGAGCCAACATTTGCAGTGACAGGCAAGGTATTTCAGTTCACTACTCCTATTAGAGCTGTCAAATGGGTGTCCGCTCAATTTTTCAAAAACTGGTAGGGCACGATTTAATAGAGTATTCTGCCACCTAGTTACCCTCAAAAATTCCCTCTCCAAAACTTTCCTGCAAACAGCATTATCTTACTGGAAGCCAGGTAGGCAGGCCAACAGCCACGACACATGCCCCAGAAGAGCATGGGTTGAGAGACCTTTCTGGAGCTGACCCAACATCCCATGCAGTGATCATAACTGTCATAGGTGGAAAAAATAACTTAAATTGTGATTACTAACAGGCAGTAGATAATTGGGCGTATGTAAGTGTGTGGATGAATGTCCAAAATCAAACTTTTGAAATCTCGAGCAAAAGCCTGCTACCTGATAGCTGTAACAGGAATGAGCTGGCTGTAAATTTTGATAACACTTGGACTAAACAAAAGTGGCATGCCCCAAATCCTCCAATTAATAAAGACACATAAGACAGAACCACAAATTAAGAAGCTGATCGCATGCTGTCCTTCTGCACGTACACTATTTAGACAGGGAAACTAGGGCTTAGGGTTCTGGAAAGAAGAGAAGGCCAAGAATAAGGGCTCCCAAAAAGAAGACATGATCCCAGAGGGGAGAAAAAGGGGCCAGGAAAGAAGACAGCAAAGATCTTGACTGGAAGAAAGATGGAAGTGGGGAAAGATCCTGGAGACCAGAGACATGTGGAGACATGTCAGGGTATGCCCAAGGACCTTGGCTGGTAGTTCCTGAGACTGGTAACTGCAAGGAGCTACACAACATGAACCAACACAACTTTCTGCCCAACTCTCCTGGACAAGCAGCAATCTCCTGACTGGGAAAAGAAATTGACATCTAATGAACATAATGCTGATGGGTGAGTGAGAATATGTGAAATAATCAAGTAGGGTAAAAGCTATAATCTTGTCATTTCATAAATAAACCTCAGTATCTAGATCAACTACAGGTTGTTTACTCTGTTTCACCTGTGACACCAGGGTAACTCCTTCAGTAGGGCTAGCAATGACAGAGATCTTCTAAATGCACCTTCACCCTCTTCAGTTTTGCAAGCCTGAATAACGTGACCTCTCCTGTTCTGCTTTGCTAATGGCACAGGCCAACTGCCTCTGAATCCTCCCAGCCCCTCTCAGCAAGCTCCTGAGGCTCAGCCTGCAAGATCCTCCTTTTCACCCAGTCTCACTGTTTTTGTCCTCCCTTCTGTTCCTGGGTAGTATCTCCTCTCCAGCATCCCAAGGCCGAGGACACACAACAATCTCCATTCTCTACAGAAGAGAACATTTCAAAGCATGGGCACGTACGCCTTTTCTGGGTATTTCTTCTGACCATCAGATGGTCTGTCTTATTAGTTGGGACTGAGAATGCCCTCAAGGCCATATCCCTGTAGTGTCTCTGGCCACACAGTAAGTTGGACTCATTTTCCAGGAACAGGAATTCCCCATCCAGCTGTAAGCAAAGCCACTTTCCCCACAATATGGCTCAAATGAGATCCTCAAAGGCTCCTTTCACACTCCCAGCTTTGCCCGCCTTCAGGCCAGTTCATCCATTCAGCCCACTGAAATGTCAAAGCTCAGATGGGTAATGAGCCCATTACACAATGAGAAATCCCTGGCAGCTCTATCAATGCATTCCCGCAACAACAAGCAGGAATAGGCGGGCACAGTACATGAGGGTGTAAGCAGGAACGGTCTTTACAGGCCCAGTGTTCAGTGCGACAGGCTCACCTCGTGAAGACAGCTAAGTAGTAGCATCCACTTGCTATAATGTTTTCTTTCAGCCTTCATATTTCACTGGCCTGCAGGCAAAAGTGTGGGGTCCAACACCCACAAATGTCAGGAATAGCTACGCTACCAGGGAAAGCTCTGTTTAGGGAGACTCTTGTAAATCCTGCAACTGCGCACTGTTGCTCTGGACTGCATGGAGTGTCTCTGGCATTATTTGTTATCCATCCTTGTGCGCTGATATAGAAAGATGTGGCTTACTTAGGACAGACAGCTGAGAAGAGAAACTGTGGTACTGGTTACTGAGGATATCTACCACAGACTATAGGCTGAAAAATAATTTTCACAAAATTTCATTGCAAAGAAATGTCACAGACTATGAAAAAAGATACCATTTCTTAAAGGCAAAGGTTAGTTTGTGATATATTAGCAGGCGTGTTTGCAGCAAGAAAAGAAGCGACTACTCTGCTGTAATGAGCACTGCTGAGACTTCAGCTTGAATACGGTGTCCAGTTATAGGCACTCCACTTCTTGAAAGATGTGGGAAAACAGAGACAGAAGAAGAGATTTAGAAAATTACTTACAAGGAAACATTGAAGGAACTGAATTGTTTAGCTTAGAAAAGAGAACACCACGTGAAAAACTTCACAGAACCGGAAGCTTGTAAGGTGGACAGCTGGGATGCCAAAGGTAATTAAATATGAGGAAAATCTTTTCAGCTCCATACTCCACTGCAGCTAGGGCAGGATACCTAAAGAGATTCTGAAATTCCTTCCATGGCAAATCTGAAGAAAAGTTAGACAGACATCTGTCAGAGAGAGCCTAGTAACTCTGGTTTCTCTGCCAATGTAGGAGTTGGATTGATAACCCTCTGCAGTCCATGCCAGTACAAGATTTCCATTACAGATGTTCATTTGGCTATAACATGATGATGCTTCCATCCTAGTAATATTATTCCTTGTTTCCCACTGTCTTGCATTTTATTAATGACAGAAGATTGTCTAGACTTGTCTGTGCATGGACCTAAAACACCAAGAGTGCCCTCAAGTGATCAGCAACACCACAAGTTAAGGTTAGTAGGCACAACACTGTAAGGAACCACAGAGAAATGTAATAGATAAGCAGGACTGGCTCCAGCATGCAGTGTAAGTTCAGAAGATGAGAACTACATATCAGTTTATTTGGTCCTTCTTTACGGTTGTGCGTGGATACACAAAGAAGCTACTGTGGGGTAAGAACCCCACATCTGCCAGATGTTTCGTGGTAACTGTGTGCAAGCTTTTATCTTCTAGTAAATGCAGTGTAACCTGGGAGTTCTGCAAGGTAAAAGCATGCACGCATGCAATTACCACAAAGCATTTGATGTACCTTCTGCACAACAGAAGCATGACCAATTCCTGGTGAGTGAAGCTGACTTAAAACCAGTATTGTGCATTGCCATTTGCAAGTGAACTCCCCTGTAAAGCCTAAAAAGCAGAGTCAACACTGGGACCTGAACTACCAATAAGGGCAAAATACTTGAGGACACAGGTGAGCACCTAGGGCGCGTTAAGAGGAAAGACTAAACTTGAATGGATGATACAAGAGGGAGACAGAGGGCCTGGAAATGCAGAAGTGGCAGAAGCAGTAGCATACACTAGGACACTTACCTGCTCCACAGTGAGGGGGGAGCTGATCTCTTCCCCGCGCAGAATCATGGACCTCTGCGTCAGTACTTCAGAAAGCTGAAAGGCGTCTAAACCCAGGAGGTCACTGGCAATGTTCAGCACTAATAACAAAGAAGAACACACTTTTTACTCCTGCATGGATCCCCATCACTCATGGGAGATCCGTATTCTGCAGCTCAGTGAGGAAATCCCAGGGGCTCCTACAAGGCATGTGACTAAACCTCAGCACAAAACACACTCCCCTGTACTTAATTCTCTTTGGCATACTCAAAGCTGTAAGCTCACATATCCAGTCTGAGGCAGGGGCGGCACCCATTATGGGCCACTCAAGTAAGTCAGCCTTTCTGTTGACAACAGGAAGAGCAAAGCACTGCGTAAAGATCAGCACCAGCAAAATATTTATTAAATGAGAAGACATGTTTTCCTAAAGGCACAATAGTGCAGTCTGAGCGTGGGATTGCTAAACTTGGATGTCAAAAAGAGAAGCAATTAACTTAAGACTTGAAGCACTTGTAATATGTATTTGTTGCTTCTGTCTGTTTAGGGATTCACTTTACCAGACCAGCTCAGACTGGATAACTGTAACAGAGTGCACACTAGTAGATGCCTCAAAGGAAGATGTGGGGAAGTCTGTTAACAGACTACTTTTATCTCAAACTCCGCCCTGTTCCTATTTCTTCCTGCTCTTTCAATGCAAAAGAGAAACTGTGAGACTGTGGACACAGTCTGAGAGTATCCAGGAGAACAAATGGATCACAGGGCCACAGCCAAACTAAATCATACCAGTGCTCTGGAGCCACGCATCCTGTGGCAGTGCTTTTGCAGGGTTAAACTGCAGGGAACCTGCTGGCAAAGACACTGCAGACCGGCACAGCAGAGGGGGACAGGACAATGGACTGAGCTTTACTGGGGGCCTTATGGGGCTTTGCATGGTCTACCAAGTTGCTAGGGTCCCACTTACCCGCTTTTGTTGTCACCTGGGCTCCGCCAGCTGTCATGAATTCAATGTTTCCCAAATGAAGTGTGCCAGAAAGAAGTTTGAAGATGTCTCTGATTTCTTCAGTGCTGAAGTCCACCACCTTCATGGCAGTCTATGCAAAATGTTGGCTAACGTTGGTACATACAGCCACAGTACAACGCAACCCCTACACTCATGCCCAGCCCATGTAAGATGTAAAACTCAGAATTATCATCATTGTGAATCAAAGTGAAACAAGATGGCACACTCCCTCTCTCAGCTATACATCTGTCAACGATCTTCACTGTCTCCCATTCTCTCCTTCATTTATCCTATCCCCATCTAAGGCAGGTGGGCATCTGCCCAATCCTCAAGTTGGACTTTGCTGCTATCGTTGCCTGTCTGTCACAGGAAGAATATGTTTGTCTGTGCCTGTGTGAGGAAATCCTTCCCTGAACACTGACAGTACAGGCTACAGATGTCACTGGACTGCTTCCACATTCTGCCTTATTGTCTTCCCTGAAGGACAGATTCACATAATATACCTAATTTAGTCTGATCCATGTAACCCCTTTAATTTACTTTATCTTAGAATAGTAGATTTATGCAGCAAGATTTAAGACTAGGCTTTCATTAACTGCTAGAAGGTTGGAAACTGGTTACCAGAAAATGAGGACGTATGGCACATTCCTTCTGCCTTAGTGCATGTACATGAGGCAGGGTTCTTGGGGCATAAGTTGACTTTGAGAGGTAGGACCTAGTTTTCAGGCATTCACCCTGTAAGTGGCGTACTCCAGGGTTCTAGTTCTCTTCTTTCCTCCAGGCATCTCCTCAGCTGAAGTATAAATGCCATGTCGCCACTGCAACCTCTTTTGTACAGGAGACACTTCCTTCCCTTGAATCACACCTAAGCAGGAGCTATTGAAATCCTAAACTGACTCCTCTCACCTTGCCTATCTGGTTTCACCTACATTATTAAAGCCCTCAGGCCAATAACCACTTCTCAAACAAAACATGAATTGCATATTCATCCTGCTAAACCCATAACCTCTGGTAAAGTTACAGATGTCTATTGATATCTGTGTGGTATTTCAGAACATGCCATTTGCACAGGTGATACAACTTTACCAGAACACTTTTGGAGAACACTACCTTCAGACCAAACTGTTCCCCTTCTAATGGAGGTTTCCTGCATCAGGCCACTTAGAGGGCTCCCAGGAACTATTATGAGGTGGGGGGTGGGGTTCATGCCCCCCAAAGTCTCTATCATTCTAAATTATTATTCATCCTTGACTGTTTCCCAAATTCCCCCATTTCTGTACACTAAAAACACTTTTTGAGCCTTGTTTTTACCATAAACAGGTACAGCTGAACTTCAGACTTGTTGAACACCAAATTCTGGCTTAGGGCAAATAAATTCTGCCTGTGAGATCTAGACCCTGCAGCATGTTTAGTCCATGAGATTGTGTCCAGAAGTTCAGCAGGAGTTAGGACAGGACTCACCATGACCTTACTGAACATCTCTACGTCATTCAGGTTCTCATCAGTCACACAACCAGACTGGTTCAAGTAGCGGTAAGTCTCTGGCTCAGAGAGGGAGAGACTCTCTGCAACAGAGGAAAAAGAGGCAGGGAAGAGAAAGACAACAATTTCTTTAGCAATCAGCCTTTTCGTTCCATGATCTTGGTCCCCCAAAACAGTGTGTGTGTTTACCATAGGGACAGTTCATCTGAACAGATTCCATATCCCTCAAAAGCCACACCTAGACAGTGAATGCACTGAGGAAGGGGAAGAGGAGGGTGTGCGGTAGCAAAGCTTGCAGACAGTATGCAAAATGATTTCTAACAGTCAAATCCCAAGCTGCAGAGTCACAGAAGAATATTTCAATAGTGAACGGACTCAGAAAAAAAAAAAAGATTATGAAATTCAATCTCATAAAGTGTACAGAAAAATATTCTTAATATACACATACAGTAATGACCTCTAAATTAGGTATCACTACTTGAGACAGAGTTCAGAGAGTCACAGTAATATTTCTGAAGACATTATCTCAGTGCTGAGCAGCAGTCAAAAACTGAACACAGTTCAGTTCCTTCAGTTTTAGAAGGAACAGAGAACTCAACATAAAACCAGAATTAGGTCTCTGTACATATCTGTAGCATGACTACATCTTAAATACTATCTGCAGGTTTGATCCCCCATTTCAAAATGGATAGAGAACTAAAAGATCTCTGGAGAAGGGAGACAAGGATGATCAAGAGCCAGAAACGCATTACAGAAGTGAAGCAGCCTGGGACACCTGCTTGGAAAGGGAGATTGGGAAGAATAGCAGAGATCTGCTGAAGAAAAATAATCTGGTTTGTATGCTTTCCCTAAGTACTTGCTGATAAACATGGTCCCCACTATTTTCCTTTGCTTTAGATGGATCTCTGAATTGACCTACGTGACCATTCCTGCATGAACTCCCCAGAACTGAAGCCCTACTCCCTTCCACTCTCTGTCAGGCCCAATTCTTCCATCTGATTATTCTAATACATGCAGAACAAAGGCATAAAGAAATTCCCCAGTCCCTCAAAACCAGAGTGCAACTGTAACGTGTTCCTGCCTGCCTATCTGACCTCTTCAGCAAGACAGACCATCAGTGCTGAGCAGCACCCAGAGCAGGTGCACACAAATGTTGTTAAGGGGGTGCTGCACTACAAAGAGGATTCTTCCAGCCTGCAGCTGCCACTTTCTCTGCATGCCCTCTTCCAGATCCACCTCTCCCTTCCCCATGCACAGAGCTATAAACCCTTTGTTCCAATACTAGATATGTTTTCACTCTAGTCCTGCCACTACACCGCTGGTCTTTCTAATTCTTATCTTTCCTATTACCTATACTGAAGGTTTGTTGTAAAATATGTCTGTCAGTCCAACCTTTGAACTCCTTGAACAGCACCCATCAGCATCTGAATCAAGACTCCTTACCCTTCCTTTGCCTCTAGCCAGTTTCACTACCTCATTTCATTGCACAGACTTTTCCCTCCAGCTCAGAATGCCTGAAGTGTCTTTTCTCATATAGCATTTCTGTCATCCTCAGCCTCTTTCTCTCAACTCCCCTTTCTGTTTCCCATGAAATCACCATATGGCCTTCAAGAAAAAATTATATATGAAGTACCTGAAATATCTGTGCTCTGACTTACACCTGCTTCACATGCTGGACTGGAAAGAGGACAGCACCATATCCCAGAAAATGAAATTACCTTTCTGCTCCCCACTCACACCAGCCAGCAAAGCATAAAAGATGTGGTAATTCCTCTCTCCGGGGTTCTGGTGTACCACTCTGTTCTGAAACAAAGAATACAGGAGTAGCCAGTAGAAAGAGATCGCACTTGTGGTTGCAAAGGCAAAGAGAGGACCAGGATACAGGTAAATCTCCAGAGCCAATGCAGAAGAGGGGCTTCTTCCAGTTTAGTGATGGTGTTGTCTAACTAAGCTTTACATCAAGATCTTGTCATGTATGGCTGTGCAACTGAGCACAGACAGACTTCTCTGAACTCACTTAAAGAGTGTGCGCATGGACAAACTGTACCTTGTCAGTTCTGACCCTGCTCCTCAGTGAGTTCCTGAGTCCAAAGTAAACTAAATCAGAGCAGAGATGTCTGCATGTGGAGGTGTACCCCCATATTCCCCTCTATGGAACTAAGTTCCCAGGTACTTGTTCTCTCTCCCTTTCCCCTTGGTAAACAGCTTTTTCTTGGAGTCTCTCTGTAATGCACAGGGTTTATCAAAGACAGGAGGAACAGGCTCCGACAGATATAAAACAAACATTGTTCCTCCACAATCCTCTTCCTCAGTTGAGACAATTGCCATAGTAACACCTAAAGAGCTAATGTCTATGTGATGTGACAGAGGCAGCATCATCCAGGAGCAGATCTGGCACTATCACACCATACTATGAGGAGAGGGCTCATCCAGCAGTCAGTAGAGGTGATACCTACCTTTTCCAGTAAATCTGAACAGCATGTTAAGGAGAAAACATTCAAATGACATATGCACAGATCTCCTGACGACTGGCAAAGAATCTTCTAGACACATTGGGATGAACCCTGTAACAAGCAACAAATCATTAAATAACTGACGCTTTGGAAAGTGGACAAAGAGCAGTTCCAAACATCATCTTGAATCTTCCTCTCTACTCCTTGTCCAAGGAGGTATTATGTGCCAAAGGGATATTTAAAAGGGCAGGGTCAGATAGAGCATTGGATCTGCACAATGGTGAGGTAACCTAACAAAGGATGAGCCGCATTAGGGACACCTAGAAAGATTAGAGAGGCCACTCTCATCTGAAAGTCTGTATTGCACACAGCATGTCTTGCATCAGTTCTCATTGCTTCTGCAAGAGACTGCTATCTTTAATCTACTGACAGCACAAAGAGCAGAGACTAAACAATCCAAGCCTGTTATTTACAACAGTAGTAAATTCATCTGGCTGCTACTCCAGTGGAAATTGGTGTGGTCTGCAGTCATCAGCAGCTTTGAACATCAACATCAAGAAATGTAGCCAGAGCAGCCTTAGCTGCCTCATGTAGACAAAAGATACGTTGGGAGAGGGGTACATGGGCATACAGGGAAGAAAGCGGTCATGGCACAACATAATTCAACTATATCTAGCCTTCCCTGTCCTCGTCACTGGAACAGGCTCCCCAGGGAAGCGGTCACAGCACCAAGCCTGTCAGAGTTCAAGAAGTGTCTGGACAACACTCCGAGTCATATGGTTTAGTTTTAGGTAGTCCTGTGAGGAGCAGGGAGTTGGAGTCAATGATACTTACAGGTCCCTTCCAACTTGAGATATTCTATGATTCTATGATTAGGGTTCCAAGGTCCACTGGAGATGGGCAGCCCAAAAAAGGGAGTCATAATTGGCCCTCTAAATTCCTGTTCTCCTCTGCATCCAAATATTGTGCAGAATATATTGATTCTTAGCTTGGTCTCACTTTTCTAAATCATTAATTCATTGGCAGAGCTAACATAAGGGAACAATCTTCTGGGAAAAACAGGATGCAATCAACATGAGGGATCTTCCTAGGTAGCAAATTCTAGAGATTTAAGTACCAAATGTTGTGACTGCCAAAGTGAAAAGTCAAACTATGTCCCTACCTAATGTAGTACCTAGACGAAAGGTTTTCAGAACTAGGTGGTGCAGGCCCACAAAACAAACACTTCTTCCCTCTTTAAGTTGCAAATTTGGCCACAGTTATAAACTGACTTTGAGCAACTGTGATGAGGGATTTCCTGACCCACTTTGAGCTCTTCCTCATCTTCACTGGCTCCATTCCATTTCTGGTCCACTGAAGAAAAGGATACAATCAGTTACTCGGCCTCCCTGGATGTGTCCATGTTGAGAGAAGTGCAGCTGGATGAACTTGCCAAAGCGGCTGGAGTTGTTGTTATAAACTGTCTTGGCATTTCCAAAAGCCTCCAGAATGGGGCTGCAGAAACAACGCAATGAAGATATGATTGGTGATGGGATACTATTAAAACAAAGCATGTACCCAACCTTTTGCCACTTGTACAGCGTGCACTGCCATGTGAGATTAATTTGTTACAGCACCAGACTGGACAAGCAGGAGGAGCTCAAGGGCAAGGAAGGATCGCAAGAGCAATTTAACATGCTGCTAGATAAATTTTAAACCTTTGGGATTGGAGTTAATTAAATCAGTCCCCAATCAGTATGGGCAACTGGTGTTCACACTGTCAAGGGCATTCCCCACCAATGTGGCTTCAGGAAATGAAAGGTGGCAAGACCCAGCCAGGTTGTGTGCTTAACACAGCAGCATCCCATGAAATGGGCTTGTATTTTTTTCAGGATTTTCAGAAGCATCGGATATACAGGGCAAACACCCTGTAGCTTTAAACCACATACTTTGTTTCTGCTTCTACCTTTGAAAGAGAAGACGGTATAAGCCACCTCTTATAATTACAGGCAAACATTTTCAAACGAAGAAACAAACATAGTACTAAACTGATTTGTTTGCTGCTGAAATTTGATACTGGAACACTCAAGCCCTTGTTACTTAAATCTTGCTTAGGTTGATACAAGCCACATGGTTTCCAAGTAGAGGGACTGTACACACACTATAGATTTGAAAACTTCATACTGAAAGCACCACATCATCCCCTTCAGGAAAAAAAAAATTTGCAAAAAAATCTATCACCAAACTGCAGATGGGTGTTGAATTGAAGACTTTTGTCTCCTGGTCACCTCCTGTCTTCAGGAGGCTCATTCAACACGGAAAATGGCAAGTTAAAATGCAGCTTGGTTCTTGCTCCACAGAACAGTACAAGGGAAAAGCCTAAACCATTCAAACTGATATGCTGGATCCAGGATTAAAATATTCATTTTTGCACTGTAGCCAATTCTAAAATAATCTGAAGGCCCAATGAGCAAGGAGTCATGGAGTTGCTACAAGAACAGCCTGTATGTAGTCATATTTAATTTTAAAACATACATAGTTTTTAACAAAAATTATTGCCGTTACTACCCTGAAAAATACTGGCTTTTTAAACATCTCCACCGATCTACTGTGCGGTTCCACTGGAGGCAGGGGCAGATACAGGATTATTCACAAGTTAATAATTATTAACATGACAAATAATTACAACTACAGATACTGCTGGAGTTTGCTGAAAGCTTGAGGCCTTGCAGGTGAGAGCTGTGGTTGTGGGAAGGGCCCAACAACCTTCAGGAAACTTCAGGCAGTATTTTCCTAATTTATCTCTTGAAAATATCACTTTAAAGAAACAACAGCATAGAAATGAAATTGCTCTGTTATAATATGTTACAACCATAGAAATCCCAGTCATAGAAATCTGTGTGCACAGATCAGGAAGAAAGTTTCTTGCCGTGGAGAATTCGAATTCCAAGATCCAGACCTCTGAAACAAGTATGTAAATAAGGACATCGCACAGGAATGTCCCACTGAGCACATCAACGCCATGAATCAACAAAAATTAATGGGGACAACCAGAAAAAGGGAGAACAAGGTTACGTTATATGACCACCACTGTTGCAGTGAGAGTGCAGTAACCAGCCAGCCAATCTTTATGGCTCTAAATCATGTTAAATTAGATAAGCAAAGCACAAGGAAGTATCTTTATAGTTTAGTTTGGCAATGGGCTCATGCACATGATTGCGGAAGGCTTTCAGGGATGGGGGAGGAAATAGGCACGTGGGTGTCTGAGGCTGGCGGCAGCTGCCAGGCAGAGCGGTGGGTGAGCTGGTACAGCCAGCAAGGGGGGCGGCTGCCTGGGCCAACCAAACTGCCCGCGCCAGCACATCCCAACGCGGCATTTGATGCAGCAGCGAACTGCACGAGGCAGAGTGGCCCATCAGGGGGGTGATACTGGCTGCTTGGCTGGATGTGGGCAGGGTGTGTTGCAGGACTCGAAAGGATAGGAAGCAGTTTCAGCAGGGCAGCAGAAAGCGAAGCCTGGATTTTAGAAATACTGCAACTTATGCAGGTCCAGGACTCAGAGGCATAGCCGAAGACAAAAAAGCAGATTCGAAGATTACAGGGATGAGTAACAGGAAAGGTGGCTATGCTGTCAGCAGTGTCACCCAACATGGAGAAGGGAGCTTCAGAGTGAAACAAGCAAGAAAATAAGCTGAGAGGAAAGTCAGCAGAATTTTTAATGGACTGACGGATATTTTCAAGAAGGAAAACAGACCAAATGAACAGTGCCAAGGAAGTTTTCAGAGCCTGATTTCTGAGAAATACACCAAGCACGAATGTTACAACACACAAGCAAATGATAGAAAGCTGACATAACACTTTGTTTATAAAGCTGTCTGAAATGGAGAGAGAATCCAGCATTGTTCCTGGGTATGCACTGGGGCGTAAGGATGAAAATCTTCCATAATCTAACCCAAGGAGGCCCACTGGCAGAGCAAGTGAAGCTGAACTGCAAACATATGAGGTAGACTTGTTAGGAGTGGTAGCAGTTTCTGGCTCTGGGCCAGGTCTTCAGCTTCTCTTCTTCAGGGAAAAGGTGACAAATCAAATTCTCCTGCACTTGCATTGCAATAGCTCACTTAGCACTAGAAATGTACACAAAACGAGTTGCAAGCTCTTACTCCACCTCACAGCGGTGGGATCTTGCAGACTCAGGAATCACCTACCTACCATTGTAAGGTTTCTGGATCACAGTCAAGTTACCACTTAACTGCTAAGTGGGCTTAAGCCTTCTAAGCCGCTTGCCTTAGAGCAGATTTTGCAGATCTTGAGTCATGACTGTATCGCGCTTAAGAGCTTCTTCCAATTTGCCAATGTCCCTGGTAAAATCTGCACATCTCCAAAGGATAAATCATCCAACAACGGTCTCTTGAGCACCAGATCCAAAGGCAGCAATGCTTCTGCTCAGTGCTGCTCTGCTTATAAGGATCCTAAAAAACGCAGTGCTCTTGCAGCTGCCATGTTAGACACCGCATGTCTGCTTAGGCTATTTTCACCACAGTTACTAGTAACTATTTTGCGTCACCGTCTTCCAGGAAACATTCCTTCTCTCTACTCTCTGGGCCCTGAAATGCACCACTTGCGTGAGAGACACTTTTACACAGATGGTTCAAAGGATTCCAGCCTATTACACAACTAGATCCTGTTGCAGACATCTGATTTACTCCTCTGGAGGTTTCTGCAACTATCACAGGCTCAAACTGGGACCAACTTGCAGCCTTGCCCTTGACCAGTACTGACCTGCAAGACCTCCAGCAAGGTCCTCCAATCACTGGCAGGACAATCAAATGCTGGAGAATTTTTGTTTAATTTAATTTATTAAACAGCATTCAGGTGTTAAGAAAAAGGAGGACAATAAAACAGACGCTTAAAGTAAACTTCTTTCCTTCCTCTTCTCAAGGCTTACCTTAAAGTCAAACACCTATTTCCCTCCTTTTCTTAGCCTCAGCTTCCACTTTCACCTTAGGTCACAACCAGTCCCTCGCAACTCCCCCCCAAGGCAGCGGGCAGCACAGGAGGCTGGGACGACACACATTGTTGCTCTTTGCTTCCTTGTTTTCTCTGCTGCTCTTTGCCTCTTACTAGTTTTCCTCAGCTGCACTTTGCTTCTTCAGGTTTTCCTGACACTTTTTTCCTTGGTGTCCCTGTTCCAGAGTGGGTCACCTGTGGGCCACAGTCCCTCAGGGGCGTCCCTGCCCTGGCACAGGTCACGGTCCCTCAGAAGTGTCAGGACCTCCTTTGGCATGAAGGGTCACCCACAGACCATGTGTCCATCCCCTCATGGCTGCCAGTTTCTTTCCCAAACACGTTTGGTCTGGGTGCCAGGCGCTTCCCTGCCTGCCTGATGGCTCGGCAAGGTTTTGGCGGGTGATGGTTATTCCCTGGTGCCAGCTCCAGCTAAGACCAGCTCTGACCAGCCCGGGGCCTCCTCCCACACAAGCCCTGCTGCAGCCCCCCAGCAAACCTTCTCGCTCGTGTCTCTTACAGCTCCTGTGGAAGTTTCTCAATGAAATCACCTGTCTGGACAGCAAGAGAGCTGCAAGGACCTCTGAGAGGAAGACATACTGGTGGCCTGAAACAAATGGACGCCGGGGGAGAGAGCAGGGACTAAAGGAGGAGACCAGGAGCCAGAGCGTGACAGAGACTCACTGCAAGCACAGCCACAACCGAGAGCTGTGGGAGACGGGGGTGACCTGGGACAGCCAGGAAGGGACATTGCCCACGTCCCCTCCAGCCACTGCCATAAGAGATGTAGGGCTGGAAAGAGGAACAGCGCAGTGACGTGCAGGTGAGCTCAAGGATGCAGCTGGGCAGGCACAGGGGATGAGTTACTGAAGGAAGGAGAAATCCCAGCCTTGGCTAGAGCATTAATTCTCCGGCTGCCATGCACCCCCTGCACTGCTATTGGAAAGAAGCCTAATTCATCCACGGGCAGCTGGGAGAGCAGCCAGCATGAGGCGTCCCGGTGAGACTGTGACCGCATTTCCCTGACGCGACACCGTTCAGCTGCGTGATCCTCACTGCCCAGGTCTGGCTCCATCCACAGCCCAGCTGCCCAGAAGGCAGCGCCCCTGCCAAAGGCAGGCTGCCCCAGCATGCCAGCGTCTGCAGGGATGGGGCCCCGCGTGCTCGTGAGGGTGACCATACCTGCTTTCCAGGATGGCTTCTTCCACATGAGTGCTCTTCTCAGATGCAGGGGCCCCGAGGGAGGTCTGGCTCATGGCTGACAGAAATTTCAGCAGCAACTTGGTGCTCTCAGTCTTTCCAGCTCCACTTTCTCCGCTGTTAAGAAAAAACATGCATTTCATTCACAAATCCAGGACAGGCAGAGCTAATGACCATCCCACCCGCGGCAGAGAAGTGATCTCCAGGAATAAACACGTGGCATCTCCACTGTGGCAAGCAGGGATCAGGCAAAGGGTAGGGAAGATGGTGCGGATATTTAGGCAGATGTCATTGCAAATGGAGCAGCAGGAGCAAGGCATGTAATGCAGTCCGGGAGTAGCCGGTTCTCCCATTTCTAACCTTATCAGAACACACTGGCTGTCATGACGCTTCCACAAGCAGCAGTAGCACTCGTTAGCGGTGGCGAAGATATGGGGAGGCAGCTCACCCAGGCGGTGCTGTCTGTACAGGTCTATGGCATCCACACTGTACAGACCAGGGATGGGTTTGTAGGGATTTACTGATGCCAAGATGGAACCAATGTTTGTCTAGGGGGAGAAAACAAAACACAGCAAGGAAATAAAGCTCCTGGAAAAAAAAAAAAAAAAATCACGACAAACCCAGACCCTGAAGTAATTCATGGTGAAGAGAGAAAGCCTAAATAAGGAAGTTGGGCTTCAGCAGAGCTCCCCAATTTGGCAAAGAATGTCAAACCCCAGGGCAGGGGCTTGCACGACTCGGTATGAATGAGGCAGTTTGAATTTCACTGCTTTACAGTAAAGTGTTCTTAGTCTGTTGTCTTGGCTAAATTAAGCTTACACAATTTAAAAACATGAAGCCATCTTCATACCCAGCTACTGTGCACTGTGCTTGAAGCTGAAAAGCAGAGCCAGGACTGAAGGAGTGTCAGGAGATACCTTCAATGCCCCTACCCACAGTCTTAAGTGGAGGGTGCTTGGCAGGGTTCAAGCACCTGCTGAACAAAGAGGTGGGATACAGACACACACACACACGTGCGCAAAGAGCCATTAAAATGTATTATTTTTCTTCTGCTGAAAAGTGCTGTTTGGAGCAGCTTCAATCATTTGTTAAGCCAAATAAAAATTGACAGCTGAAGATGAAGTTCAGGATTTCAAGTCAAAACATTTCTACATTTTTCTAAATGTTTTATTTTGAAATATTTATTTTGAAAAACTCACAGTTCAAGAAAAGAGTAAGATTTAAAATAAAATACCCAAAGCCCAATACTGAATTTCAAAAGTATTCTTCTGTGAAGTCAGAAGGAAATTAATTTGGGGTTTTGGGGCGTTACTTTTTCAGTTCAGCCAACCAGCTCAAATCCAGTTAATCTCAGAGCTGCAGTTTAGAGCAATGGTGCCACCTCTTTCCTAACAATGGCTTTTGTAATATGGTCAACATCCAGCTTAAATGCTGCTGCTGGTGTGGTGGCCTCCTTCACAGGGACATCTTGGGCTGCTTTACTCCAGAAATACCCTTTCTTAGATTGCTGCAGTAGGTGCCAAGCTTTGCAGCTAGGGACCACATCCAGTATTATTTCCAAACCATGAACTACGAGTCAGCACATACATATGCAAGAATTTGCATGCATCCATTGGAGAAGCTGTAAATGAAGCACTTGGTGACAAGAAAGACGCCTGCTTTCTTCCTGCCAAATGAAATCTGGGGCCATACTGCAATGCCAAGCTCTGAAGCCCAAAGCCAGACTGATAAGATGTTGTAGTCACCAAAATATTTAAGACTCATTTACTAAAGCAGCAGTCAGAGATCTTCAGGGGAAAAAAAATATCACCTAGGCCTAATTGCATGATCAGTATGAACAGGCTAGCATGGAACAAGTCCTGAGGACGCTCTGACATGGACCTTTGTGGGCAGAAATACAATTCACCAGTGATGAAAGCAATGAGCAAGCAGGTGATGTTTGGCAAGACAGGTAGGAGGAAATAGGAAAGCACTGAGAGAGAAAACATGGACCGGGAAAAAGCACTGTACAAGCAGTTGAACAACAGACATTGCCCAGAGACTACAAGACAGAGATGTCCATCCTAACACTTCTCCCAGACCTTCACACCATTTTTTCCCTCTCAGATGTTTCATTTTGCATCTCCCACTCTAGTTTCAGCTCTCCCAAGGGACAGAGCTCACGCTGCAGTCCTTTCCAGAACTTCTTCCACTACAGCCATCTCTTTCAAAGATGTTTTTAGGAAATTTTTCCATCTCCCAATTGCAGTCTCCTCATTACCTGCAGTCCCTTATAGACAATTTCTATCCACAATTTTTAATAGCAGTAGCATCCATGCATCAACCATGTACGTACCAGCCACTCTATTAGCAAGGAGTGATCGTCCCCAGAGAACTCTGTAGAGCAGGACAAGCCATGCGTGGCATGTCTACTTCTCAAGACAATAGAACCTAATTGGGTGGTTAGGCACGGCAGAGCTAGGGACAGCACAAAATGTATCAGTATAGCCCCTAGCTCATTTATACATCACTCACATTATGTTGGGTCTACTTTTATTAAGGGATACAGGAATTACAGGAATGAAGGGGGAAGATGCACTCCTAAAAGCTGCAGGCTGTTGCTGTGCTTACATAATTTCCTTAAACAGTTTGGTAGAACTTGAATAGTATTTCTTTGGAAATCAAAAGATACTATTGAGATTGCGAGTATTCCTGTAGCAAATTAATTATGGGTACCACGCCAGTCTAGATATACTGTTACCTACACTCTCTGACTAGAAAGGATCCCCTTTAGGAGCTCGTGGTAGGATGCCTCCAGGCATACAGCTCAGAACTGCACTGCCCTTCCCTTTTTCACAGCAGTTGTCCACTTCACATTCTCAGTTTTCCATCCTCTCATTAATTATTTTTATTATTATTTATTATTAACACTAGTTACCAGTATTCCAGGTTACCCATTCCTTCAGGTGAATTTGTTTTCCAGAAAACGATGGTATTTCTCACCTGTTTCTGATCTCTCTGATTTCCTTCCAAATATATTTGGCCCTGAGTGATAGGCATAACTCCTCTCAGTACAGCTTCATCTGCAACCCTAGCCTACTACGTTCTGTGGAGACCATTGAGGATGATATTAAATGAACTCAAGCCCTGTAACATTCATGGTATTCACAGATCACTGCAAGTCATTAGGTGGCACTACAGCTGACATTCTCAGTTTCTGCTTAACTGAAAACTATATGCAGCTGGGCTATGGCATAAAGTAATAGTGATAAGGTAACTGCAATATTAATGTCTGCAGTGCAGAAATGTAAAACAGCATTTGTACGGTTTGATGTCCTCCAGGTCAGACACTGCTCAAACATATTCCCAGATACAGTCCCACTGTGGTGGGTTGACCCTGGCTGGACAGGTGCCCACCAAAGCCACTCTATCACTCTCCCTCCTAAACTGGACAGGGGAGGGAAATTATAACGAAAGGCTCATAGGTGAGAATAAGAACAGGGAGATCACTCAGCAATTACTGTCACGGGCAAAGACTCATTTTTTCCCCAAGATTTGGGGGAAAGAATTAATTTAATTTCTTACCAGTGAAATCAGAGTAGAATAATGAGAAATAAAATCAAATCTTAGAACACCTTTCCCCCCCACCCCCTTCTTCCTAGGTTTAACTTTACCTCTGATTTTCTCTACCTCCTCCCACCCAGCAGTGCAGGGGGACAGGGAATGGGGGTTGGGGTCAGTTCATCACACCTTGTCCCTGCCGCTCCTTCTTCCTCAGGGGGAGGACTCCTCACTCTTCCCCTGCTCCAGCGTGGGGTCCCTCCCATGGGAGACAGTCCTTATGAACTTCTCCAACGTGGGTCATTCCCACGGGCTGCAGTTCTTCATGAACTGCTCCAGCATGGGCCTCCTGCAGGGTCACAAGTCCTGCCAGAAAACCTGCTCCAGCGTGGGCTCCTCTCTCCATGGGTCCACAGGTCCTGCCAGGAGCCTGCTCCAGCGCGGGCTTCCCATGGGGTCACAGCCTCCTTTGAGCACCCACCTGCTCTGGCGTGGGGTCCTCCCTGGGCTGCAGGTGGATATCTGCTCCACTGTGGATGTCTATGAGCTGCAGTGGGACAGCCTGCCTCACCATGGTCTTCACCACGGGCTGCAGGGGAATCTCTGCTCTGGCACCTGGAGCATCTCCTCCCCCTCCTTCTTCACTGACCTGGGGGTCTGCAGGGTTGTTCTCTCATATATTCTCACTCCTCTCTCCAGCTCCAGTTGCTGTTGTGCAGGGTTTTTTTTCCCCTTCTTAAATCTGTTACCCCAGAGGCACTACCACCGTCGCTGACAGGCTCGGCCTTGGCCAGCGGTGGATCTGTCTTGGAGCTGGCTGGCATTGGCTCTGTCAGACATGGGGGAAGCTTCTAGCAGCTTCTCATGGAAGCCACCCCCCTGCAGCCCCCCCGCTACCAAAACCTTGCCGTGCAAACCCAATACACCCACTCAAGGAGGGGCTTACAACCCTTCACTGAGGGGTTCTTCCTAGTGCTGAGCATGTTACAGAAGTCAGGCCCCTTCATAAATCTCAAAAAAATTCAGGTCTGAGATGCACAACTGACACTCATGCATTATGCACAGGCAAAAAATGACATCATGTTTAAACTTTAACATGTTTACACCTGGATGGAGAAGGCACAGAACTAATGCTGAATAGGAGAAGGAATGGCATATGAGAGGTAGAGGAAGGGCTTAAGGAGATATGGCTGCTGTGAGACTGTAACGGTGCTGGTGCTGTGGCAATTCTGGTGCAAGGCACAGACTGAAAAGGGAGAGGATCCTGCCTCACATTGCAAAGCGTGAGGAAGAAACAGGAGGAATATACCCAAATGGGCAAAGAGTTGCACAAACACATAGCACACGTCAAACACAGGTCAGGAACTGCAGCAAGGACATGGGCCATCAAAAGAGTGTGTGCATGTGGGTACTGCCACAGGATCACAAGGCTGTGTTGATAGACAACAGGCAAGGGAGTCTACAGCAACAAAAAAGAGAATCTGCAGTCTCCTCTGCATGCCAGTGCAGGAGATGGTTCAGAAACGGGGTCACTTTATTGATCATTTCCTGGAATACAGGTGCATATGGTTTGGTTGCCTTGGTAACAGTTGCTATGCAACACAGAGATTTACATTTTTCATGTCATAATCTGAAAAACTCTGGGTGCACATAAGCATGGACAAGCAAGGTAAGGCAGTCTTTGTAATATATCTTCCTTGTCCTCTCCAATTTTCAGCAGAGCATGCTGCCATCCCAGCACTCCAGGGATGCCTCATCCCAGGTGTGCTTTCCCTCACAAGTCCCTTTCCTGACACTTGCATCCCTCCCAAGGGTCCCAAGAGAGAAATCCAGAGATGCTTTGAGTATTCGTCTGTGCAAGGAGAGCAGAGCAACTCAAAAAAGCCAGAACTGCATATAAAAGCAGAAGAATTAGGCAACAGGTTTGCTTTCCTAGTTTTGCTGAGCAGTAGCTTCATCCGGATCAGGAGGGACACTCAGCAACCACCTGTGTACTCTGCACTTTCCAGTCTGCTTGGCCATATAAACCTCTAAACAGCAATAATGGGGAATCTGGGGAATGTGACTGCCAGCTCGTAAAACACGGATGCCGATGGAGGATACAGAGCTGCACAACTACCACAAAACCTAGAGGTGAATGTTCATGTTTTAGAAGTTCTTCTATAGATGTAAAGAGGCCCCTCTGGTAGGGGTAGGATCTCACAGGGCTGATAAAGCTGGCAAGGCAGAAAAAAACTCCATTTCTATTCACATGAAACAATGCTCAGGAAACAATGCTAAAATTAGTCTCTCACATGCAAAGTGGCAGCCCCGAAGCTAAACAAAAATCATTAGCCAGAAGGGCTGTGGCCCAGCTTGAGCACTTACATAGATGTTACCCTGTTGGTAGCGCTGGTGCAGGTTAAGCAGGATGGCAGCTTCATGCAGATCTCCCAGCATGGACATGTCTTCTACTCCATCAATGCTGGTCTGGTGCATTGGCAAAACTTTTTCTCTGGAAAGGGAGGCCTTAGGGTACTGGAATACCTGGAAGAATGGGCAGAAGGACAAACAAGCTCATGACACCTGGGCACGTGGCCTGATTTCCTACCAGAAACATGCCCCCTTCCACAGCTTTGTACTTCAGCACTGGAAAAGGAAATTAATAAGGCACAGATCTGCTCCCTATTTTTATAGTCATTATTCCGTTCCTGCTCCTACCTATTTGACATCTCTGGCCAGAAACCACACAGCACACTCCCTTCTTTAGCTACAGAGTCAATCCCTCACCTTCACTATTGTCAGGGACAGATCAATGCAAGGTTACTCGATTTTTACTGAAATTGCCTTAGCAGGAGCAGGGCACCAGCTTCCAGCTGCGCTAGGCTGGACAGGTATTACACACTGCACTCATGACTGTGAATAATGACAGCAGCTGCTCCCAAGAGACCAGGAACAGTCTTTCACAAAAACACAGGTGGGATCATGTCTCTGACTGTGGGAAGGCTGAGGCAAAGCATATTCACATTCCAGGTTTGGCCCTGCACTCTCCATAGGAGCAGCCAGAGAGTGTCTGGGAGAGGTTGTCATGTCAAGAGCAAAGGAGAGCAAAGCAGATGAGAAGGTAAATAAAGTAGTGACATCCCGTGTGCATGCTGGCATGTATGTGTATGATGCAGCTTTGAAGTGTTTGTACAGCAACGGCTATTAACTTCTATCACTGCTCTGGGAAGTACCTACTTCTTTCTTCTCTATGCAGTCGCACTCTTCTTGCCTCAATTGCTGCATCCTTCTTCCTGCTAGAGCTTCCTCCTCCTCAATAACCCACTCTTCAGCTATCGGGTCATCTTCTTCACGCCCTTTCAATGCAGCTGAGATTATGTGACTGTTCCCCTCCACCACAGCCACATCCCAGCCTTCCTTTCCTCCTCCTCAAGCACGATGCTGGCATTTCACAAAAGTTATTTCAGTTGCTTCCCACTCTTGGATTCAACGATGTGCCATCTCCCACCCAGCATCCCAAGCTGCACTGGAAGGTAAGACCCAAGATAGACAGATGGGAGAGTTCATATAGGCAGCATGGAGAACCAAACTGGCCCGCAGTAACCCTTCCAAAGAAACTTGGGCTTTTCCTTCCCTTCTGGGGCTCCAGTGTCTACCTCATTTCCATCCCTGCTTGTCAGCCCTCCCAGGTGCCAGCAAGAAACTGGTGGACTCTGTAGAGAACGAACCGTGATCTATAGTGTTGATCTAACTGGTTTCTCCTGCCTGCTTTCTTGGAGTCCTCGGGCTGCCGTAGATGCTAGGGAGAGGCCAGCCACGCAGCTGCAGGCTGAAGACAGAATGAGGTCACCCTGCCCCCTCCAGCCAGCCACCCTTGCGAGTCCCTTGCAGGGCACTCGCTGCTGCAGCGCATTGCAGGTGCCCGGCGATCATCCCTTTTCAGCTCTAAGCCTGCACGCCTGCCAGTGCAGGGAAGGAATAACCTGGCACAGGATCCCTTTACGAGAGCCCCACGATGCCTGCGAAAGCCTGCACAATTGAAACAGCAGCTCTGTTCCTGGAGGGAGCTGGGGAGGAGAAGCAGGCTCATTCCCCAGATGGATTCACCCCAGGTCTGCCCAGTAACACCTAATGTGACATGGACTCGGTCTCTTCCACTAGGAGACTGCCCCACAGCCCAGTTTTCTCACCAGCCAGGAAGCTTTCAAAAATACATAGTTCATGTTCATGAACAGCATAGAATAAAGCCCATTCAAGCATAAAGGCCCTCTCCAGACCTTTCTGGTCTTCTCTGCACCACTTCTACACCTGGGTATCAGAGAGGTGTGACTCTGCCAGCAGCAGGACCTCCACTCTGCAAGCATGGCCCAGAGAAAACACATCAATTTTTTTTTCTCTTCTTCAGAGCAGAGGCCTCAGGCACTTCCACAAAAGAACTGAGGGAGCAGGATGGGAGAATGCGACAACTAAATTCAGGGGAGGGTACAAGCTGCAGATGCACAATATGAACGGCCTCTGTCAGGAGCAAAACCACTACAGCACTTTCAAACCATGAGGCAGCAAACCACCCTGGCTATCTCTTCTCTGCTGACTTGGACAAATTTTGGAAGGGGACAAGACCAAAACAGTATGACATGATCTTTCCTTACATTTGCCTGACACTTACTCATTTACCAATGCATTGTCAGCACTTGTGGCCATTTGGGCCAGAACATTAAGAAAACATCTAGGGAAAAAGCTGAGTGGACAAGTGTCCCAAAAGATACCGGGTGGTTGGCAGCACCTGTGCTAAGAGGCTGCTATTCATGAAAAATAACTGTGTGATAGGTCAGAGCTTGTTTACTTGCTCTTGTAGAAAACACAGGAGAAAGTGGGACCCTGAAGAGCAACAGGGGCCCTAAATACACAAGTGAATGATTAGTAGGGATTAGATCATCACCTGTTAAACCTGTCTTGAGCTGCCTGATTGGGGTTATTCAGTCATCCCCCTCTAAAAAAAAAACCTGATCCAGGTTTCTCAAAGAATTAAGCAGGTGTTCCTGCAGGATGGCAGCAAAGGTGGGTTAGGAGCATTGGCTCTGGTACCCTCTGAACAGAAACACTGCAGAGGTGAAATATACTCCCTGGAGGAGTGGTCTGATGCCACACTGACACCCTAGCGGAGCCCAAGATGTCACCTGTCTGTCCCTGAGGCTGGGTGGGTTCACCAAATACCCTTGCCCACCACTGCACCCCTAGCAACTCACCCTTCCTCAGGCAGAGGCTGGGGCCTCCAGCCCCACTAAGATTTGGGAGGTGAGGTCTCTGTGCCTCTGGAAGGCACTTGTGGCATGCAGGAGAGGTTTCAGGCCTTCCCTGGCACTGGGAAAGAGTTGACTTTTAATCTGTCCTCTGCCCTTCAGGGTAGATACAAGTTTCCAGTCTTTGTATCACCAACAGGCTGCAGGGATCATCCAGGGTTCTGGATACAGACATGTGGTGGTTTTCTGTTCCCAAGATTGTATCAGAGGCGCTCTCCCCAATGAGCTCTGAGGTTTGAGACACAAACATGCTGACCCTCCACACTTTCCCACCTCCATCCACCCCAGTAAAAAGGCTCTGGTTACCCCACTCCCCACTTCTGGACCCCTCCAGCAATCTGCCAGGAGAACAGTTTGGAGGAACATCCTCCCCATCATCCTGTTCCAGGTAAGGTAAGCCAGGTTGGCTTCAGCAGCTTGCACTACTGAGCTGAATATGATGGCTGATTTTGCCTGAAGCAAATGAGAACACAGACAAACTGATCTCTCAGCAGAGCTGCCTCTGGAATATCCCTTTTCCAACAAGTTAACACTTAAACAGAAAGTTATAGGTACTAATAAGCAGATCTTTATTACTTGGGAAGAAGAACCATCAGTTTTCAGTCTAAATACAAACAAGCCATCAAATACCACACAGGCACCTCACAACACAGCCAAAGATTTCTACTTTCTCCCCAGTGATAAACTGATTTTGCCTCAGATTTAGCCCACAGACAGAACAAAATGACCAGGACTTTCTCCAAGCCCCTGCAATGGTCAGGAATAAACCAAAACCTGGCCAGCACAGAGGCCAAGATGAGGATTGCCAACCCTGCTCACCAGGCTGAGCAAGGGAGAAATGATTCCTTCTCAACCACAAATCCATCCATTAGCACAACCCTGAGCACATGAGCAAAGCTCCCACCTGGCATCTAAGTTATGTTTATCCATAAAGCATTTGGCTGGTCTGTCTGGACTGTGGTTTCCAATCTTGTGTTTCATAAGTGTCGGCTCCTCCTTTCCTCCTAGGAAGTCACATTTCTGATGGATTTGTTGCTTGAGGTGTTTTTAAGGAAGTGGAAACAAATGGCAAGAGCTCTGAAGCACGACTGGACTTCTTACCTCAGAGCTGCAGGGATGCTGGGCCACAGCAAACATGAGAACACTAGATTTAGGGATCCTAAAGTCAGAGGCCTCAACTGACCCATCCAACCTAAAGTAAAGTGAAGATGTTCTCATCCGAGTTTTCACCTGGGGTAAGACAGCCAGTCCCTCCTACAGTTATGAAGCAATGAAGGCAGCAGGCGCGGGAATCACACAGGACAGCTATTGTGGTGGGCACTGAATAAAGCAAGCCCTCTAATGGTCACCATGTGCTTTTTCTGCATAAGCCATAAAGCACATGCTCCTTCAGCCTAGCGGTTTCTTCTTTCATGGAGGAAAAAACCCAAATCCAGCTTATTTTAGACCTGTGACTCCACCCAACATTATCCTGTGTACCTTTTCTAGCATGGACACAGGCTGGCAGTGGGTGCACCCACTCAACTGGCTCTATGGCGGGATTTCTGGTGTCCTTTCAGAGGTGCCAGGTGGGTTTGGAGGATTTTCCAAGGCCACAGCAGTGTATCAGAAGAGACAGGAGCAAGTCTGGGAGAGTCACAGAAGTACTCACCATTTGTTGATCCTCCACAGGCTGCTGCATTACTTGTGATGAATGCCCCTGTGATCTCTTAAAATGAGTTAGTGACTATCCAACACTCCCCAAGGAGGCAAATCCTCAAGAAAATATTTGAGAGACTAGAGTAACCAGATGGAAAACCTATGTGTCTGCTAGGTGTTTCTGTCTCCGAGAAACAAATCAGGCTCTTTGAAAAAGGATGATGGTTTGAAATCTAGCCCTTTCAAAGCAAGACTGAAAAATATGACAGTCCTACCACTGACTCTCCACAAGCTGGAGTCCTAAATCCCCTTTCCCCTTGTGCCCTCCTTTGTTTGCCAGGTAAGAGGCTGAAAAAACCTGTCCAATTTTCTGTAACAAAGAAGCTGCCTGCAGAGCACCTGTCACCAAAACCGCTGAGCAGATCTAACTGCTCACTGCTGGAGGGCACAGCCCTGCCCATTTCCCCATCCTCCTCCCAGCCCAGGCACCAGTTTGACTCACCAAGAACCTCCGTGAAGGCAGTGAATAGTTTTCCCAGGGTTAGGGAGCAGAGCTGACTCACTGAGGACTTGGATGATCCCCAGAGGTCCCTTCCTACCAATATTAATCCATGAGCACTGTGGCAGGCATGCCAGAGAAACACAAGGAGCACAGGGCTGGAAATAAGGCAGGAAAGAGGCTTGTTCCTATTGCTGGCAGAGGGTTCTGCTCTCAGAGGAACTCAGCTGACTTGTTGACCTGTCCTACGCATAGCTGCTGCACTTACACTGCTGACTGACACGGGGAGCTCACTTCTACGTGCCCCTGGCCCAAAGGGCTGATGGCAAAAGCTGCTGAAGCAGACAGTTGTGAGCACGACGGCCCTTAGAGCAGCACGGCTTGCAAGAAGCACATCCTGGCAGAAAGGGCTGCTTAGCTGGTGAAGCTGCCTCCTTCCTAGGTGCATTTTGCCAATATAGCGGTTGTGCTAGGTTGTTAATGCAATTCCTTCAAAGATGGCACGAGAAAAAACAAGCAAAGTGAGGTGGGCAGACAAACGAACAGAAGAAAGAGAACAATCTTCTCCTTTTAACCTTTGTTAGACCTTTGGCATGGTTTGTAACAGAGCCGGGTCACTTTTCAGACAGAATTGCAGCATTTCAATTGATACGTTTCCTTTTAACGTGAAGGTCACGCAAGACCAAGAAGTCCAACTTGCAACTTGGCATAGGCTACAGCCTCATGCAAACTTCACTTACCGTGCCATAATCTGAGGTGAAGAGCACATTTCCATCGGCACATGAGCCAACAGTGCATGGCTGCAGCTGGTCCTGCTCCCGCAGCCATACTCTGGCACCCTGCAAAAACCAGAAGACCTCCCATTAGAAAGAACTGGAGCCTGTGAGATCTGCACATGGGGTGCAAACACCCAAGGAAAGCTGGGGAAAGCTGCTGTATTCAGAGGCTACTTCCAAGCTACAGCTGCTTAAAATTTTTAAGCAAGTCCTACTTATATTTTCAGAGAAACTGGTTTTGATTTTTCTAATGTAACATGAGAGGAAGAAAAAGCAGTTTTAATCAGCTTCATGTGGAAACCAACGTAAGGAAACATCAGTTTTTATTGAAAGATACCAACACGCAGAATAGTGGGTTCGACTGTCTAAATATTTTCAAACTTAGAATAGCCGGTCATTAAAAGTCATGCTATAATAATAACAACAGAAAACGTAAATAAAGAATGTTTACAATTTCATACACCCACACATCATTGTAAGTCAAAATGCTTCCAGAAATTATCAGCAACAGCTAAGTAGACCTCACAGAACTTTGTCTGCCTCTCTTGCAAGAGTTTCCTTCAGTAAATGACATGACTTGAGTGTTTCTCTGATGTATATATGATGGCCCTGATGTATATATGATGGCCCTGATGTATATATAGTTTCCACACACACTACAACATTTTAAATTGCTCAGTGTCTCTCAGGACAATCCTGAGCACAAAGGCAGATTTCTGGTAACACATATGCGGAGATCTGCAGGGCAAGCAGATCTCATAGCTTGCCTACCAAAAAAGCGCAAGGGAAACCAGTTTGCTGGATTGGCGTCTTCTGCCCTGCCTGAGACTCTGCGACCTGGTACAAGGGAAAGAGCAGGAGCACAAAGGCAAATCAGGGAGAGCGTGACCTGCAATTACGCAGAATCAGGCATAACGTCACGCCGCATTTCAGTTATTGCAAACTAATCTGTTCCATGTCTTCCCATAGAAATCACATAAACTCTGCTTAGATAAGTATTGAGAAAAAGCCAAAGTGCTGAACTGTTGAGTAACGTTAAGGCCATACTGCTTTTCATCGATTCGTAGACCTACTTTCTTCCTGATTTGTTTTCTGCCCCTAAGTTATTGATTATAAAAGCCCTTCCTAGCCTCTTAAACCCGTCAGCACCATTAGCTCTTTGCTTATAGGCTTATTATGTTTGAAGAGATGCAATAGTATTTCTATATTACATTATACAGAATGTGGAACACTAATTCTATTTTTAATGATTTATTTTAGTTTAGGTGGGTTTTTTTAAACTACTTTAGTCACTTTAAACACTTTAGTACCCTGGATTTTCCTTATTGTAGAAGATAGGTCTATTGGCCAACCTCCAGCCCTCCCAATAAAGGAACTGGTTTTAATGACATTAAAAAGGGCCTACATAATTCTAGTTTTGCTGTTGTGTTCTGCTCTAGAGTTTCCACAGCAGGCAGATTAATTTCCCCTCACCGAGTGAATGAAAAGCACCAGTGCATCTGATCAGTACCTAAACCCAAGTGTGGTGTGTAAAGATCACCTTCATGGCCAGTGAGCAATAGCAACAGAAAGAAATGTTTTCTTATGTTACAGATTCAAGTTTCAAGATCCCAGAGAGCTGGTAAGCAATGCATTGAATACAGATTCTGAGGAACTATAAAGAGGTCTTCATGACATCCTCTTACATTTTCTGAAACTCTTGATGCTTGAGACAAAGTATCCTGAGGCACCTGGGCAAGACATTGCTGTTGAGAAACCATCCACTTCCCAGACCACATTCTGACTATTCTGCATAAACATACAAACAGCAACATGTGTTAGTAGATCATCTTTATGCTGTTTTCAGCAAAGGCTCCTACTACCATCATGGTATAGAGCAAAGAGTCAGAAAACAGCAAAGTTGTGTCTGGAGTTCCCAACAGTGGGCCGAAGGAAAGCCTTTTCTAATATACTTGTTGTAAACACTCATTCCCAACAGCGCATTTCAATGCCTTCACACACCAGTAACCCAGAAGCACATAGATGAGAGCTTGCACGCAAGCCCAGTTTAATCAGGAGCCAGGCCTGCACCCTCTCACACACACAAGCATGCACCCACCCCAGCATTAGCAGCGTGCCACGCTCACAGAACCCTACACAGTCTGTCTGTGGAGACCGGGAGGACCAGGTTACGCACACTTTCCACTCCCTGAGCTCAGAAATTAGTTTGGAGATAGAGGCAGTCAATAATCTGACACTCAAGAGACACCTCATGGGCGTGAACACTGTTATTTATTAGGTACCTTTTAAAGGAAGAGAAGAGGGGAGACGGACAATAAGACCCGTCTGGTATCTTCAACACCTAGAAATTATCAGAAAGTTCAAACTGACCCAGACCCCTTTCCCAGCAAAAGTCCACATGCAAAAGTAGTAACAAATAGTTCCAAAAGGAGACCTAGTTCTTTTGTACAATATTGTGCCATTTCCTACAAACTTACGGCAGATCCTTCTGTGTGCTGCTAAGGAGTAGAAGGCAACACGATGAAACTCCCAGGCACTGTGGCATTTCAGCTGCCCAGAACTACTTACTTCAGTTTACTTTGATGTTGTAGCTGTTTTTACAACAGCAATTGCCTCTGCCCAGTAGAATAACTGCACCCATTTATGTTGTTTCCAAAAGGAACATCATGCTGAGACAGCCAGAATAGGAACAAGAGAGCAAATAATTATTGTAACTTCTGCCCAGCATAGCCCCCATTTCCTGAAAGGCTGAGTTTGTTTTAGTGCATCTCCTTCCATCAGCCCTTTTTTCTAAACTTGAAATTCCCCAAGGAGCCTTGACTAAATACAGAAACAGATGGTGACACCAGAGAGACTGCCCTCACATCACTCTCCTCTCCCCCAATACCATGCATTTCATTGATCAGTTGAAAGGATTAAATTGAGCAGAAAACTTCAAGAACTGCCAGGCAGCAAGGCTGAACTTCCATGGGAAAAGCAAGGCCAGCAAAACAGAGCACAGCCCAGCGCTGCGGAGCAGTGACCTGCCAGCTCTGGGGGGTCCCCGCTCCCACAGGCACACAGATGATGGAAAAACCCCTGCTCTCCTAGCACAAGAGTAAAAAAAAAACACTCAGTTTTGAAACTGGGATATAGAAGTGCTCGCCTGCATCCAGAGACAAAACCGTTTAACAAAATGAAGCAACAAGCAATCACTGCTTTGAAAAGAACACCCTAAAAGACAGCTAAGGAACAGCAGAACAATGACTTTGTGTAACTGCTTTCCACCTAATAAAGCTGGCTGAATACTGATGATAGTTAACTTGAGCCCCTTATATAATGAGAATAGCTCATCCCCTCCCAATTCTTCTTTTAACTAGCAGTTTATTAGAGGGGGTATTTTGTTTTTAAGTGGAGCAACAGCAGGTACTGAAAGAAAGAATAAAGTTGTAATGTACCAGAGTTCCTGTATCAAGGGCAGGTCACTTGGATGTTAAACAAACTCTGAGAGACCAGCATCCTCATTCCTATGGCCTCAGTGACAATCTGTCCAGGAACTGGCCTTGCCACAAAGCACACAGCAAAGCACAATCCTGAAAACTGATTCCATAACATGGGGTTATAATTTAGAAAATAAAGTTGCTTGCATACCAAAAGCAGTGTTTCATCAGTACTGCCTCACTCCCACACCATGATGTCTTCCACCGTGGACAGTAAACTCTAAGATGTCATTTTTCTCTCTTCACATAACACCTGGCACTTTGGGGTCCTAGACTTGGAAAAAAATAACATTTCCTGGTATCCATGATAGCGAGAAATCAGTTGAAGCTACAGATTTCTTTGGCCTTTGGTGCCTTTTTTAGAGCAACTGATACCAGGGAGTTATCTCTTGCATTCACACACCTGTACCTGGATCTCAGCAGATGCAGTATGCTGCGTCGGCAGGGAAAGGATAAAGGAGATCTTGTGCGCTGTACCCCAGGGAAAGGGCATAGAGGCAGACAAGGAGCACACAACCCTGACTGCAGAAGCAAGCACCCAGGCATTAAAGCAGAGTGCGTAGCTACCAGCGGGTGCACCCTCCTCATCAGCTATCCAGCTACTGAAGGCAAAGTAAGCTCCAGAGTACAAGAGAGAACTCTGTACCTGCAGGTGTCTTTGCCTCTCCAGAGCCTCCCAGCCCAGCAGGAGACACATTTGGGGACTGACATGAGCAAGCCACTGCTCTGCAACTGTACCACACCTCAGAAACAAGTCATCATATCTTGTTCTCTTATTTGTGTAGTCTGGACTACCCTTGAATCTTCATGTTCCCCCAGGATGTCCTCTCTCTTCTGGAAACTGCTTCTTCCCAGGCACAAGCAAGAATGAGCTGCCCCAGCTGCACAGGATTTGAGGAGACAGTTAGCAGTGCTCCCTCTCTCCAACAGCACTCACATGCCCCATTCCTCCTTGTGCACAAACCTCCATAACTCTCAGGACTAACACGCTCAGCAGAGGCCACAACCAGGATGGGTGCATCAATTTTCCAGGAGTTACTCAGAGAGAAAAGTGCTTTTGGTTGGAAGATGCCTTCCAGTGTATGAAACATGCACACAATTGTCCACTATTTCCATTAAGGGATGTTTTTGTACTGTTTTCTTTGTGAGTGAATATGGCTCTCAGCGTCCAGATCTACCTGCAAACAGTACTGCAAAAGGCTCTTGGCAGTGCCTTAGTTTGGGTAACTCTCCCCCATTACTGCTGCAGTCATTCTGCAAGGGGCAGGGATGTCTCAAAAATATATACCCGCACACTAAGGCCAAGCCAAAGATCTCTGTGGGTGCTATAAGTTTTTCAGCTCCAAGTATTGTGCATATACATACCTTTGTCCTCCTGGCACAATGAGGCTGTTCAGTGGGTATTGGGCATCCAAGCCTCATGTTTTTCGTGGCGATGGATCCATATGCTCCTAGGCATGGAAGCGGCATTGTGCTAAGCCAGCTCTCTTCCCAGCCTCAATGGGCTTTGTGGTTTTAAACCATGCAGCAGAGATTGGGCTAGAAAGGCCCTTGCAACCCAGACAAAGCCAGGATCGGGTTTCA